GGGGGGGGGGCCAGATTGCGCGCGCGCGCTCAGCGTTATGCCGCCCGCCCGCAAGACAAACTTCCTCAGGCACGGGCACGAACCTCTTTAGCGGGAGGACAGGTAGTCCTCGGCCGGACATCTGATCTAGTAGGAAGACGGGAGGTGGGGGGGAAAGCTGGGGGATTGGAAAATAAGGTAGGTAGGTAGGTATGTTCTATGGCTGGCAGCATAGGGTTTTTACGGTAAGGTAGGTAGTTGTTAATTTGATTGATTGATTGATTGAGGCTTTGAGTTTGAGGCTTTTGTTTGGGATGGGATAAGGGTGGATTGGATTGGATTGGATTGGATTGGATTGGATTGGATTGGATTGGATTGGATTGGATTGGATTGGGTGGTTTGAGGGAGGTAGGTAGGGAGAATGGAAGGATTAGGATTGGATTTGGAGTGGATTTTTGGGGGGGAGGGGAGAAGACGATGGGATGATGTTTTTGGAGAGAAGTTGGGGAGGGGAGAGGTAGGATACTAAGGGGGGGGGGGAGATAGATGAATGAGTTGATTCTTGATCGATGAAGTTCTTTATCTAGGTAAATCCCCCCCTCCTTCTCCCTCTCTCTCCCTCTCTCTCCCTCTTCCTCTCCCTCTCTCTCCCTCTCTCTCCCTCTTCCTCTCTCCCTCTCTCTCTCTCTCCCCCTCTCTTAGAACTTTTTTTTTTTTCTTTTTTGTTACACGCATATCCATGCTATTCAAAGAGTCTTACCTAATTTCTTGATTTAATTAAGAAGGAGTGAGTGGCTGGCTGTCTATCAATTAATACCGTACAGGAGTCGTTGAAAGGTTAAAAGAACTGACCCTTTTATTCAGGCATCCAAGGCATTAGGAATCCTGCCTTAGGTAGGTATAAATAATATCACGTGCCTTGATCTCTAACATCCTTTTTTTTTCTAAATTTACAATGGAAGTCTGATTAAGGTAAGGTAGGTAAAGACACAAAACATTACGTTTCCTACCTGAGTGAATACAGAAAGAAAGAAGCACTTGTGGAGAAGGCTGCGCCAAGTGGTTGGTTTTGTCTTGTCTACAAGGGAATGATAGTGACATGCAGTGTGTCAAAAGAAAAGAGAAAACGCAACGTATGAAGCATTTTTCATCTCGAGTTTTGAGTCTTTCTTTTGATACTACTTAACTTGACTTGAACTCTTTTCTTTACATCTCATTCTCTGATGTGCGACTGGTTGTGGCGTCAAAGTGATATTGCGAGAAGATGGATGTGTGGTGACTAGATGGTTTACCTGAGGGGGATGAGGGAATCGGAGGGATAGGGAGAATTGTAGAGTACGACGATAAAGTATCGTTGTGAGAGGGTTTTATGGTTGTGATTCTCTTGAGTTTTATTGTCGGTTTTATTACAATATGATGTATGCCGTTCGCGATTCAATTCACTGAACTACCTAGGGCATAGGATTACATCAAAAGCAGACTCCTAATCTAAAACGAGAGACGTCCTTTTCTGTGGCGATAGAGATCGCAAGGTCTTGTGAAGAGGCTCCAGGATCTGGTCCATTCTATCACGGTACCAAGGATCGCGTAGGAATTCCTCGACTTTAGGACGTACTCTTTCGATACGGACTATTTTCACAATTAGTCGTCGTAGTAGGGAAATCAAAGGCGAAGGAAATGAAAAACGACATGACTTACAATTTTCAAGACGGTTTATAGCCCGTTCGATCTCGGCATTTGTGTTGTAGCATTCGAAAAATACAATAGCCAAGTACTCTTCAGGCTTGGCATAATGATACCAATAGCCATCTGTTGCACAGCCGAATATCTTGGCGCTATGGACCATCCCATGGATTTGGCTATATCTCATTATTTTCTCCTTTGCATCTGGCTCCTTGGACTCGTACAGCGGGTGCGTCCATCCCGTAATACAGAAGGACGTGCAATCGGGAAAATCCAAGCCCAGGAAATCCTTGTACCTGGTTGCCATATCCATAGCTCCGAGTCTATAATTCAGAGTATAACCCCAAGTGGGCAGGGAATCCTTTCCGAGAAGATTCTCAGAGCAGCGGTCTTTGCCAGATTCAAGCAGCCAGAGCCGGATCATCGCGTGGAAGGCCGTGTTACTAGCTTGTTCGTCCTGGCCTGGAAAACTCCTCGCGTACCCCACTGCCATACCTCGAACTACAGCGCGCATTTGTGGCGCTGTCATGGTTAGTTTCAGTTTCTTTAAGGGTATTCTTGACGTAGAGTCAGGATCAGTATCAGAAAGGCTGAGTGCGGATAAATCGGAGGAGGGATCAGCAAATGATGAGCCATCATCTGCCTGGGCTGGTAGGATTGATAGTTCTTCCCACCTCCCCTTGAAGAATGCTAAAGGGATGCCGGTACGTTCGTCCCAGACTCTTGCCCACTCGTCATCCTCTGCCCTAAAGGATATCTGATGTTCACTGTGAAAGCGCACATTTTGCCGGAAATGGTACCGTATGATATAGCTCATTTCAGTACGATAATCGTTTATCCTATCCCATTTGTCAAACTCCGTTTCAGGCTCCTCTATGTTCTCTTCATCTTCAGTCTCAGTTGCGTCTTCGATCTCAGTTGCGAAGATAGTGTCGCAAATCGCCGATGTTATAAATGAACTGGGGAATCCTAGAGTTAAACTAGGCTTCCAATGACCTTTCGCCTGGTGCTCTGTCGCCGCGATGAGCGTCAAGTTAAGATCTGGTTGCATAGTCCATCCATCGTCAAAACGGGGCGTCTTTAATATCGTACATCTTATCTCTTTACTAACGGCTGTTTCGAGATCCTTTCTTTTGAGCTGTGGAGCAGACTTTTCTGAGAATTCCGTGTTGGACCCGCTTCCCATGGTCATCCCATAGCTATTTATATCCCCATGGCCGAAGATCAGCAGCAGAATATTCTGATCTGCCTTTACTGCTTCTTTGCATTCCTCTTCCACCGCCTTCAGAAAGCGCTCCAGTATGGTTTCAGGTTCTACGACTCTTAATGTTCCGGCTGCACTTATGGTGTCCAAAAGTCGCTCTTCCAACACTATGCGAAACTCCTGAGAGGCGCTGCCGTGCGCATATCTCTCGTATTTGTCGACGAGATCTTTTGGGCTACAGCAGGTAAACCACGTCTGCTTGGCAACTGGCGCACTGCGAAAGAGGTGGTTGAACATCCAGAAGTCTGATAGGAGCCATCCATCCATAGTCGGCGACGCAGCATCAGCAATATCAGTGATGCCGCAGACAGCGACGATCCTGGTATTGGGTGACACGTCCGGTGGGCATTTGCTGGTAAAGTGGACTTGGTGGAGGCTGGCATCCTCATCCTTGGGATAGAAGTTTCCATTCGGCGGATCCGCCATAGTGGTGACTGATGGGGATGATGAAGAAGCCATCGTGATATATGTATTTGAATGCCGTAGAAAAGACTTGCAGAGGTAGTAGGAAGAATGATGAATAGAAGGAATGCTAAAGGACCGAAGGTTAAGAAACACTTCTCTAATCGTTGGCTTAGTATTCGAGTGATGTTGTGATGTCGTAGAAGAAAGTGGTAGAAGAAAGTAAGGAGGTAATAAGGAATCAGGAATAATGTAGAAGGAAGCTGAAGTCGAGAAGCACCTATTTAAATAGTCTGGTTTGTTTGTAGCCGGCCTTCTACGTAGTGTATGACCTCTCTTCACTAGAGGTGAGTCAAGTTCTTTATAGTCTGAACCACAATATCAAGCGGGAGCTTGTTTGCGGGTTTGTTTTCAAGCTTGCCCCAAGGAGCCTCGCAGATTCAGTTTCTGTAGGCGGACGGAATTTCGATAGGGCTATATGCAGAAGACTAGAAAATTTGAGGACTATGATGATGAATGAATGAATGAATTGTGTCAAGAATCTTGATAGCTATCAACTCTTTGTTTCATAAGAGGTGTGGGGATCGGATATCTAAGGTATCATAGTACATGATTGCGTAGAAGGGTGAGCAGCTGATTCGGAATGGGACGAACAGGGCAAAGCTTGTAGAAGATAGGTTGATAAAGGAGGTCTTGGAACAATGTCTCCTAGTTAATCATTGTAATTGTTATGTGACGAGTTTTACAAAAGTATATTTATATGATTATATCTATATAAAAAGCTTAGTCTTTTATGATACTTTAATAAGTGTCTTCTTTAGAATGTTAATAAGAGAAGGTTGATTATCCTTATTCAAGTTCATATCCTTCTTAAAGATCATCCTCTCACTATTTCTTGATAATTAACTATCCTATAACTATTGCATTTACTGATTGTCTTTTTACTGGCTTAGTAGTTGGTCTTTTCTCTAGTAATTAACACTTTATCAATCAAAGAAAGACAAGTAAAACAAGCAATCCTCTAACATTCTTCTTAGGCTTCTTTATATACAGCTCTAGCTCTCTGTACCTACTAATCCATGATCTCTATATTTACAGCAAGAGGCCTTACTATTATTCCAAGTTCCCAAGATATTATCGTCCCACCTTACGGTCCGTCCCGCTCTACACCATCTTTCACTAGACCAAATCTTACTTAAAACACCCCCTAAAAAAAAACCTATCTATTCTTCAGACAGGATACTATACAAGAGACAATGGCATTATCCTTATAGCTCTAAGAGAGGAATAAGACACACTTATATCTAAATCCAACTTTCGACTTCTAATCTTTAACTTTTGAATCCCTATACTTCCTTTAAACTAGCTGTATTTTCCCGTTCTCATTCAACGAAAAAGCCCTCTAATTCATATTGAATACAGGAGACTTAGCAGACCTACTTCAACCACTTAGCGAGGTTACAAAAACTTACGTGACAACGTACAAATCAGTTTACTTATTTCTAACTTTCCGTTTTAATATCTGTTTATCTTAATAGCTAAAGAGAGATAGTATCTTTGCATAGGAAATAAGGCCCACTTCCTTATGTACTTACCTAGGTATTCGCCTATCTACTTACCTTACTATGTCTTTAAACTACATCTTATCACACAAACATTATCCTCTACACTCTATACATAAGAAAAAAAAAGATCGGCCGAGAATTAAAGCTACGTAATCTTATCGTTAGCAAGACGAAGAGACACTCAATTCAAGTCTTGTAGACTTGCAATAGTAGTACAGAGAACAATCCCGTGGTTTGTTTATAAGGGAGTTAGGGAACTATAGTACGGATACCGCACCTAGTAAAGTAGCTGTGCATAAAAGGTTGGCAGTATATATCCAACAATCATCTCTCTCTCTCTCTTCCTATCTCTTCCTGTGTGTACAAAATACCAACCCCATGGCCTTATGAGCATCGGCAGCTCTGTGAGCCTCTCTCCCTCCCTCTCTCGCTACTCACCTCCCTATTCACCACACCAACAATAATAATCAATAATCAATCTATCGTTGTGAAAGAACACTTTTCTCGTTGTCAATTTACTCGATTATTCCCAGTTTTTCTTTTTGGTTGTCTCTCACTCATTCACCTCTATATATCAATACCCACCATCAAGCTCCTAGTCCAAAAGTGATAGACTTCCTCTTATACGACAGGAGAGATCGCAAGGTCTTTTTGACCAGGGTTTAGGATTTAGTCCGCTCGCTCTATTTAGGTCAAACCAGCGGTTTCTTTGATTTAGGTAGTAAGGAAGACTTAGGAAGTTGTACTTAAGAACCTAAGATTATCCTAGAGGGGTTTTAATAATCCGGTACGTAGGCAATGTAAATTTAAATGTTATAGCTACGATGGCCTCAGGGAATCATGGCCTTTCGTCAATAGTTAGAGGGTTCTATGTACTAACTAAGGTATCGTATCGTACGAGATCTTTCTATAGGTAGTTGGACTAATTAAGGAGATCTTTTGCTTAAACGTTACTGTTACCTTAGGTAGCGTAATGGGTTCCTAAGGTCCGCGTTTTTATATGTAGGACCCAACCCATGGACACGTAATCTATAGGCATGTAAATCCAATTCACCCCATGGGTTTCTACACAGCCTAATACAGTAAAACAGTAGTTCCAGGGCTCTGTAATATAGACGAGTTGTAGCGAGCACTGTGATTCCGTTTCCTATAGTCTATAGACAGAAAAAGTATTTTGACTTCTGTCTCGAGAGAACACAGACAGCGGATTCAGAGCTAGTCCACCTAAAGTTAACGCTCTGCATTACGTATGCACCTTGATGCCGGTGAAGCACACTTGTGAATAGCTTCAAAATTTCCAGATTTATACATAATGATCAAGGATTTCCTTACAGGTATCGTTTTGGTAAAGGCTAAAAACCGACGCCGATAATTTATCGTTGTGAAAAGGACTTTTCGTTGCCATTTATGATTATCATTCACCTCTATATCCATATAATCATATTCACCCCTCGACCTACCCGGGAGGCTTGCCAGGGGGATAGGTATGGCAGGCGAGAATTCGATTTGCTCGATGAGAAATGAGTATGTTCGTCTAGCCACTTGTGAAGACGATGTATTGATTTCGCATTTTGTCTGTCTCAAGTTCTTGTTGGCGGTGCCGGTCCAAACAGATACTTGCGGGCCTAAAAGTCGTTAACAGAGCTACTTCGTATGCAGATACTAGAGAGCTTTCGATGCGTATTTTGGTTTGAGTGAAAATGGGGATGGGCGGGGGTGAATGGCAGAGCTGCTGACCTAGAGTACCATTATAGGCATATTTGCTAGGGCTAGGGTAGGTAGGAAAGTAAGTGCTGAGCAGAGAGTGAAAAGTTTTAAGAACTAGGATGTGTTGAGAATGTGGGGACTGCTGGAGACGGGACCTTGCCGCATCAGCTGGGGAGTGGGAGGAGGGGTGGAGTTTCTTTGTGAGGGAAGAGGAGAGTAATTGTTAGATGGGGAGAGAAGTAAGGATACAATATGGGTATTCGGAAGGTGCTGGACTGGTTTGAGTGGAGTTAGGGAGTTAGGGAGTTAGGACTGTGGGATCTGACGTGGCTGTAGCTCAAGACCTGTCGACTGAGGGGACTAAGATAGAATACTGAACGAGTTGGACAAGATGAAGAGGAGGAAAATCATTGGGCTGGCCGGAGATTTGTCTGAATCACAAGATACCTTGAGACACTACGAGCGACTGAGGCAAAACTTGTCTTGTATTACCCGCTGTAGGCATCTATGAATTCGTCGCAGCCTCAGAGGACCCGTGGGATATCTGTAAAGTAAACCCACCCAAAAAATAAGTCTGCCAAATGAACAGACAATGACCGGACCCTACCCATCCATCTATCTACAAGGATCGAGGAGATGCCGTAGATTTAGGGCTTGGTAACGTCTTCGGTCTTACTGTCAATGCAATCGGCTACAGAAGTGTTAGAATCGACAACACCGTCTATCAAGAACACCTACTAGAATTAACGATGGCAGTGGAGAGTGTATCAGCAATGTTGCTGGCAGTCTTCTTGACAGAGTCAAGGTTGAAAGCATCCTCAACCTGAGCATCGTCCACTTTGGACTGCTTGCTGTCGATGGGCTTCTCGGAAGGAAGCTTCTGATCTTCCACTTTGGATGCACCAGTCTCGACGAGCTTCTCAGAGGCGGGTTTCTGGCTTTCCAATTCGGATGAACCGTCAAGGAGGCTCATCCAGATAGGTTTCTCATCTTCCACTTTGGATGCAGCAGTGTCGACGAGCTTCTCAGAAGAAGGTTTCTGATCTTCCACCTTGGATGCACCGGCGTCGACGACCTCCCCAGAGGCAGTAGTCTGGCTTTCCAATTCCGAGGAACCGTCAAGGAGGCTCATAGAAATTGGTTTCTGATCTTCCACCTTGGATGCACCAGCGTCGACGACCTTCTCAGAGGCAGGATTCTGGCTTTCCAATTCCGATGGACTGTCGACGAGGGCCTCAGAGATAAATGTCTGGCATTCTACTTTAGATGCGCTGGCGTCGACAAGCTTCTCAGCTGGAGATTTCTGAACTTCTAGAGAAGGGTTAGCAAAAAGTGCTGAAATGGGGGCTCGAACGTACTAGGCTCCACAGCGCCAGCTGCATCATCCGCAACAACGGTGACATTCTCCTTGGCAGCATCGCCGAACGGCTTCTGGCATTGAGGGGTGACATTCTCTTCAGCTTTCTCAACGTGGTTGGGCCTGCTCTGTGTCAGTCTAGGTTCTGCGAAGATCTTGGAAGTGATACAGGGGAGGGACGTACACAGTGTCGGACATCTTGAGTGATTAGTGATTTGAAGTGCGGTATGAGTGTCTGGATGGTAGCTGGATATGAGTTTCTGAATGCTGGGGAGTTGATGTGTAGTTGGAAGAAGAATGGAAGAAGAATGGCCGGTGAGGAGACGTGCTCCTTATAAGCAACAGGAGATGCTCTGGCAGGAGGAGGAGGACGGGTTGCTCCTCCCTCAACTGTGAGTGAAGACGGCAATCCACGGCCACAGCCATATCCACAGCCATATCCATCGCCATTGCCAGAAATCAGATGCTCTGCTCTGCGTCTGTCAAGAGCTCTCCCTCGGACATCCTAAGGAAGCCATGGCAATGGGATCCGTGGCAGGATCAGATATGTCTACCTTTGTTCCCTCTGCACCAGCCCTACCGCAGCATGTCCAAGAATATAATGCGTGCTGAGGGATCATATCTGAAAAGATTCTCTCGTAGAAATGATGTCATTGAGGCTGCGATAGAATCAGCTCAAGCACCCATGTAGACAGAGTCCACGGGAGTCTCCGCTGTTTGAAGGAGCGAGCGTATGGAGCACGACTGGGAAAGCCGCCTGGATAATTGCAGCGCAAAATTTGAAATGAATTGACCCATTTTCAAGACCTGCCCCGTATATACCTAGAGACTATTATTGTCTATTGATCTTTGAAACTATTGATCCAGCGTTGCAAGGGAGCGGGCGTCTCTCGGTTGCCATGCCAACAACACGGCCACAATAAACCTTGTACGGCGCATGCTTGTTCCACCCACTTAACCGGGTACTTGACCATCATTCCCCTCTCCCCTCTCCCCTCATTAATCCAAAAGGCCATTAATCCACGATCTTCCTGTTGTTTGTCGCCCTCCCAGGCTGATCGGGATTTCTCTGCCAACTCGTCTCTTATTTGATTCTTTTCGCCCGTCGCTGGGTCTTCTCTCTTCTCCTTTTCCTCCTCCTCCCTCCCCCGCCTCCCCCCCTGGCCGTGAGGGCGCAATCGAGCCTCATCCAGCCATGTCGAACTTCATCAACAGCCTCTTCCCCTCCCAGGGACCAAAGCACGACAACATCCTGCCCGTGCCGCCTCCACCCCTCCATACGCGCTCCAGCCAGCCTGAAACTTTCAACGAGAGACCGAATACTCCCATCCAGAACAGCTTCATCACACCGCTCTCGACTCCACAAGGAAGCCCGAGCAAGAAACAAAACCCCCCAGGCGCGCACGACCTCACGACCGCTTTTGAACATGCCATGAAGCTCAACTCTTCAACCCTTGGTAGCCCCACCAAGGGCGGTCGGCAGGCAGGCGCGCCTTTGTCGCCAGGGAAGAGCAACGCCTTGGCAGTAGACGATCCATACTATGGTAACGCATCTGGATTTATCGACGACAGCATGATACACAAACCGGCAGTGTCTCCGGGCAGCCCGCTGCGAAAACAGGGCAAGGAGAACACCCCACCATCCACGAGGCATGGACTGGAAGCCATGAGCCAGAACCAAGCCGCGATTTCCCGACAAGAACTCTATCAACCTAGAGAACAGTCACAAATTACCAAGAAATACAATACCCATCGAGGCCTGACAGCCGACGAGTTGGAAATTTTGAACAAGCCAAACGTCAAACGGCTTGCGAATGTCACACAGCTCTGTAAGCAAGATGCCGTTGCTGATTCGACCGCTTTGCTGATAACCTGCAGATTTCCTCGACTATTATTTTGACCTCCTTACGTATGTTGGCGCTCGCCAAACCCGACTCACTCACTTCAAATCCGAATATCCCGCACCCCCAGCTACACCAGAAGAAACATACAATCCTGTCTGGCAGAAATATGTTGGCAGAGAGCGAGCCAACCTTCGAAAGCGCCGAGTCCGTCTCCGACAAGGAGACTTTCAGATTCTTACGCAGGTTGGACAGGGTGGGTATGGTCAGGTCTTCCTCGCCCAGAAAAAGGACACCCGAGAGGTGTGTGCGCTGAAGGTTATGAGCAAGAAGTTGCTGTTCAAGTTGGACGAGGTCAGACACGTTCTCACCGAGCGTGATATCTTGACCAACGCAAAGAGCGAGTGGCTTGTGCGCCTGCTGTATTCCTTCCAGGATGAGAAGAGCATTTACTTGGCGATGGTAAGTCACTGAATCGATTGTTTTGGCGTAAGGCTGACAAGCTCGTAGGAATATGTCCCTGGTGGAGATTTTAGAACCTTGCTCAACAACACTGGTGTGCTTGCCAACCGCCATGCTCGATTCTATATCGCCGAGATGTTCTGCTCCGTCGATGCCCTCCATCAGCTTGGCTACATCCATCGAGATCTTAAGCCCGAGAACTTCTTGATCGATGGGACTGGCCATGTCAAACTCACCGATTTTGGTCTTGCTGCGGGTTTTCTAGCTCCTGGAAAGATTGAGTCCATGCGAATCAAGCTCGAGAAGGTCGGAGAGACGTACGTTCCGTTTGGCAAGCCGATGGAGCAACGAACCGTGGCCGAGCGACGAGAGGGATATCGATCGATGAGAGATAGAGATGTCAATTATGCCAAATCAATCGTGGGATCTCCCGATTACATGGCCCCTGAAGTGCTAAAGGGCGAAGAATACGAGTATTCTGTCGACTATTGGAGTTTAGGGTGTATGCACTTCGAGGCTTTAACTGGATTCCCTCCTTTCGCCGGTGCTACAGTGGACGAGACCTGGAAGAACCTGAAGCATTGGAGAGAGGTTCTAAAGAGACCCGTCTGGGAGGACCCTAGCTACTTCATCAGCAACCGTACATGGAATTTCATTACAAGGTAAGCATGCCGACCTTCCCTGATTAACCATGACTCACTTCAATAGCTGCATCGCATCGAAAAACAAGCGCTTCTCTTCTATCAAAGAAATTTATGCACATCAATACTTTGCTGAGGTTGATTGGAACACTCTGCGATCTCAGCGTGCTCCTTTTGTCCCAGACCTCGACTCCGAGACTGATGCTGGTTACTTTGACGACTTCACCAACGAAGCCGATATGGCCAAGTACAAGGAGGTTCACGACAAGCAAGCTGCATTGGAGAACATGGCCGATCGAGAGGACCCCATGAGCAAGAGCTTGTTTGTTGGATTTACCTTCCGACACCGTAAGCCGCTAACTGAGGATGGCGGTGGTGGGAAGTCCAGCCCTCGAAAGCCAATTGCCACTGATGGCACATTTGGCACCATGTTGTGATTGACGATTTCCTGCTGCGGAAATCATGAACCTTGCTTACATCTTTGCTTCTATTTGGCTTGTAGGGTGTTGCGAAGGCGTGTGGAGAGGGAGGGCATAAAAGGGAGCGCGGCATCCGGGATGCCGTCATATTGCTTGGTCCATTGTGCTTTGTGTGCGTCTGTCCTGTTTATTAATGTTTGGAGTTCGAGACGAGGCCACTACGGCATTTTGCAAGGTTGTAATAGTAACGACGGATAAGAGTACTACAATTGATGACTATATTAAACATGTCCTCCCATACCACTTAAGTACTCGACGCCACTCGGCCCGTGGAAAGCATTTTCTGAGAGAAAAGGAGGGGAAAAAAAAGGGGCAAAAGAGAAAAAAGAGGAAGAGACTTCAAGAGAATTCACGGATTATTGGTAATCGTCGGCCTCGCTTACCTAAGGTCTCTCCTTGGTTTCCGCATTCGCTCGAAACAAATGCGATGAAGACGACCCGGTAAACGGGGCCGACGTCAGTACCTAGGTAACGTACCTTAGGTATATGTGATTCAAATATGATTTTTATTCATTTCATGCGCTCATTACAGCAACGATCAAATCAACAACGATATACCTGGGGTTCGGTCTATGGGAGGCGAAAAAAAAGACAAAAACAAAACAAAAAAAAAGGAGATACGAACTAACTAAACCCCTCCACCACTCTATATAATCTCGCAGAACGCCGGCAAAACCCCAAGAGAGAGAGAGAAAAAATGCAAGCCAAGTCTATATACGTCTGTATGTGTATGCGTGAAAGGCGACATAACCAATCCAACCTGTGTTTGTTTATGTGTTCATCTTATCTTTTCTAAGGGATCTCTCTTATCTATCTCTTCTGGCGTGTGGTGGAGGATCGGGATCGGGATCGGGATCGGGAATGTGGATGTGAATGTTAGATTTTCCCAGAGGCATGAGGGAGTGTTAGGTGGGGGGAGCGAAGCTCTATTCCTCCTCGTCGTCGGTATCGGGGTAGCGGGGGGTGCCTTTGGGGGAGTTGAGCCTGGGGTTTTAGGTTAGTATTTAGAAGGTGGGTTAGGGTAGAGGTATGGGAGACGAACCATTCGATGTGTCTCAATCTTCTACGGACCTCCTGGTCCTTCTTCTCCTTCTTGGTCATCTTCTTCTTCTTCTTGGCGCGGAAGGCCAATTCTCCGGTATCCTCTGCTCCGCTGTTCACGGCGGAGGCAGTGGCGCTCGACACGGCGCTGCTCGCAACGCTGCTGTTCAGCCCGCTTCCGGGACGGCTGTTGTCCTCGAACCGGTCAGCGGCGACGGCGAAGTGGCCCTTGTGGGTGACGCGACCATCAACCACGTGCCACTGCTCGGGACAGAGAGCGCCGACGAACTCCTCGTTGTGAGAGATCATAACTACACCTCCCTTGTAATCGCGGATGGCGACAGCCAGACCACCCAGAGAGTCACGGTCCAAGAAGTTAGTGGGTTCGTCGAGGACGAGCAAGTGGGGGTTGTTCCACATAGCACCAGCGAGCACGACCTTGACCTTTTGTCCCCCTGACAAACCGGAAATCTCGTTGTGGTTGGCGATCTCGGGATCGAGACCCAGGTCTTCGAAATGTTTAGAGATGGCTTTAGGAGAGAGTTCTCGGAAACCGAGACCTTCTCGTGATGCCTCGTGATCATCGAATTCCTGGACCAGCTTCGCGAACCCGAGCTCGATGAGAGTCTCACGAGAGATTTGGGTGTTGTATTTTGGAAGGAGGCCAACCCATTTGACTTCATATTGGAAGGTCTTCTTCCACTTTTGCCGACCCATGATCGCCTCTATACGCTTTCCACCACTACCATCGCCCAGATCAACAAGCTTTTCCATTTGAGCCTTGTCTTCGGGGGACAGGATACGAGTCTGCTTCATGTGCACTTCACGGTCATCACCGTTTGCGTAACGCCATTGAAGGTATTGGTTGGGTGTCTTTTCCAAATGCATCTCAACGTGCTCGAGGGCGTGCTGCTTGATGTATCCAATACGCAAGTTGGGATGCTTCTCAACACGACCAGAGGTGGGGACCGTCTCGCCGGTGAGGAGCTTGATCAGGGTTGACTTTCCAGCTCCGTTGCCCCCGATGATGGCGGTTCGGGATGAGAGAGAGAGTTGGCAAGACACGTCGTAAAGAGATGGTTTCGAAGCGCCAGGGTATGTGTAAGAGCAGTTCGTCATCCGAAGAATAGATCTCGTATTAGACTTGACACCGGTGAGGATACCAGGAGGGGGGAATTTGAATTGGACATTGGAAGCGGAGAGGGTGTAGTAGCTCTTTGCTTCAGGCTTTTGCTTGACGAATTCAGCCAAGTTTCCTTTGTAGCATTTAAGCTTCTTTCCAGGTTCGTAGTGGTAGATGTCCGTGCACACTTCATCAAGAAATCCGGAGTCGTGAGAAACAATCAAACTGGTGATTTCGGTGTGTGACTTGAGGTACTCTTGCAGCCATTTGACGTTAGCTACATCCAAATGGTTGGTAGGCTCGTCAAGAAGAAGGACATCGGCTTTCATCAACATGGCTCTAGCCAGAGCGAGCTTCATCTTCCAACCACCAGACAGCGACCCGACCTTTTCGGATTGGCGTCCTCCTGGACCGGCTGTGAAGCCGACCTCTGACAAAACTTCGGAGATACGGGCAGTGCCTTCCTTTGCAATTTCAGGGTCCTTTGCAACGAACTCCAAAATACTAATATCAGCATCCTCGCCCTGGTTGTGCTCAACGAAGCACGTTCTAAGGACATCCTGGCTGGGGAATCCCTCCAACTTCCCAGTCGAGATAGCTCTCATGAGGGTAGATTTTCCGGCACCGTTTCTACCGCACAGCCCATATCTGTGTCCTTTCAGAAGACGAAGGTTGGTGTGTGACAGCAGGAGCATTCCTCCGTAAGCGAGAGAGAAGTCGGTGTTGACAATTTCGATCTCGCCATCATCCTCCTTAACAGGCTTTCCAAATTTCCGGTGGTCCTCCTCGATATAAAACTGTTCAACGGCTTCTCCGACCGCCTTGGCTGATTCTGGGGCAGTCATGATGTGTTCTAAATAGGGGGTGACATTTCCAGAAATACGCGCCAGCTGCCGGTGGTTGACATCCTCAGCCACCATAGAGGAAATATATGGCTTCGCAACTTTGAAGACCTCGAGATCGCCACTGAGTCCAGCCGTCTTCTTGATTTCCGCCTCGAGAACCTTTGCAACGTCGTCAGATGAAGTTCTTGCAATTGCACCATTTGCAACGTTCCCGTCATCATCACCCATAGCTTTGTTGATGACATTGAAGGCTCTCGTAGCCATTTCTCTGACTTCTGGGAGGGAGGCTCGGTCTTGGACAGCCTTGACACCAGGCTTCAATTTTGGCAAGAAGGTGCGCGCTTCCACTGGATCATGAACAAGTTTAGTCAAGTTCTCCACCACAACCACAGTTTGTCGAAGAACTTCTTGAGCGGTAGTGGGGTCGTTAAGAGCCCTCTCGAGGAGAGGCGTAAGAAGTGCGAGCACTGGGGATGTGATAATTGCAACAAAAGTGGTTTGAGAAAGAGCGTGGATGGCCTTCTGGAGGGTTGTCTTGTTGGGATTTTCCATAGTCGCAATCAGAAGGGGAATCCTAGGAGCGACATCGTCATTAGAAAGGAGAGTTGTCAACGAGGTCATCGTAGCAACAGCCTGCTTCTGGATCTCATTCTTCATATCCGTCATCCCTGATTCAACAATGGGGATCAAGCCTGCAAGCTTGGTTCCCATGGCCTCTCGAAGGATATCCTTGTTGTTTGCCTCTTCTTTACTGCAGCCAATCTCCAACTTCGCCTTATCTGCCATTTTCTGCAATAATTTGTAAGCTGTGACAGTTGACTGCCATTTTCCAGTTGGCTTCGAAAGGTATGCGCTGATAATTGGTAGAAGACCGACAACGAGAGCCTCGGAGCTCAAGTTTTTGAACAAGGCATCGATTCCGTAGTCTGCTGCCTCACGAACAACGGCATTTTTGTCTGAAATGGCATCAAGTGCGCATTGAACCATACCGCCATCCTGGAGCATGAAAACCACCTCGCTGATCCGCTGCTTAGCAGTGAAGCGTTCAAACAGTGCTCCGAGGAGGTTCTGGGCACCTTCCCGTCTCTCTGCACTCTTCTTGTTTGCCGCCGCCTTCTTGATCTCCGCCAGAACCCCGTAGTCTTTCAGGCCTCGGAAACCGACTGAGGAGTTCAGGAGAAGATCGCACAGGGCATATGCAGCATCGACGGAATCCTTGGAAGTCTTGGCGTCAAAGGCCGCCTCTATGAGAGACGAGACCTCCGCTTGCGTCGGTGCAGCATCAGAGGATTTGGAAATCATGGTGGGCTCTTGGGGAGGTGAGACGAGGTGGGGCATTTCTGAGCGTGGCACGCCCTGTAAAGTTGATATTGCGAATCGTGGTGATCAGAGCATACGGTTTGCTTCTTCTGAGAGGTTTGAAGAATTCAAACAGTTCGTCGGCGTGGAAAAGTTTGTGCGGGGTCTCGAAACGATGTCGGATCTCCAGGAACGTGGCCGAGGCTCTGCGCCCAATTCGCAGACTCAGCAAAGACGTGTAGAGTGGAGATTTTTGGAGTGGAGAGATATCCGGCCAAGCAGATATTTGGGAAGAGGGAAAGAATGAAGGGATTTCCAAATCTCAGCCGCGAGTGGCACGAGAGAAGAGATGTCGAGAGAGGGGCAAAAAAAAGAAGGCAGAATATGCGATTTCATGCGGAGTATTTTTTTCGTGCTGAGATTGTCAGCCGCGGGCACCAGAGCAGATCCGGGCTAGTCCGAAAGCGGCTAGGCGGGTTCGAGTAATCAGCGTACCTTGACTGGGCGCTGATGGAGTTGGGCATTTGGTGGTTGGGTTCTGCTATAATAATTCATTTTTATTGATAAGCTCGGCATTTGTTGGAGGCGGTCTGTGTAAGTTTATTTCTCGTCTCTTTTTCGTTTCTTGGTCTCCCTGTTCTTTGTACTAATATTGTTGATATACAGCCAGACAAGACATGGATAGTATCAGCCTCTCTCGCAATTTGTGCCGTTTCCGGGCAAAAGGCTTTTGATAGATACCTCATTTTACCTGGCTTGTAAGGCACGGATGACATGCCCACGATACGCCCTAGTAAAAGACTGGTTAGACGTATCTGATAACACCAAGAGACGCCAGAAGGGGGAAGGGGAGAAAAAATATATAAAGTTCAAGAATGGGAGAGAGGGACAAGTGTTCCTGAATCATTTGCGGCCAAGGGCCTTCAAGAGCTGTGATTTTGTACCTTTGAGGGTTTTGTTTCTTCTCTCTTTCTGCGCGTTTGCCATCCATCTCTACGGTACCTTAGGTGATGTGTGCTCCACTCCCTCCATTCTCTATAAGGTAGCCTTTCGACGGCAATATGGCCAAGGCGCATTCGGCTTCCACTCCCTCAGGGAGTGATCATACCCTGCCCACAACGGAACCTCACTCTTCGTCCAATGGATATCCAACTGGCCCAAAGGGTACAGTAAGCAGGCGGGGCGCCTTGCTGCGGTATCTCCAAACGGATATCAGCCTCGAGCATGCAGATATCCCAATAATACTATGTTGTCTCGTGTCCGGTCTCTGCGATAGCAGTGCCTATAATTCCTGGAGCTGTTTTGTCTCCATGCAGACTGGTAAGGACCGCGCAGTACCCAATCCGACCAGCTTCTGACTTTACCCCAAGGCAATACGGTGTTCCTCGCTCTGGGCGCCTCTGGACAACCTAACGGGCATGTCTATGGCTGGTTGAAATCCCTTGTCTCGATTTGCGCATTCCTGTGCGGATGCCTCTTCTTTGCCAACTCTCGCCACATCAAACCGAAAGCGCGCGGGACTCTTGGTATATCCTTCTTCCTACAAAGCATCTGCATCATCATCGCGGCCGCCTTGGTCCAATCACACGTTATTCCAGAACCAATAGGCCTCCTTGCTGTACAGAACCTCGATATCAACTTCAAGGAACTGATCCCGTTGGGCTTCCTGGCGTTCCAATCTGGAGGGCAGATGGTCACGTCGAGGATGCTTGGCTTCAACGAGGTCCCGACAACAGTGTTGACAAGTGTTTATTGTGATCTGGCCAGTGACCCCAACTTCTTCAAGAAAGATAATGTTAAAAGGAACAGGCGGATATGTGCCGTTCTGTGCATTTTGGTTGGTGGTATTGTTGGGGGATGGATTAGTAGGAGTGCGGCGAGGATGTCTGTCAATCTTTGGATTGCAGCTGGGATTAAGATGGCCATCGCATTGAGTTGGTCATTATGGAGCCCTGCGACGCCTACCCAGATATAGAGATTGAGAAGTACCAGCTTCTCTTCGACTGTCGGTGGGTTCTTCAACATTGATTTCTTGCACATATTCCACGTCTTAGATGGCTTGGTCTGGTCACATAGCATGATCACGAATTGCATTTAGATGGAAATTAGATGGCAATGTACTTACATTAATACAACAAGACGTATACCCCAGGGGTTCCTGCCCATCCTGGTCATCTCCAACTCACCGATTAAAAGGCTCTTGGATAGTACAAGTTGGCCGGCAGATCCCTCTCTGGATTTTGACTATCGAATTTCCGTCCCGGCATGGGTGAGCCTTGTCTTGGGGCTCGCGGTAGTGGCTTGTCAAGATCTGGAGTGTTGGGTGTGGGGAGCAGATTTCTCGGGATTTGTCGAGGAGGCAGCGCCCGAGCTGGGTGCAGTCTCTCAACGCCATCTGCGCGGAGTGCCACCGATGCTGGTCTCCCGAGGGGTTGTAGTTCAAAGCCATCTGGATTGACGGTCGTTGCTTTGAGACGGGTCGCCAATCCTTCATACTCGAAGGCATCGTTGAGGAAGCCGTGGATACTCCCGGAGCCAGCGTTGTCCCCTCTTCCGCCATGCATCTCGACCGTATTTTCTGGCTCTGTTAGGTCTTGGTTCTCGGCTGTAGGCCAGAGTGTCACAGTGGATTCCGCGCTCTTGGGCCTGGATGTTGATGCCTCTCCGACTGTCCATCTGTCCATCCACCTTGGCAGCTCCTCCTGATAGTCCCTTGCTCGCAGCACCGACTCCATGGGATCACCGTACCTGTTCACCGATCTCTCTGTCAGCCGCCTCTTAGGGACTTCACTAGGTCCCGCTGTTGGGATCCCGAGATGAACCACTGGGTCCCCCGTCTCCAACTCTCCATCTCGCAAGAGAACGGGCTTTCTAGTATTGCTAAATGAGTGCGGTGAAAGGGGTCCGTAATACTTATGTTGGACCCGGTAATTGCTAGTCCGTTCGGTGGCTTCAATTTCATCCACGCCGTATGCTTGCCAGAACCGCCTGCAGTCGTGGCACAGCTCGTATATCATGGCTCCCTGTTTGCTGGGTGCACATTTGGAGCGGAATATGTTGAAAACCGATTTACCTTTCTTCTTGCAGACTTTGGTATAAGTAGCTTTGTGTCCGCAGACAGTCGAGTGTCTCTCGGTGGTTACACACATCTTGGCGTTTGGAGTTGTTGGTCCTGATATGCTAGTTGTCAAGTGGTGCTGTCGAGTGATTCTGTTGTGTGGTTCTGTTGTGTGGTTCTGTTGTGTGGTTCTGTTGTGTGGTTCTGTTGTGTGGTTCTGTTGTGTGGTTCTGTTGTGTTGTTATTTGGATGTTCAAGTAAGTGTAATGGAGATTGAAACCACAGGATAGTTTTCTGCGTTACATATATAGAAAAGTGCTTCATTTGTTCTGATACATGTTCGAGAACAGAGTGGTAGGGCCTCGCTGCTCGAGAACAAAGATTTAGAACAAGGGCTAGGTGCTCATTGTTCAAGAACAAAGAGTAAGAACAAGTGTGCTAGGTACCTATTGTTTGAGACAATGTCGAGGACGAATATGAAAGACTTATTGTTCGAAGACAATTTTTGTAACTGACGTTGTTCGATTCTTTGTCCTGAGTTATTTCGCACTTGTTGGGATTTGGAGTGAGGAAAGGGGGATGTGGTATTTTGTCTATTTGATTTTGAGTTTCAAATTTTACATCAAGTATTGGAAATCAAAGTCTGCAAGAGATACTCGAAATGTAGAATAATCAGGTTTTGTATTGACTCTAAAAAAGGAGGGATGAAGGGCCTGTGTTGAGGCTCCTGTTATGTGATTGTAGTTTATCACTGGCTAATCCCGATTTGGTGACTCTCAAGTGGATGCACCTAAGATCTGATTGCAATATTGAGGAAACAGAGTTTTATTTTTATTAGAATCACGAGCTATCTATATATACAATCATACCCAGGAGTCGTATCCCACTTGAGCTCATACGGCTGATCTACCGAATAAACTGGCCTGTTTCGGAAGATTCCTCTATCTTTGTAGAATCTTGCCGGTCCTAATTGTCCAATGGCTCTTAGTAGGTCAACGATGGTAAATCCCTCTTCGGCAAGGATGGGTTTTCCTTCGTCTTTCACGTCCTCAGATTCCACCGACATGGCCAGCAGCTCAATGAAAGCATCTGGATGTATGGTACGTGTATACTCCACGATACCGACGACCGTCTTGATCCAATTTATAACAGTCGCGCCTTTAAGTGATGCTTCGTGCTGGCGAAACTCGACAGTCCTCTTTGTGTCTCTACCTTCCCCCATGCCTTCGAAGACGTGAAAGAAGTTTACCGCGCTTGTCCCTATATGCGGGGCTCCTAGCTGTTTCAATTGTCTGAAGTCAGTTGCTTGCAAGTATCTCAAGATACCTTCTTTCGTAGTCGGGGGGCGTTGTCCACCAAGTCCCCAATGGAACAGCGCCCGAGGGCTTTTGAGCCAATAGCGATTCTGTCGATACGGGGGATGGAGCGATGAAATCTGACTATCGAACGCAAAGAGAAAGGCGTGCAGATTTCTCACATGCTGGAAAGTGAAATTCCTATTCTCGTTTCCTACATGCACGTGTAAGCCGCAAGAATTCCCATCTATATGGATGCAGTACGTGGATTTGAGCAAGTCGAGGACTTCCGCCACGGCATACAAACTCTCGCTACAGAAGTAATACGCGGGGCTTCTGATCTCGATCCCGAACCATCTGAGCCCATTCGTTGGGACTTTGATCGTCGGGTCTGTTGTCACTTCCCACTTGGTGGCGTCCCCCATATCAGGAGAATAGGGGTCGCAAGGAAACCCGGCTGCCCTGATAGTGGCAGCGACATGGCTTTCGACTGATCTTCTCATTAGTCCGAACCTATCATCCCATTCGTTGAGTTCAAAGTTTGTGATGCGGCCCCTAATCTCGTCTTCAAGCTCTGGACATGGGTTCTCCTTACCCTTGGGTATTGCGGCCAGCGCAAATTCTATCTCAATTCCGAAGGTTAGTGGGCGAGACATTGTGTCTGGGGATGCTTTTTTTGATTTTGATATGGTGAATGTTGGCATTGATTGCTGTATCTTGCTGTATCTTGGATAATCTTTTGACTTGTGCTGTTTTTGTTTTCCTGATGTTGAAGTTTATGATGAAATGTAAAATGTGGCATATCTAGATCCCATGGTACCTTATATAAGGAATAACATGAACAAGGAAGTTGTAATCCTTTCAGACAATCCATTGTATTATCTTTGATATTCTTTTTTCACAAAGCAAGGACAGCAAAGGGACAACGCTTAGTACTCCGTGAGAACGAACAAAGGGCTTCCTTTATCGAAAAGTCCACACCGCGAAACAACAACGTCCACTGTTAAAGGACAAAGCAAACGGGGCAAACGCTAATCAAACATTGTTAGTGCATGTACGGATCAGGCAGTCAGTTGTTTTTGATATATACATTTCATCTTGAGACTCGACTAAAACACTGCATCTTCTACTATTTGGTCAGTTAGGGAAGATGCACACGCTCCAAGTCCGTTAATACACTCCAAATATTTTTATTTGCTTTATTTATTTTTAAATACCTTGGTGCAGTCTTTTTTGGGGGAGGATCTCAGTTGTTGTATTTGAGCGTTTGCTTTTCCGCCAAACGTCAATCATCCAGCTTTCGAACCACCACCTTCTGAACTTTTTGAAACAACCCATCATTTCAATCTCATCAATATGAGCAATATAGAAATAGAAATCATCAATATAAATGTGCATTCTCTTTAAACATGCCCAGGAGAAGATACTACTATAATCTGCTACCAGTACACATGTTGTAGTGGCTGTGTGCTGAAGTTCATGTTTTCCCTCTGTATATATTATAATAAGAAGATTTCATTCAAACAACACCTCGGTGGTCAAGCTGTCAAGTTCAAGTCTCTTAGAGCTTGCTTTGCTAACGATCTGATAGTCTTTCACGTTCATCTCGAGGGGCGTCCTGATCTGGCTAGTTTCATGACCTTCCCGAAAGCACCCCGTCAGCTGTCAGCTGACCACGGAAAGGCATCTAACTTGTTTTCACTGCTCGAAATACTGCTCGAAATACTGCTCGAAATATTGCTCGAAATACCGCTTGAATCTTTGAGAGCGTTTGGTTTAAAGTCATAAGTTTGAATCACTGATATAAAAGGAAACAAAAAAACTCGCAAAATAGAAACTACAAAAACATAACCTTCGATTCTGGGTTCCTGCCCGCCTAGTCAGATTCAAAGTAAGTACAGCCTCCTCCCTTGATAGCTTGACCACTCTCTTTTTTTGGACTTGGCTGCTATATCCTTTGGAGAGTGCTAGGATAAAAGGGAGGATAGAGGGAGGCGGCGCTGCCCTTCTTCTATTTTCTCGATCCGGGAAAGCACATCGCAAGAGATTTCGATATATATGATTCTCATGATCTGGAAGCATCTAGATCCTGAGATTACTTTATCATCATTCACAGGTTTGGAGACTTGATTCTTCTAAGACTCGATACAACTATCTTCATGATCAAATAAACCCTGCAGCACTAATTGTGAAGACTGATGCGCCCAGCAGCCAGCTTACGGAAGATGGTGAACAAGCTCGCCCTATCAACCTGTCTCAAAACTTCAAAATGCTTTACTCTCCGTCGCGACTCGAACTCTGCATCGTCAATCACACCAACTCTCCCATGCGGTCCAAATCCGAACCTCTCCCCGGCATCCCAAGGCTTCTCGCCATTGATAAACTGGATCCACTTATCCCTGATCTCGTGCGCTACCTTTGCAGCAGCTGGGTTAAAAGAAAGATCATAGCCAGCAAACAGGTACAGAAGATCAACTGCGTGATGCGCGCGGCTGGAGGCTTGCCATGGGTTTGGTTGGTCGATCACATATTGGTATGTGGTCTTACCGGCCTGGCGCCGAGTGCGCACCACATCTTCCACCGGCATGGCGTACACAAGATCGTTGATGAAATCCAAAGCACCATGCCTGGAAGGTGTCGATCTAGTGGGGGATATGCTGTACAGATGTTTGAGCTGCGGGCCAAAAGGAGCGCCGATGTCAAATGCTGCATCGATTTCCTCAGCGCTGGCGGTTTCAACACCATTTCTCCAGATGACGGATTCATACTCGCAATCCCCAATAAGAAGCTCATCGACTGCGGTTAGTCGGGTCTCCCAGCCCGCAATATCTGGCTCTTGCTGAATCCAAAGAGTGTTGATGTTTGAATCCGCTAGCAGCTTGAGAAGAACTGGCACTGGTGCTTCCTTGAGGGATACGTTATGTGTCTCTTGTAGCTTCTGAGAAAGAGTAGCGATGAGACCATCTCCTCGCTCGTAGGGCTGAGGTGGAGATAGATAGAGAGAACCGGACATCAAGATTCCACGACGAACTGGTGCGCCGGTGCTGAGATGAGCATGTGCATAAACTCCACCCGCACTTTCCCCGCCTAGCGTGATGTTATCCTGTGTAAGGACAATATGTGAGCATATAGGCTTCATCATAGCAGTGGGAATGTTACCTTGTCTCCTCCAAAGCCAGCAATGTGCTTCACAACCCATTGGATAGCCAACCTTTGGTCTTTCAAGGCCAGATTCCTCTCAGATCCGTCCCCGAAAGAGAAGATGTTTAGCCGGTAGTTAAAGGTTACTATGATCATTGGCTTTCCCCCGGAAATCGACTGAGCCACCAGAGGCGTTGTGTTGGAGGCTTTATGGGGTATTGGCGGGAAGCTGACGACTTGTGAACCCCCTTAACAGAATTAGCTGAATTGTCTATTTCTCGAGGGTAGGAGTAGTACCGTATATCCAAATCAGAACTGGAAGTGGGCCCTTTGCGCCTTCTGGAACAGACACATTGATGTTCAAGCAATTGAATTCATCTTGCGCTACTGTTTCTTCATCTTTCTCCAGTGAATGCGGGATTCGCAAGAGATACCCGATATCGATCGGATTCTGAGGGCATTGCGGACTGGAATTATAGATATTTGATTAACAAAGCGAATCTTTGTGATAGAAGAGGCGTTTTACCCAAAACGAGTACAGTCCAGTTTCTTTCCTTGCCACTCATCTACTAATTCCGCCTGAACAAACCGACCTGGAATCTTTCCATATGGGATTCCCCGGAAATGAGAGACCTTGAGCCCCTCCGCACTTATATCCTCTGTCCCTTCCAGAACAGCATGGAGAGATGGGTGATCTATAATTGGAGACATGATCCCAGTGGGGGAGGGTGTGGATCACGTGGACTGGGCAACCCCGCAGAGGAGGGGAGGTTGTGGTGGGATGGAGGTAGAAAGCGAGACTCACACTAGAGAAGAGACTCTCTATGGGTTCTGCTTTCAAACACTTGATTGGTAGCTTTTGAAAGCTTCGAGAAGACAGACTGAGCCTTGAAGTATAAAGTTAATGTAAGGTACAGACATAAGACTGAAAGACGTTGGAACTTGAAGCCTTTGAAGGTCAACAATAAGCGGGTCGACGATGCCACTTGTAGGAGGTTTTCCGAGGCCAAGCGCTACCAGCTAGAAGGGCCAAATAATAGCGAAGGAAACCACTTTTGTGAAGTTCTTATGGGTATCTTCTAGAAGGGCACGGAGTAGTAATCATGTCTTTATAAGAGCCTTGAAACTCCCATTAATTCTCACCTGACATGACGAGTTTCCGAGATTGAAGCGAAGTTGAAGATTCCAGGTTGGACATTATCAAGCCTCCGCGTCCCCTTGACCCGCCTCCCGCATCTCCACGATATTAGGCCAGTAATGGGATGCAGGCATGTGACATGGAATAGAGACCTGGATTCATCCCGAGTTCCCTCCCGAGAGCATGGCTTGAAGTGGATTGGTGGACCAGGATCGTCCGATAGTGTCATTCCTCCCTTCAGACAGCGGCAGAATTACGCATCATCGTAGGCGGTAGACAACTTGACATGTTGCTTTTGACGTTGTGCTTTCTCTCGTATTTCCGCAACCATCCAACACAGAGCAGAATCCCCTCCTGAGAAGGAACACGGAAGGAATTCGGATCATCTCCGGTCGAAGTCAAGCATCTACTGTGCTTTTTGCTCCTATGTTTGGGTTCACCGTGGTCGTTATTGAGCCTACCTAATCGCACTTCGTTTGGAGAGAGGAGGTTGCCTTGGATAAACCGTTAGACTCTTAGTTGGCAACCAAAATGCAGCAGTGTAGAACTCAACCAGATAAATGTTGTTGAAGTCCTCTCTTCTTCTCCTTGTGCTCCAGTTCACTCTTCTGCTTTACGGTTCACCACTTCATCCTGTTCATCCTGTCCGGGCGGAGATGGCTCGGTAAGGCCACACACGATGCCGTGCCAAACTGCCGATGGAGAATTGCAAAGGCGGACTAGACGCTCCTAGCAGAGGCAACGCTCGCGACTGATTCGTCTCTGGAAGTGCCGAAAACCAGCCAAAACAGAGGAATGCTTTGTGATGGTTTTGTCATTGAGCCCCGCTGGGTTGTACCCCGCAAGAACCAGGGCGGTCGCGGCTGTTGGACCCGCGTGGGACACTGAATCGACCTGGGGATTGCCGATTGTCTCCAAGAAGGGGGATTTCCGCTGGCGACGGCGACGCCTTCGTAATCTTCTGCTAATCGTCGCGGTGACCGTTGGACCAGTGAGGCTTCTCTCTAGCCAACGTCTAGCAAGCTTCGATCCGTGCCATGTCTGGGACGAACGGCTTCCCGATGTCTCCTCTGGCCACACTTAAGAAGGGCCCTCTGGGGCTCCACGCTGCGCGAGTTACTCTCCTCCTCACTGCTTTAAGAACTGCCAGTTTCACCGTGTGGTTTTCAACAAACTCAACCGTCTCTCTCATAGCTCTCCAAGATGCCCGCTCAAACCTCCGGCGCCGAAGACTACCAGAACATCTTTCACTGGGCCGAGACCCAGAAGGATGGGACCATCCCGTCCTTCGCGACAAGGAAGAATGATCCCTACGAGGTACGATGGCACACGTTCTGATGGGTATTCATATACGCAATGCTAATATCATCCTGCAGTACCAATCTGGCTTTGGAAATGAGTAAGTCTGCGGAGACTCAACCTCTCTTGTTGAAGGCTGACTGACAGCCCTTGAAGCTTTGAATCAGAAGCCATCCCAGGCACAATCCCACAGGGACAGAACAACCCAAGAGCGATTCGCTTTGGGCTCTATGCCGAGCAGATGACCGCCTCCGCCTTTGTCGCCCCTCGACATGCCAACAAGAAAGCATGGCTTTACCGAGTCCGACCAGCCGTCGCACATGAAGGATTTGTGAGCATGTCTCTTGTCAATCAAAGTCAGGATCTTGCTGACTCCCATGTGATTTAGACCAGCCTGCCAGACAACAAGGACATGGAGTCAAACTTCATCCCCCTCAACCCGCGAGTTCACCTCTCACCCACCCAATTGGCTTGGTTGCCCTTTGATATCCCCAAGGATGGAGAGGTGGATTTTGTCTCGGGACTCAAGACCATTGCGGGATCAGGTGATCCTACACTTCGTGAGGGTCTGGCAACCCATGTTTACACCGCCAACGCGAGCATGAAGCAGAAGGCATTTGTCAACTCGGACGGAGACTTCCTCATCGTTCCCCAGCAGGGAACTCTAGACATCCAGACCGAATTCGGTCCCCTCTACGTGCAACCCGGCGAAATCTGCGTCATCATGAGAGGTCAGCGTTTCCGTGTCGAGCTTCCAGATGGACCCTCCCGTGGTTACATTCTGGAGGTCTGGGGCACGAACTTTGAGCTTCCGGAGTTAGGACCCCTGGGCGCAAACGGTCTTGCCAACTCGCGGGACTTCCTCCACCCCAAAGCGAAGTACGACGCCAAGAAGGAGCGCTGGGAGATTATCTACAAGCTTGGAGGGAAGTTCTTCAAGAGCACACAGGGCCACTCGCCGTTTGATGTCGTTGCATGGCACGGCAACTATGTGAGTATTCCTTGCCTTGGTTCTTCCCTGAATAACCACTCATCTTTGATAGGTTCCCTACAAATATGACTTGACCAAGTTCGTCAATGTCGGCTCTATCTCAGTCGACCACATCGACCCCTCCATTTTCTGTGTCCTGACTGCCAAGTCAAGAGACCCCACCGCACCCCTCGCAGACTTCCTGATCTTCTCACCCCGATGGGACGTAGCATCCCACACCTACCGCCCACCATACTACCACCGAAACGTCGCCTCCGAGTTAATGGGTCTCATCTACGGAGATTACGGCGGACGATCAGACGAGTTCCAACCCGGTGGTGTGTCATTCGAGTGCGGTATGGTCCCCCACGGCGTCGCCTACGAAGAGTTCAAGGCGGCGACCGAGACGCAACCGCCCGAGATGCAGATCTCCAAGGGCTCCATCGCCATCATGTTCGAATCCAGCCGGCCCTTCACCATCACCGACTTTGCCTGGAATAGCCCCAAGAAGCACGAGCACGAGCCCAAGATGTGGGACAACCTGGTCGACAACTTCTCCACCCACGCCAAGGAGATCGACGAGATCCTGGCCCAACACAAGACAAATGATCTGAAGATTGCGAATGGGAAACCAAAGGGGTTCGCTAGTGGAAGCGCCCAGTAAAGAAAAATCGTGGGAGAAAGGAGCAGTTCGAGAAGAAATACTCGGATAGAACTCCTGGCCTGCCTCTATAAAGCTTGTGGACATTATTGAAGCGGTTTGGTAATTGTGTATATCTTTGATGATGCTGAGATTGTCATGCCCTCATGTTCAAGGCTAGTTTAATGAGACTTATGATCATATTTTGAAAGACTACTTGTTCCCTATGATATTTCTCTTCCCTGTAGACATAGTCCCGATTTGCATGCAGTTCGTGAAAGCCGCTAGATGTTGTTGGGATATGCATTTTGACTGAGACTGGTGAGATCGGCATTGGTCGCCATGTACACAGGCATTCGTTTTCGTTTTACAATACCTAGGTACTTAAGAGCACATTTTATATTGCTACTCGACAGTACAAAAGAATATGAGAGTGAACAAAAACGGTGTTACCTTTTTCTTCGGGTTAGGCAGCTGCCTATTTGACACAAAATGATTTAAATGTACAGTAAATTCTTTTTTATTTTGCTCGGGAGTAACTAATTCTAAAATTGGTTCTCCGTGTTGCCATCACCCATACTCTTGTTACTACTGCTTCCACTCTGGATCGCACCGAGTATACCATCAATGTACGAAGCACCACTCCACTTCTGGTGCGTCAAGACATCGACGCCGAGCTCCTTCTCTCTCTTCTGGACCAAGTTGACATAAGCAAGCATGCCATCCTCCTTGAAAGCCTTGCTCAGCTCATTGGTCACCATAGCCGTGCTGTGCAGACCCGCCAGAGAGATGAGCTGGAGGACGAACCCGTGCTTCGCGATGTCCCAGATGAAGGATTTGAGAGTCTCGGGTGTGAAGCCGTGAGCCATCCAGTTGAAGGATGGCGAGAGGTTGTAGACCAGTCCCTTTCCAGGGTACTTGGCTCGGATCTCTCCTGAGAATTGCGCGGCGTTCTTGACGTTGGGATCGCCCGTCTCGACCCACAGGAGATCGGCGTAGGGCGCATATTCGATGGCTCGCTTGGTGGCGGCCTTCATGCCTGCGCGGTAATGGTAGAAACCCTCCCGTGTTCTCGGGACATCGATGCTGAAGTAAATAGGCTTGTCAGTCAATTGCGATGCGAGATTTAAGCGCTTCGAAATGGACAAGTCGCGGTTCTCGGAGGTTTCCTTGAGGTACGAGTTGATTTTTTCTTGAGAGACACCATGTTTCTCCAGTTGCCTGATGACAGCCTCGTCACATGTCAGCAACTCGGTCTTCTTCACCCAATCCGCCTCGAAAGCGTCGATCTCCTTTCCGGTCGCGCCAGCCAATTCCATTGCCTGCAGAGTCTCTGCGAGGGGTTCGATACCTTCCTGGGCGACTCCTAGAATAAACTCGTGGTCCCGAACGTCGATAGCGCTGCTGAGCAGCTTGCCACTCTCCGAGTCTGTTCTTGCAATCACAAGGTTCTCGGTTCCCATCACGTCCCACTGAAATCTTGCAGCCACTAAACGATTGATGTGCTCTCCAACTGGCACGAGGACTTTGCCTGCAAGATGCCCGCACTTCTTTCCGCCGTGCATTTGATCTTCGAAATGCACCGCCGCAGCACCATTCTCGGCGAAGAGCTTAGCAAGCTTCAAGACTGCGGAGAGTCCACCATGTCCCGTGTCTCCGTCCGCAATGATAGGTCGTAGATAATCCACGTAAGGTGTCTTCGCTCGCTCGGCTGGGGTCATCTTCCTCCGCGCATCCCAGTGTTTTCTGTCATGCATAGATTGTGCCTTTGCGAGTCTCTGGACCTGGTTCGGAACAGTGTTGTAAGGGTAGTCGCCGAAATCAGGGGACACCTCGTTGGTGGTCGTGAGAACAGACGAGCATGCCCAGCCGGATATGTAGAGAACCTCTTGATTCGGTGCTTGTTGTGTCATTTGTACCGGGTCAATTGCGCCCACTGCAGGATGTCAGGACTTGAAGAATTTGTTGCTGTGTTGGCGGGGTGCAACGTACTGGTATGTATTGGCTCGCCCTTTGCCTCCCTCTCTTTGATCAAGTTGAAGAGCTTCCTGGCCATGACCGAGCTTGGATATGATTGCAGCTGACTTCCGCGTTTCGAGACAACATCCTCCGCCGAGTATGGTCTCTTGATCCCCTCATATCTTGGGCTCGCCCACCATGCTTCGACATCCTTCAGTTGTTGCTCGTAGAGTGCGTCTTCCGCCGCTCCCGCCTTTTCTGATTCAGGTAAGAGTTGGAAGGCATCCGAGGGAAGAGGTGCGGACAACGGATTGCTGAGAGGTTTTAAAGCGGACATTCTCGGTGCTGATATAGAGATGTTGCGGACGAGGATGTTCGAGGGCCTCGCCGCCACCACTCGTCTCGGGACCTGTGAAGCGATCCTGCGCAACATTTTCAATTCTGGGAATAAGTGAGAATAGACAAAGAACCAGAACTAGCACGAGACGAGACGATGATCATATAACATGTAAATATTATATAATAATGCCTCCTCTCGCATCGACGGAGCCGATAAAGCAGAGCAGCTTGCACAAGACCCAGGGACGCTCTGCGCGGTTGTCGGTACATTTGCCATCTTTCGGCCGAGCATCGTACGGGGATGACGGCTTACTTCGGCAATCCCCAGTATCCCGATTCGCCCCAGGAAGTCCTAACGGCCGCTGCGGCTCTGCCATTGGTCAATTCCACGTTACCCCGACGCCGCTATGATTTATTCCCTCGGCTCGAAGGTACGAGCATGGCGAAGTCACGAAGCTGCAACGATAAAGCACCGCTCTTCTTATACAGCTGGTCAACTTCAAGTCACGCTCGAGAAAGACAGAGACTTCGTTCTGCTCCAGCTGTTCCATCTTGTATCGAGAGTTGAGACCTCTTCGATCGCAGCATCCTGTCCCTAGAGACCTTACGTATATATACATTCAGTAATTCATTACCCCACAACCCGCCACACCCGCATTATTTCCCCCGGAAAGATGGCCATGAAAGCGAGATCTGCTTCGTCAGCGTTGAGGGCATTCCGAGTAAGTTTCCATCCGAAAAACTGCAATTGAAATCAGTCTGCTGACTTTATCTACCATAGCCTCTTGCTGTGCGCCCTGCCGCTATTCCAGCTCACCGCAATTATGCGACTTCATCAGAGCCAGACCTCAAGACAGCCTTCAAAGAGGCTATTCCCGCCAAGCGTGAACTCCTGAAGAAGGTGAAGGCGCTGGGTGACAAGACTATTGGAGAGGTCAAGGTGGAGAACACACTTGGTGGTATGAGGTACGCAGTTGTAGGCTGGCCCCGTTGATGCATCAGACTGATAAGCATACAGAGGATTGAAGGCAATGGTATGGGAGGGCTCTGTTCTCGATGCCAACGAGGGTATTCGATTCCACGGCCGTAGCATCAAGGATTGCCAAAAGGAGCTTCCAAAGGGTAAGACTGGCACCGAAATGTTGCCAGAAGCCATGTTCTGGCTGCTCTTGACTGGCCAAGTCCCATCCACCAACCAGATCCGACAATTCTCTCGTGAGCTTGCAGAGCAAGCTGCACTGCCAGAATTTGTCAACAACCTGCTGGACAGCTTCCCCAAGGATCTACACCCAATGACCCAATTCGCCATTGCTGTTTCAGCCCTTTCTCACACCTCCAAATTCGCCAAAGCATATGAGAAGGGCATCAACAAGGCTGACTACTGGGAGCCAACATTCGACGACAGCATCTCTCTTCTCGCCAAACTTCCAGTTATTGCTGCCAAGATTTACCAGAACGCCTACCGAGGTGGTGGAGCCCTTCCTGCCGAGGTCGACCTGGAGCAGGACTGGGCATACAACTTTGCTGCCCTGCTTGGTAAAGGAGGAAAGAAGAATGAGGACTTCCAGGATCTGCTGAGACTCTACCTTGCTCTTCACGGTGACCACGAGGGTGGTAATGTTTCGGCACACACTACCCACTTGGTTGGTAGCGCTTTGAGTGACCCCTTCCTCAGCTACAGTGCTGGTCTTCAGGGCCTGGCTGGTCCTCTTCACGGGTGAGTCATCTTTCGTAACATTTAATGGTCAAAACTAACGTTCCCAGCCTTGCTGCCCAAGAAGTTCTGCGGTGGATCCTCCAAATGCAAGAGCACGTTGGAAACAACTTCACAGACAAGGATGTTTCTGACTACCTCTGGGCAACTCTCAAATCAGGACGAGTCGTGCCAGGATATGGTCACGCAGTTCTCCGAAAGCCAGACCCCCGATTCGAGGCCCTTATGGACTACGCATCGTCCCGTCCAGACATTGCCAAGAACCCCGTCTTCCAGCTTGTGAAGAAGAACTCTGAGATTGCTCCACAAGTCCTCAAGGAACATGGTAAAACAAAGAACCCGTTCCCGAACGTAGATTCCAGCTCTGGTGTGCTGTTCCACCACTATGGATTCCACGAGACTCTTTACTACACTGCTACCTTTGGTGTCAGCAGAGGTTTGGGACCTTTGGCGCAGCTGATCTGGGATCGCGCGCTGGGTCTTCCTATTGAGCGACCAAAGAGTATCAACTTGGAGGGTCTGCTGAAGCTTGCAGAGAAGGCATAAATAGGAAAAGTAAATAGATCATGTTATTTTTAGAATGTTGTTTACGGTGTTCGAGTTCCAATATATCAGTTGACTTCTCCCCTACACAATATAAGATCACGTAATCCCAGCTTGTTCCATACTGATGGCCACAAATGATGACCTCGTACAAAGTTAAGGATTCCTCATGATCCCAATATTAAGGATTCTGCGTGGAGGACTGGCGGGAATGCAGGAACGAATATGTGGAGTTAGGAGTTACTCGGGAGTCGGAATTAAGGTCTTATCGCCCGATTCTCCTAATTCAAGTTGTTTACATAAAAGGCACACACGAATCATATGACCTCATTGAAGAATCGCCGTTTAACTCTAGGTATTTTCTTATCACAAGTCCACTTTTCTTCAACTTCTATACATATCGTGGTGCAAGATGGCAGCTCCCAAATCCAACATTGTTTTGATTACAGGCGCCAATCAAGGCATAGTAAGTCAGATCACTACAATTATCATATGTTTTTGCCCCAAATTTTGTATTTTCAGTCCATAAACAGCATTTCATAGACAGTACAGTTCTATACCAAAACCGTGGCTAACTGATTTCACCAGGGCTTTGAAATTGCCAAGAAGCTTGCCAAAGAGTACCCAGGGTATCATGTTTTGATGGGAAGTCGCAATGCCGAACGGGGCCAAGCAGCAGCGGACAAACTGTTGGCAGAGGGCCTCTCGGTTGAACCCATCACTATCGACGTTACGGTCGACTCAAGCATCACAGCGGCTGCCGAGACGGTGAAATCCAAATATGGGCGCCTCGACGTGCTAGTGAACAATGCCGGCATAGAAGTCGAAACCAAGTATCCACAGGGCAGCAAGACGATCCGAGAAGTTCTCCAGGAAACCTACGACACCAACGTCTTCGGCGCCATGCAAACCCTCGAGACGTTCGCGCCTCTCCTGGAGAAGGCCGAAGTGCCCCGCGTGGTCTTCGTCTCTAGCCATCTCGGCTGCTTCGGGAAGCCGGACAATTTCCCCGGACAGTGGCCCGTGTACCGAAGTAGCAAGACAGCGCTCAATATGTTGCTCTTGTCATACTCGCACCTATACAAGGAGAAGGGATGGAAGATTAACGCTACATGTCCGGGATACTTGGCGACGAATCTGAATAATTACTCGGGGTATGGATCGGTGGACACGGGTGCTATTAATGCGGTCAGACTGGCGACCCTGGGCAAGGACGGAGAGACTGGGACGTTTTCGGAAAAGGAAGGACCTTTGCCCTGGTAGTTGGTGGTCAATTACCTGCTGGCAGATCGTGGGCGTGATATCTCGATACGGAGTCTCGTCTTAGGCTGGCTATGGCTTAAAATACAGCATACTCGCATTGTTTCATGCCCTTACTCGCTATATAGATGATTGGGGCCAGATACCAAAGCGTCTGAAGAAATCAAGAACATCTAGACAAGTTCTCTTGCATTAGGTGATTGATCAAAAATTCCCATCGATCCGAACCCCTCGAGTAACGAGGTCGCCTTGGTTTCATCTGATAACTTCTATTATTTGATGAATTGGATAGTAAGGTAGCAAGTGCTCCTGACCAGCTTCGACACCTTCCTCCATTCTGCAGTCACTACTGGATTAAATGTTGAGCGAGGGAATCTCGGTGCGGAACTCAAGACTACCTTCCGTTGAGGTCTCGATCAGAGTAGTATCTGGATTGGATGGTTGTACTAGGAATTTATCTGATCCTTCTATCTCAAATCGAGTGGCCCAGGTTGCGTGACCCCTCTGTGTATCCGGCAGATGATGCATCTGAGCTCGAACCATTTGATTATCATCACCTGAAGCCCAGTCTTCATAACCAGAGGGGTCAGTCGTTGTTAGCGACAAGCACCAACAACACGTATTATGCGTTGGGCTTAAAGGACATGTGCAGATGACTCTTTGGCACCCCTGGAAGGCACGCTTTTCATTCAATGTTGCCCAACAGAGTATCATTGAGGTTGAAGCCATCTGTGCTGAACATCCTGAGCAAGAGCCACGGATATCGTTGGAGCCAGGTGGGACAATGTGATATGATGCCGTGCCGGTATCTAGTATCCACTGTTTTCCAGACCTCTAAGACTCTTCTGGCCTCCGTTGTATCCGAGCTCAATTGTGATACCTTGGGATGAGGAGCTTGGGCGCGCACGCTGCTCGTCCACCTGGATCAACTCGCCTGGCTACTGTCCCGTATAGTTGATTGCCATTCCAATGTTGCAAAACCCAGACCGTTAATCGCGAACTGCGGCAGACCCGGACACTTCACCAACCCTCAAGATTGGAAGAGAATGTGACGCCATTAATTAACTCCCGCGTCTAGAAATCATCATGACTGTGTGCCAAAACACGCCGCCTAGCTGAAAGCGGCTTCCATACTCTACTCCTCGCGGGAACACCAGCAGGCTAATTGATGGACCTGAAAATGTTGTTGGTCTAGGCGTGGAATGCGAGAAGCTCCCGATTGATATTCCTTTAAGGAGAGCTTATCTTCGAACCGATTATCCCTCCGTAGGGCTTATCGTGTCGTCTGGGGACGGAAATCTAATCAGCGATAAGCAAGTAGCGAATTGCGGGGCCGTGGCGCATACCGGGAAGATGATCCGCTTCCGCCCGATATGTGGTGGTGTATGAATAAGGATGAATAAGGATGAATAATGACCGGAATAAATCTCTATAGAAACCCAAACTTGGTATTTCGACATTTCGATAGCAGCGATGAAGAACCTGTGTCTGTTAGTTCTGCTTCTGTATCATCAGACTCCAGCGTGGATAGTTATTAGTTCCATTTCTGGTTTAAAGAAAGGCCATACATACCTGTAACACCCCACACCTGTAAACGCCTTGAAAACCCTTTGTCCCTTGCCATAACCCCCTTAAACTTGGAATAACTTATACCCGCCATGACCTTGGATACAGCCAAGTACGCCAATTCTCTTCTCCAAGCCATCTGAAAGTTCAACTCCGTAGCTTGGAGGTGGTATGCCTTGGAGCGGTGCTCTTGGAGGAGGGGGGGTAGGCTCGGTGTTCGTTTGGCTAGATGGCACTTTTGGTTGGTCCATCCGTTTGCCCGAGGTATCTTGTTCAATGGTTGCTTGGATCGAATTTTGGTCTTGCATGGTTCTGATTTTGATTTTTCTGCTGAAAGATATGTTGGTAGATGTATTGACTCTTTCTTGTGTTTTGAATCACCACTCTCGCTGAGCCCTGCGGGGACGACCCCTCCTATATTCATATGCCATCAGATACCAACCAGATCAAGGCTAACTTGTAGTTGTGAGGCGCTGTTGTGATTCGACGGCCTATGCCGACCGATCACCGAGTCTTCCTATTGTTCGCGCTGGAATGAAGGCCGATGAGTGCCGCACGGGGACAATTGTCAGACATCCTAGCAGTTGAAATGGGGACTTCTTTGCGCCCCCACCAGCCTTCATTGAGGACCATCGAATTGGAGCTTGAGATACATGTCACCTGAATAACCCTTCGAACTGCTAATCCAGGTGCGGACCTCCGTCAGTCTCTGCCCGTCTATGCCGGCCTTCATACTAGCCATCTGTAAGCCGTCATGACGCATATAATCCATCCCTTCAAAGCCAACGTTTGTCAACTCAACCACTCCCAGCAACCAAACTCAGATAAACCCCCCACGCCACGTTTGCCAACCCGCTCACTAGCTGCCGCGACTGAACACTCTTTAACAGCGCATAATTCACAAAACTAACCAACGGCCACAACTTCCAGCTCGCCCACATCAATCCCCAAAAGTCCTGCTTCGCAATCTCTACCGCCTGCTCAAAGCTGGCTCCTCCAAACCCTGCAAACACGATGCTAAATATCAGAGTATTGAACACCGCGCCAATCGTCTGGTCGAGTATGAACTTGATGATCGTATTGGGGATGGACAGTTGAGGTTCGGGAGGGGTAGCCCCTTTTTCTTTGCGCTCGACCTCCGCCTTGTTGTCTCGAGGTGCGGCTTGGATCGTGGAAGGGAAGGCATGTTCGAGATAGGTTTGCCTATGTGCGATTCATTAGCAGGCATGTATGTCATGGTGAGAGAAAGCGCTGCGCTACCAGAGGAAGTTAGGAGGGTTGTTCAAGACTGCGAAAGCGAGGAACTGGCCGACCTGGGAGAAGTCTATTATGAATTGTTCCTGTCCTCAAAACATTAGTGAGTTGAAGAGAGAGCTGGGAAGAATGGGCATGGTATACATTGTTCTTGTACGCTGTGATGAACTGTGCGAGAATGCTGCTTGTTCCTGAGAGGATCGCGGATTGAATCGTGCTGTTTATGATTGCGGACGACATCTTGGATAGGGACAAGAGAAGTAGGAGGATGAAAATCAATGGGATGCAGTATTAAGGAAAAGGTCAACTTTCCTTGTCGAACGGCACATATATACACCCCACTGTTGGAAGCAATGTGTTTGCCGTTGATGTTTTTACCTACCACACGGACCCCGGAGTACCGTCGACTTACCTAGGTACATACTGTAGATCGCTTCGTTCTTGCGGTGTAGAGCAGTCCGGGGTCATCCTTTTGAAGATATAATATTTTCGAGGCTCTGATAGTGTAAAGACAACGATGTTCTCATAAGTAAGGTATATGCAGAATATCTGGTCTACTGGCAGTCCACGGCCAGAATGTCCCATCTGGCGGTCTTAGTGTAATCACGTGACTACCATTCCTGCTCGACCTCGATCCGCTGAAAAATTCCTGATCTCAACCGCTCACTATATCCTCGCTCAATGGATTTTCCTTTACCAACTCGAACCCGAGGGCAATGAAGCAATGAGCCTCTCGCACAGATTTCGTTGGATGGGAAGTGCCCTTCTTCGTTCAGGGGGAAGCTCTTCAACATTTCCAACGTCATGTACGGCATGATCTTGGGAGAGTCTAATTGCATGTCCTGGCTACACAGGAGTGATTTTCCTTTTTACCTTAAAAAGATAGAAACTTCTTGGAAGTGTCTATTAGGATCATGTCTTCCCTTCAAATGCCTGACATATCATTAATCATCATAATTTACACGAGTATTTTTATCTCTATCCATCTCTCATTCATTTTTCAACTCCCAAACGCCAGCCAAGGGAACTCACTCCCTGTATTTCTCGTTCCTGAACCTTTAATACCATCCAGTAAGCTTCAAATCCCTTGAAGACGCCCCGACCCTGACCGAGATCCTGCCTTCGGTCGGCATAACCCAATTCTGCTGCACGACATCCCAATAACTCAAGTCTCTCCTCGTGAGATTGAAATGTACCGTCTGCGTCTCATCTTTCTCGAGATACACCTTCTCGAATCCTCTCAAGACCTTGTCAGGGAAACCCACTTTCGCTGCCTCGCCCGTGACGTTTGTGTAGCTGAGATAGAGCTGTGCGACTTCCTTGCCCGCGCGTGAACCTGTGTTCTTCAGGTCGACGGACACAGAAGCATACACGTTCCAAAGATCAGGATTTCCACCCTCGCCACCGCCAGCTTGGGAGGAAGGTTGCTGGATGTCGTAACCTTCGGGGTATGGGTATTTGCCTGTCTTGATATCGGAGACCTTTTCGATATAAGGATAGATGAAATTGGTCAGCTTTCTAAATCCCTCCGGGAATAGAGCCGTACTTGGGTCTGGTATAACGTCGTCGAATTGAGGAGCTGGAAGTGGAGCTGGTCTTGGAGAAGGCAGTGGTGATTTAGGGAGGATGGGCGTGACGACGAGATTTGAGTATTCAAAGGTGGTGTATGAGAGTCCAAAACCGAACTCGAATCTAGGCTCGATATCATACTCGTCGAAATGGCGGTAATCAATGTACAGTCCCTCGGTAAAGTTCTGTTGAGGCACTGCCCCATTTGCATAATATAAGATTTTAGCTCCTGGTCCGTAATCATCGAGCGACTTCCCGATGGTATATGGCAGCTTTCCGCTGGGATTGACATTTCCAAGAAGGATGTCTGTGATGGCGTTTCCGCTTTCTTGTCCTGGAAGGTTCGCCATGATGACAGCTTTGACTCCAGGTAGATCAATCCATTTCTCTACAATGACGGGACCCACGGAGTGGATGACAACAATGGTACTACCCTTGCCCTCACCACAACCCTGAGCGACGTCCTTGATGAGTTTGTCGCCGCCCTTTTGGAGGAATAGATCGTTACGATCCCCGTTGATACCGTTCCAGGACTTGTAACCCTCGCCGGAATCCGAGTTAGCAAAAACGATACAAACGTCTTGATCGGCGAGAATCGCAGGTGCTTGCTTGAAAGGTGGAGTGTTAACAGGGAAATCCGAGACGTAAACCCGCTCCTTGTTGAAAGCCTCTTTCAGTGCCGCAGCAGGGGAGATCAAATATGGAAACTCGACTGCACCAGAGCCCCAACCCGACCCAAGAGTTCCCTGATTGCAAGCTCTGTCTTCGCAGGCATTCGGACCAGATCCTTCCCCTGCATCCTCTCCAAATATCCCAACCCGATAGATGAGTTCATGTGGTTGATCAGTGGGCCAGCCATCTTTGCTCAAGGGCAACAAATTCCCCTCGTTTTTGACGAGAACCGTACCCTCTGTAGCGACTTGGCGCGCAATGATGGAGTGAGCATCGTCACCAGTTCCTTGTACATTGACGAACTGGTTAACGACCTTGATATCCTTGTCGTCAGGACTCCCAGGATTGATGAGGCCCATTTTATCGTTCGTCCACGATGAGAAGTTGGGTCCCTTGCCATCGAATTTAGATTGATCATCTTGGCCAAGCTGATACCACGCAGCAACAACTCTAGTAACCATATCGTTGAGTCTTGAGATCGGTAACGAGCCATTCAAGACGGACTTTGTCAATTCTGATCCCCATAGAGATTTCCCAGCTGCCCAGCTCAGTCCATCTCCAGGCATCGTGACATCGAGGCCAGATAGTGCACTGGCAACGCCCGACCGTTGAGCAAGCCAATCCGACTGTACAAATCCTTGGAATCCCAGCTCATCCTTAAGGATGCCATTCAGCAATTTCGAATTCCCACAAGAGTATGAGTTATTGAGCATCTGGTAGCTGCACATAACACTGGCAACGCCAGCTTTCACCGCATCTTGGAATGGCCACCCATACATCTCGTGCAGTGCTCTGTCATCGATGTTCGAACTCATCGCATTTGGCAGTCCCCATTCCCAACTTTGTCTGAAGTGTTCCTGTTCATTGCCAATAAAGTGCTTGATTGTAGCAATAACGTTTTCCTCTTGTATACCCCTAATGGTCTCAGCAGCGGCAATGCCCTGTAAATATGGATCTGCTCCGAAACCCTACACCAATGTTAGCATTCGATAGTGCCGAAGGACTTAAACGCAGCTTACCTCCCAGTTACGTCCACCAGCTGGCATTCTACCAAGAGGTCCAACGCAAGGCCCTAGCAGCACATTGATACCCTTCAAGCGCGCCTCGTTTCCATGTGCTTTCCCTCTCCGGTACATCAGGTCCTTATTCCAAGTCGCACCTACGGTGACCCCAGCCGGGAAAGCAGTTGCATTGTCCGCAAATCTCAATCCAAGTGGACCATCCTGGTATGCCAGACTAGGAAATCCAGCATGGATTGCAGGTCCCGTATTCCCGACTGCCAAGCCCATCTGCCAACCTGTGCCTGTTGTAATGTTGACCTTCTCCGGCAGCGTCATCTTCTTGACCAATGCCTCTGCCTTCTTATAGCTTTCGCTCCACTGAGGCACCGTGCCTCCCAGAGGTGTAGGATACCATGGCGGCGATTGTCCGTTTAACGGGACCTTCTTGAATAAATAGAATCCTCCCCCCGCCAGTATTGCCCAGAAGATTATGAGTACGACCACGATAGTAACGATGCATTTCGAGCGGCGACCAAAGGAAGAGCGGAGGGTTGTGGAGTTTATAACCGGCTTGTATGCAGAGACAGCAGGTTGAGCGCGGTCGTTGAGAGGATCTGACTGGAGGAAGTCGGTAGCTTCGAGGTCATCGTCACTGGAGGATCGATAGGCATCCTCAAGAGATTTGCGCATCGGTATTCGCTCTCCCTCCTCATATGATCGAAGGAGGCCCTCACGGCTCTGATTTGCTTCTGCGTGGCCATCCATGGCGATGATCGGGTTCGATGTTCGATACAGTATTAGGAATTGAGTAGCTATTCTCCCGTCTTGTCGCTTGTTGAACGAGGGAAAGGAGGTATTCGGTGGCCAGCTCAGAAGATCGCAGAGCTGAAACAATCAAATGAGAGTGCAAACGGACAATGGCAACTCTCACCGCAAGACGCACGAGAGTGAGTGTATGTCGCGACCCGCGAGGCTGGAGGTTTGCTCGCCGGGATGATGCGGCTTAGTGCCAAATTCCAACTTTCTTTTTCTTATTCACTTGTAATTACCTATATACCGATAAGCCATATTAACTACAAGATTTCTTATCTAAGAACTCATGAATCATCACCCGCTACAGCAAAAAATGAAGCTGCAAATAAATCTTCCATCGACATCTCAGTCGAGTGATCTCCCCGCGGCTCCCCGGGTTTCTCTGTATCAGGCAAAGTGCGTGCACGGGCCAGTCACGGCGGGTTGACCTTTTGTCTCCTCGCTCTTCGAGGCAGTGGATGTATCCTCAGGTTAGGCAGAGTACAATCAATACCTTTCTCTCTGGTATAGCCCCCGATTCGGTTTTATTTCAAGGTGAGCAAGATGTTGATAAAGGTCGTAGTACGATCCCCCTCACAACTCTAACCCCCTTTTCCACCTCTCCTTGGCTTCTCTCGACGCTATATCAACAACCTGTTGAGCAATAGCTTCGAATTTGGAGCAGCTGCTGCCTTGGGGCAAGGAGTCTCTTATTTCTGCTTCTGATCTGCTTCTGATCTGCTTCTGATCTGCTTCTGATCTGCTTCTGATCTGCTTCAGCTAGTGCTGTACCATACCTACATTACTTTGAGAAACTTGTCCAAGAGCGGTATAAGCTCTCAATTCCAACCTCAGTTCTAGACCTTACATGCTTCAAAGCTCTTCTTTGCTCTTCCTAGTATTTCAGTTTATCCTTATATAACAGGCAGCATTTGCATCCAACATGGTTGGCAAATAACGGTCTCCTACCTGTTAGTATCAGACTCCCGTGTTTTGCTGTTGTGCTAACGAACCATATCCTTCGTAATTGCCTCAATGTCACTGAAAGTATTATTGTGGAAACCCAACCTCTCACCAGGTACTCTTGTAGGCGGCTCAAACAAATCGCAGCCGTGATTTCGCCGTTCAGCGTGTTCAGCATCAAATATATCAAACTCTCGACCGGAGAAGTCAGAACGAGTCGCATTTAAAAGAAATTAGCCGGGTGAGGCTGCCCCTGATTGTGAGATGGGGTCTGGACCCAGACCGGGAGTGAGCTCGAGGCACTCTCCTTGATGTATTATTCGACACAGCTCGAAAATAGTAGGGCTTATGTGTTTAGATCTCACACCCATCAAAGCCAATTAGATACTACACTAAATGGCGGTCATCACAAAGAGCATGGCCAGTAGTAAAGATGCAATCCCTTAAGAATGGAATGCTGAAGAGCGCCTTGTCGTTGTTACCTATCGCTCACATGGATAATCATAAATCTCAGCCCAGTCCCACACCCCCAGCATCAATACTCTACGACCTTAAGGTTCCGCACCAGCTCCTCCGGCAGCTCCTCCTTCGCCACCAAACCCAGACCGACGACATCGCCCCAGAAGAAGCGCGCCCGCTCCTGCGCATACCCCAGGTAGTCGAACTCGTCCTCCTCGTTCTCAGCCTCCTCCATGCTATCTGGGCCTTCTGGTCTCTGGTCCGGTTTCCCGGGCCGTTCCGGCTCGCCGCTGAAGACGGGTTCTTCCGTCCCCGCGGCGCCTTCGACGACGGGGCTCTTCTCATCCAGTTCCGGCACCTTGGCCTGCACGATGCCCCACGCAACCCATTGCGCGCTATTAGCGACCCGCCAGATCCTAACCTCCTTCAACAATTCCTCCACGTGTCGGTCCGTCTCCTGCTCTCGTCTGGCCTCCTCTTCTGTATAACTGCTCTCTCCGAGGCTAAGCATACTCCCGCCCGGTGTTCTCGAATCTAGTAGGAACTCGCCAATACTTCCTTTAGCCAACCCATCCATTGCCGCGATCTTGGGCGTCGCCGACGCTCGGGGATTGAATTGCGGTCGGTGGTTCACGTAACTCCGGATGAACGCCCTCTGTTGTTCCAGGGTGGGGTAGTTAGCAGTATTGCAAGCCCAGGGTTTGTTGGCGTCATGATAATCGTAGCACCATTCAGTAAAATGATTTGCGAACTCGAGACCTGGCGTGTTGGCGGATGCGTACTCGAAGTCGATTACCACCAGTTGTTTGTGGGTATTCTGGGGGAGGAGCAGTGGGGAAGGAGCAGAGCCGGAAGAAGGTGGTTCGGGGATGAGGCGCAGGATATTTCCGTATTGTGTCTTTCTCGAAGTCAGCTACTAGGAAAAGTGAAATGTGGGAAGGGAGACATACATCATTGTGAGCAAAGACCAGATTGTTCATCACTCCCCCTTTCTCTCGGTAATATTCATCAAGCCATTTCCGGTATTTGTCAACGGCGGACTTGAAGACCTTCCACTCAACGCCACACACCAGACCTCGTTCTCTCCATGACTCTCCTCTCCTTTTCTTCCCGCTTAGGATTTCCTTGTCGAGATATCGGATCACTTCCTCGCACCTGTCGACCCACTTGTCCCAGTTTCTCCATACGAATGGTCCTTCTTCCCTCTCCCTTTCAAGTAACTCAATGCCTTCATGCAGTTCCCTCATACGCTTGGCAATCTGTTTGCTCGTGGCCGAGTCCCTCAGATCTTCCGATTTCAATGTCTGCGCATTGAAATACTCTTCGAATCGCCCATTTCTGAACGTTCCTAGTAGTCTCGGTCCGATCTTCTTGCGTGCTAAGCGACGCAGAATTCCCAACTCGTTCTCCCGGTCGATCAAATGTTCGACTTGTGGCCCGTAGATTCGTAAAAGAAGCTTCTGCGGGGGTCTAGGCTTGTGCGGCGTAGAAGAGTTGGTGTTACTTGTCAGTGGAAGCTCTGCAGGTGGAGAAACGACATAGACGGCATTCGTCAGTGCTCCGCTCAGCCGCTCAACCTCGATATCCCCTCCCCTCTCTAAAGGCACTCTCCTCCACCCCTTCAACCTTAGTGTATGTGCCAATCTCAAGATCTCCCTTTTAAACGCCAGCCATGCCTTCTTCTCCTTCTCCGCTCGTTTCGAAGTAGACAAGGTAACATTCTCAGTTGAAGAATCCGCCGAGCCTCCACTGTACGACAGCGTCTTGGAATTATCCAGCATCACGTCACACGAAGGTACAACCACGTCCCCATCCTGGTATTCCGTATCCGAGCTTTGAAACCCCCTCTTCGACGACGCCCCCCTCCGCGGATGTGATGGCCGTCTTGGTCCCAAGGACGGCGAAGTAGACGGCAGGCTATCTTGTCCATACCCAGTCATGTTGTCCTCCAGAATTCGCTGCAGCTTCTCGAGAGAAAAAGCACTGGAATCCGAACTCTGGCTCGATGTACGTCGTAGCGAAGGCTGGCTTGCATCTCCCTCCAGATTCAGTCCTTCCAGCTCCTGTTCTTTCGACAACCTCTTCGCGGATTTGCGCGCTGCCCGCTTGGCTTTTTCCTTCTGTAGCCATTCCGAGACCTGTATGAGTAACCTTTCGTGCTGCTGTTGTACGTGGCGATGGTGAGGATGATGCCCTTCTCCTCGGTGATGCTGCGTCGCAGAGGTATCAGACGACACATTGAATTCATCCATGCCGCCCTGATTCGCGGGCGAGATTCTCGACGATGAACTGGACGGCATGCTTGGACGCCCAGTCATCCTCTTCGTGGATAGGCTAGTCGAGAACCGCCTGTGTCGGGTGCTCTCATCGGGCGAAGTAAGCGGAGGCATGTTTTCGGGCTCTGCGATCGAGACAACTGAAGAGAATCAGCAAGTGATGGAGGGCGACGGGTTGAAAAGGAGGAGACAAGGAAGCGAAGAAAGGACAGAGGACCAAGATGCAGGGAGGAAAGCTTATTCCAAAGAAGGTTTCTCCCGCTACCCCACGTCTCTAATATGCTATTTTCTCACCTTTGACAGGTCCACTCCTAGGGCTCAGAGGTCCATCATCTTCGACGCGAAGTGCGGGTCGAAGAGGTATACTCGCGCCACTTTCTGTGGGTGTCGACATGGTGAAAACTTCTCGACGAGACGGTCCTCTCCAAATTACTCTCCTTTCTTCAAGCAAGCACCGCCTCTACGCCCTGCTTCCTAGCCCTGATAATATAGACCGAATCCACTCTGCGGTCAGTTCGTTCGTTCCTATGCGAACGACTCCAACCACGCGACGGAAGAGAAGAAAAAAGTTCGACCGCTCTTGCGAGCCTCCCTCTCCAGCCTGTTTTCACCAAGGACGGTATGGGCGGAAGTGACCAATATCTAAACGCTGAACTTTCCACCCAGGATTGCACCAGAAGCATCCATTTCCCGTTCCTATTCTCCTGGCGGTCTGCACATCAGGTCGCGGTCGTCGTTCGTCGTTCGTCGTCTAGCGAAAAAAGAGGGTGAAGTTAGAGAGTATCAGCGATCACATGAAGAAAAGGCCGGGTCGGCTAACCAACGCCGCTACGGAGTTGATCAGGGTCCACTCCCGCAAAGTGACGTAAAAGGGGGGCTTGTGTGGCTTGTGTGGCTTGTGTGGCTGTGCTCTGAACTGGCGTCTTGCATGTGATTCTGCTTGCCAGGGAGGTGGCTGGTGACGGAGGGAGGACCCAGGAGAGCTGTTTTATACCTACCTAGGTAGGTACTGGTAGAGACTGTTCAGAGTTTCACATTCTACTTTATCAATCACAGTGCCTCCTCTTCCGTTGCTACTCCTGTGGTATCCATGAAGGCCATCATCTCTCGAATATCTGATACATGTGCTGTCAAGAGCTCAAGAGCTCAAGACAAGGCCATGCTTGCTATATGAGCGCACAATTCGCCATGACAAGTAAAGCACAGTCTCCAATATGTAACACTTGGTTCTTTCTCCAACTACCCATCATCCGCCCCTCCCCTCGCCCTTCTTCCCAAACGCGCTGCTGAACCTCAGTCCATCTTCACCAACCACCAGCGCCACCCAGCGGCGCTCCCTCGCTCCAAACCCGGCGATCGCATCCGGCTTCCCGATATTCGGCGTCTCGTCCTTGAGAACCTCAAGGATCGTGCTGTACTGGACATGCGAGTGTGCATCGCCGCCGTAAAGAGTCTCGGCGTCTTCGCGCGTCTTTGGGATGGGGGAGAGGAGGAGGTGTAGGGAGGGGAATTGGTCAAAGACCCGTCCTAGGGCGGGCTTGAGTGGACTTGATGGGAAGACTGAGGAGAGGAAGGGGTTGGATTGCTGAAGTTGGCGTCTGGAGAGGGAATGAAGATCGAGATCTGGAGGGTAGGAGGATTTGGATGAGATGGTGGAGTTGTGGAGGATGGTAAGGATGTTGGATTGGGACGAGAGGTTGTGTATGATGTTCGAGAGAATGGAGAGGATATTATGTGCTGTCAATCTGTGTTAGTATGTGGAAGAGAATGCTTCAGGGGAAGGAGACATACCTTCACTTTTCTCCTTACGAGCAAAAAGCTCGTTAATTATGTTGGTCATATTGTCGACGATGATTATCTCGGTGCCTTCGACTTCCGCCCCCCCGGCTCCGATTTGCGGGGCGGCTTGTTTCTGAATGCGTGGCACAGGCTGTTCAGTCATTGCTACTTCGTCTTCGTCTGGTGTTGATTCGTCCTCACTATCACCAATCTCTCCCACTATCGAAGGCTTTGGGAGTTTCTGCAGAAGGTCGTTCTCCCCAATTCCCGCTTCTCCCACCGCATCGCCAGCCTCTAATCCTTCTTGTGGATGCTCACAATCCAAGTTTGAGCGATCATCTCGTCCTACTTCACTCAATACCTCCCACAGCCCTTCAACATCAAACACCCGACTGATAGCCACCATTTCTAAGCATCTCTGCACTTCGTCTTCTAGTCCCTTATTTCCAACTGCATCAGGCTGTGTGGATTTATAAACGTCCGTCTTTATATCTCGCCTAGAGCTCTCCTCTTTCTTTTCGAGGATCCGAGATTTGATGACCTTTGCTAGGAGAGAAATAGGAAATGAACCAGTTGTGTCGATAATGGTTGCTCTAGATTGAGCGGCAGGGCGTAGCATAGTAGGGGCGTAGGAAAGCAGAATTGATGCTATGAGATGGAGTGAGACCTGTTTGCAGTGTTACCATGGACAGTCGAAGTCTGAAGAGAAAACCAAACAGCACCAGGAGAGGGACAGTCAAGTGAGGAGCATTAAACGGCCAGGATAAAGCTTCTGGAAGAACAGTGTATACATAATAGTAAGTGAACCAAGCTCAGAAACCCCGGGCCGTGTGCATAGAGATTGTGGTAGCCGCCGGGGCTCCCCCTGAAGAACAAACAGAAGGGGTCAAAGGAACCAGGCAGCAATAACAGCGTCAAAGGAAGCCCACACAAGACGACCAACTATGGCCTTCCGACTCTCCAGATACATCATGTGAAAAACCAGATCTCCCCTTACTCACCAATCTCCCCTGCCCTCCCTCCGCACTAACGCCCACGACGATGCCCCTTTCTAAACCATCGCCTCCTAGCACCACCTCATCCACCTCTCTGCACCCGGTGCTGATGCGCTCTCCCTGCGCGGCAAAGCGGCGCCGCTGCTTGATCTCCAGATCCAGGAGACTCGACGCCAGAATAGGCGCTGCGGGTTCCGGCGCGGCTTCATCCATTTCATCCATTTCGGTCGCGGCGGGACGAGATGCCTAGGAGAAGGAGAGAAAGGGAGGATGACTCGCGTTAAGAATGCTTTACATCATGTAGGTCAGAGCGGTTTATTGCTGCTCTTGGGAATCTGGAGCGGGATCAGAGGTGATGTTCCTCAGCGAGTGCGTTTGTCTACAGACCTGAGGTAAAGTACCTGGGCGGGTACCTTTTAAGGTAGCCATGACGAAAACGTCCCGTCTCCTCAAGTTTTAGAGATTAATTGTTTGCATTCTGTTTGCATCTTCGCTTAACAGGTAGCACGTGATCTAGGATTTGTTTGGGGGCTCTCCCAGATATAAATAAACCAAGGCATTCCACCTTCTTCCTCTTTTTCTTTTTTTAGAATCGTAACAGCCCTCCCACCCCGGTCCTTCCGCCCCGCCCCGCCCCACTTCCCGGTCAATCATCGCTCATGCGATAAACTCTGTCGATCTTTTCTACCATACCCTGACCCATCTTCTCTATTCTATCTGAGACTTCCACACATGCACATCCCTACAGCTTCACACTATCTGAAGCTATGGCATCACTGCAACCAAGTGACGACTACCGACCAAGTGACGAAGACTACAACCAACCTAGCGCAGAGCGGCGCGTCGTCCTTCAGCGCTTACAAGACTTCTTGGGAGATGTCCCCGTTCACTTTTGGGCGCTTGCGCACGTGTGTGATGTGAAAACACTCGAAGAGTTTGCAGAGAAGGCCGAAGCTGACCCGGTCCCCTATCGCATATCTATATATCAGACACCCGCAATGATTGCAGCCTGTTAGTTAAATAGTCTCAGGTTCATCTATGCCTTAGCTAATGTTCTACAGGGACTCAATCATTGAAGGGCTGCTCACGCACGAGCTCACGCACGAGCTCACGCATGAGCTCGGCCCAACCATCCCCACAGTTCAGAGCACAACCACCAGCATCATCTCCACTAGCAGATCCCGATCCATCGCCTTCAAAAAAACGCAAGATTGACAACTTTAGTGGATCTTCGGTCCAAACATCCCCAGGGTTCAGAGCACAACTACCACCATCATCTCCACTAGAAGATCCCCATCCATCGCCTGCAAAAAGACGCTGGTTTGAAAACGTCAGTCTCAATCGATCTGATTCAGAAAAAGAGAAGGTAAGCCTAGATTGCACTACTGTATTATCGGTATAAAATTGTTGCTAATATATTCCAGGCCGCTGCACGAGACCAAAACAGATGTGTTCTTACAGGCATGGGAGTGACTGACGTCGCTCACATTTATCCCTTTTGCCTTATGAAACGCGAAGATGATACCTTCGGCAAACGACACCTCTTTTGGGCTATGCTAGAATTGTTTTGGCCAAAGGAAAAGGTTAAAGCTTGGGAAAAAGAAATTTTTCCAAATGGCACACACGAAAATGGTGTTGAATCAGCGACAAACCTGATCACTCTTTCGAAAGATACACACAGCGCGTGGAACAAAGGAAATTTCGCCCTTAAGCCCCTCTCCGTGTCCGGCAATAAGACTTGCCTAAAAGTCCAATTCTTTTGGCAAACAAAATGCAAACAGACTTGGCCACTGATGAGTCTTCTTACCACACCTGCCTCTACTAAAGATCTCTGTCGTGGTGACGACAACGTCCAATTGCCTAAAATAACTGGCGAGAGAAAGTTGGACGCCATCGAAACTGGTGACATCTTCGAGATCAAGACTGATGATCCACAAGCACGACCATTACCAAGCTTCGCACTACTTGAGATGCAGTGGCATCTTCAGCGGATTGCTGGTATGGCGGGTGCGGCTGATGTGGACGAGGATCTGAAAGAATGGGATGATGACGATATCAGCAATCTTGGACTTGACGAAAGATAGGATTTGTCCATCCTATCCAGTATATCTAGTACAGACAATTCTCCTGTGCGAAATCGGGAAAACATCTACCAGCTCCCTGGCATTGAAATACCCAAGCATGTCACAGGCGAGGTAAAGGTGGTAACTGGAGAGGAAGAGACTGTAGAGTGAGCGGGTTACACATTGTCACATAGTCACTAGCTCCTGCCGTTAATAGCAAAAAGATACTATAATCTTCCTAATTGTGGTAGCAACATGCCAACGTGTCCATCTGTGACGAGTAAGTTTCCCTGAATTGACACTTGTTCTAGACTACACCCGGCATTTGACATCCCTTTCTGATTGTTTGGCAGCGTACCTCCACAATAGGAATGTGGAGAAAAAGTCTGATATTCCCTCCCGCAGAAAGAAGAGGCTACTTGATTCTCCCTTCGACAACAATGGTGAGGCTAGGGATTCGATTAAAGAGACAGAAAAAATAATTCCGACGCACATTGAAGACCAGACGCAAAAGCATGAGTGCAAGAAGCTCCCAGATCGACCCATACTTGGAAAGGAGAATTCGAAAAGCCACTCCATCATGAACCACTGCTTTCTTTCAGCGAAAAAGCCTCCAGGCTCTCGTAAGAAACTCCGTACCACAAATATGATTTCAAACCCCAACGCCATGCTATGCACTCCCACCAGCCCACCGACTAGCCCTCAATTCTCCTCTCCTTCCAATATCCTCGCCCTTAAAATCCTCACCTCCTCAACCGGCCTATCGTCCGCGCCCGTCTTCACCAACCCCATCCTCTTAACGACGCCCATACCTCTCGTCACCCGTCCAAAGATTGTATGCTTCCCGTCCAGCCACGGCGTCGGCGCCAGCGTGATGAAGAACTGACTCCCGTTGGTATTCGGCCCCGCGTTCGCCATGCTCAGGATTCCCGCGCCAGTGTGTTTGAGCGCCGGGTGGATCTCGTCCTCGAACTTCTCGCCGTAGATGCTCGTCCCACCGCGCCCGGTCCCCGTTGGATCGCCCGTCTGCACCATGAAGTTCGGGATTATGCGGTGGAAGAGCAGCGTGTCGTAGTATCCCCTCTCGGTGAGCGTCTGGAAATTCTTGCAGGTCTACATGTATGCTGTTAGCAGCAAGGACGGAATGGCGTGCGAACACGAACCTTAGGGGCGTGTTCATGGTAGAGTTCGACAACTATAGTGCCCTATGGGTAGATTAGGATCTGCCAATGGATGCGGTGGTGTTCGTGGCGTACCATGGTGGTTTCCAAGGCGATGTTGGTAGTCATCTTGGCCTTGTTTTCGCTGTTTTCGCGTGGAAGAGCTCGAGGAATGTGTGGAAGATGCTGATTGACAGTCTATGTATTCCTTTTCACCATTGATCCGGAATATTCAGCCCTGTTGTTCAAGTCCAAGCAAGAATGTTGGAGTTGACAAGAATGCTGGTAGGTATTTTGCGACGAGGCTGATCCGCCGCTAGACGTTGCCTCGTCTGCGAATCCCTGCATTTCTCGACTTCATTGAATGATCCGGATTCCCTATAACCGCAACATTGATGACAACTCTTGGTGAGAACTCTCGATGAGACGAACTATCAATCTCACGCTTTACGCCGTACAACTCATGACAATTTGCAGTCGATGAGCCCAGACAAATCGTACAAGCCCCCGTCTTCATCGCCGTGACCAGGCTGAGCGTAAATCCTGGTGTGCTTTGTTTTGCTGTGTTTCCTCTGCTTTCGACTTTCTACCAGTGTTCATTATGGACTGGATAATGGATCTTGATGGCGATAGTCCAGTCCTCCAATTCATTGGCAAATACGCCTACAAGATCTATGCCGAGCGCGATACGATCAAGATGCACATCCATCTCATCCTCGCCGCTCTGTTCCCCATCTACATTGGCTCTCACGCCTCCCTTCGACGTCCACCCTCTGCTGCTTTACCAGAACAGTCAAAATCCGAAGACGACGACGACGACGATGAGATCGAAGTGGAACCCACAGTCGAAGGCCTCAGACCCTCAGACGCCATTATGTTTCCTGCACTCGCAGGCTGCACTTTAGGTGGGCTCTACCTGCTCATCAAATGGCTCAATGACCCTGCTCTTCTCAACAAGGTCCTTGGGTACTATTTCTCCCTGATTGGCGTCTTTGGGGTAGGCAAGCTGGCAGCAGATTGTTTGAACGTGGCCACGACTTTCGTCTTCCCGTCCGTTTGGTCGTCACGTGGTACAGTATATCACATTGATCCTCTGCTCTCCCAGCAAGTTACTGGACAAGTGAAGCAGGCGAGAGTGCAACTCCACCGCAGCTTTACAGACAAGAGTAACCCTTTCCCGGGCTTCCTTTCTTCAATCCAATTTCCGGAGTCTGTGAAGAAACAGCTCTGGGCTCTGAGAGCACTGTTAAAGAAGCATTGGATTTTCAGGGGCTATCTTCACGGAGCCTTCAACTACAAGACAAAACTTCAGATCAACGATGTAATGGGTTTTATCCTAGGCATTGTCGCCATCGTTCTTTATAATACTAGCGGGAAAGCTTGGTGGCTCACCAACATCATCAGTTTTGGCTTCTGCTATGGTACATTGCAACTTCTATCCCCTATCACATTTTGGACGGGCTCCATGGTTCTGGTTGGGCTTTTTATCTACGACATTGTAATGGTGTTCTATACGCCTCTCATGCTTACCGTCGCCACCTCCCTCGACGTCCCTATCAAGCTCGTCTTCCCAGGCCCGAAACGGATATCTATGCTTGGTCTAGGAGACGTGGTGATACCAGGTATCATGATGGCCTTAGCGCTCCGGTTTGATCTCTACCTCCACTATCTATCCAAGCAAACCAAACCCGCCTCTGGTGACTCCTCATCCACCATAAAAGCCACCTACCTCGAAGCCTTCGGGAAATGGGGTGAGCGGTTCTGGACCTCAGGCGCCAAGAACGCAGTAGAAGAGACTGTCGCCGATGGGTCTCGATTTCCGAAAGTCTACTTCAAAGCCTCGCTAGTAGGCTACACGCTCGGAATGCTCGCCAGTCTGATCGTGCTGCACGTCTTCAAGCATGCACAACCCGCGCTCTTGTACCTGGTCCCGGGGGTCTTGATCTCGTTATGGGGCACTGCGCTGGTGAGGCGCGAACTAGGATTGATGTGGGGATATACGGAGGAGGGGAGTTTAGACGATGACGAGGAGGGGCCTGATGGGAAGAAACGGCGGGAGAAAGGCGGAGGCAGTGCTTCTAATGAGAATGCGGACGCGGTCACTCCCACTACGACGAAGGAAAAAGACCAGACCAAAGAGAGAGCTAGCAAGGAGAGGAAGGCCGAGGAAGAACATTCTCAACATGTCTTCTTATTCTCGCTATCCACGCCGAAGAGAAAGACACGACTGCCCAAGCTGGCGAAAATCTCACAGCAATCTTGAGAATAAGACAACGGGGTGCGTGGATGATGTCCTACGATGAGGCTGAACTTGCATTTGGTTGTACGACTACTACATTTAGGCAAAAAAGAACTCCTGAAAATTGTAATAAATACCAACTGTAAACATAAACTTCTCGGGCGCTTTGCACTGTATCGATCTTTAGTCCTAGTACAGAGGTGAGATTTGCTTCACAGCGCACAAAGTAATATTCAACAACGCGGGTCTAGGTCTCGTACTCAGATACCAGGCACCGGAACGCGTTTCTGCAGTCTCGAGTAGTCCCTATAACCGAACTATCATGATAGGAAATGGGTAGAATCTGTGCAACAAACATCGAAGACCGACGACTATTTACTCTCTCTTGGTGGTATCTCTCCAGCGGTGGGGGACTTTCGGAGGGCATACAGGCGCGAGGACCACTAAACGGCTAGAGAGTGGCTCGATGAGTATGGATAAAAGTAAAGGATAGATTTGAGGGAGTAGAAGTTAAGTCAGGAGGTTGCGGAGGATGGCGCTAAGGATAGGATGGAAAATGGGAGAAGGACTGGGGTTTGAAGATATGCAAAGAGCATCACTGTGATATGGAAATGCTCACCGTGAGTAACTCGTAGAGCTCTCTCGATCAGGGAGCTTCTTACCTACCTACCTATTTGCTAACCATCGGGAAAGGAGAAGTGAAACAGGTAAGCATAGCCACTCTCCAAGCACAAGGAGATAATAACGCTCTAACAAATGTGGTTCTCTATTCAATATTCAATGTGCAACCTTTGATAACGCCGTTGTAAGTATGCCCAGAGGCTATCCTAGGCCAGATGTACAGTAGTCCGGACCTAACGCCGATCCATGCTCGATCTCTGTGTGATGCACCGCTTCCCTAAACCCTGCTCAATTCTCAATTAGGAGATGACAGCGTTTGACTGGATTCCGAATCTGCGTCCCGATCACCTTTCCCATTCTTCTTGGCCTTTGCCGCGTCCGGGGGTTCCACCGGTGGCAACGCCGCCTTTACACCTCCCTTTCCATGCAGCCATTTCTTTTTCTTCTCTGCCTCCTTGACCTTCCTCACAACAGGCTTGTTCTTTTTCTTTGGTTCCACGACGACAGTCCCATATTCGCCATCCCCATCATCGTCATCGTCATCGTCATCGCTATTCGGTGCCTTCTCCTCAAAACTCAAGTTACTCGCCGAATTTGACTTGGCTATATTTGGGACCTTGAGTTTAGTCACAGTAGTCTTCTTCATTATTTTCTTCTTCTTGTGCGGTGAAGAGTCTGAATCGAAGTCATCACCAGGATCGCGCTTGTTGGGACTGCTTCTTGCTTTCGCACCGTTTGGTATAGGGGTAGAATTTCGGCTCCCAGGAGATGGTGTACTCCCATTTTGGCTTCCGTTAGTGTTTCCGTTTTGGATCTTCCAGAGCGCTGTCCGGGATGAATCTCGACCTCCCCCACCAATGCACTTCGCCATGTGGTTGTTCATTCGTTTAATTGGGAGGAAGGTATTGCAATTGTGGCACTTGGCATGTGGGAAGGAGATTGGCTTGGCGGGTCCTTCGCCAGGTGGTGGTGAGGCGGGTGAATCCTGACTTCCGCTGGGTGTGTCTTCTTTCGATGTTGGTGGCTTTAGGGGATTGACCATATCCTTCTTTTTCTTACCTCGACCAGGCCCCTCGGGTACATATGTCTGTCCGTAGACATCATGGTATGGTTTATCTATGAAGGGACGCTTCTTGCAGTATTCCACGCCAGGCTCCGGCTTCCTCGCCCCATTGCCGTCGGTCGGATGGAGAAGACGAGGAAGGCCGCATTTTCGGCACCGGATCTCTGTCGTGGTTTTCAGGGGGTTCGATTTCAAGTAAACTTTGCCATTATCGTATATTGCGGCTGCTGTCTCGACTCGGTGCGAAGGTGCTGTACCCGTTGCCGGGGAGGATTCGTCGGCAGAGCTCGCATCTAACTGTGCCGCTTTTTGCTCGACAATTATTGCTGCAGTGGAAGCTCGGGCTATCTTCTCTTCTCTGTGTGTTTTGAGGACTAAGTCGTGGATTATGTTGTAGACGATATCGTCGAAGACGGCGTGGGCCTTTTCAGGAGTTAGCTACTGGTCCTCATAGGCAGCACCTAAGAAACCCGGCGAAAAAGAGTCGAGTTTACCATTTCAGACATATTGTCAAGGTTCTCCTCATCGCCGGTGACTATGATGCCGGTTTTTGGAAAGCTGTCGTTGGTAGACATTTTGAGTTCGCCCCGGGGCACCAGATCGTGATGCAATATGTAGGGCTGGGAGAAGTGACGACGGCGATAGAACGTATGAAAGAGGTGGCAGGAGATGCAAGGACGATGGAGGAGCCAGAGATAGGAGAGAGCATTTTATATTCCAGGACTACTAAATCCTTAACATTGTCGCCAGAAGTGCCGAGCTGGTATTGTTGTTCTTGACCAATATAATATCGATATTTGAGGTGCGTGAACTGCTCCCTATTGTGCTGAAACCAAAGCTTCACCTGGAGGTTCAAAATACTGCCACGCTAACGTTTAAGGTTTGGCGCTAGTGGAAGGCGGTCTGGCCGATCTTACAGGATGTCACGGGGCCTGCTCTCGAAGCCATCCCCCACCAACCTCGCGCGCCTTCACATGGATGCATTCATTCGTGAGATCTGCAAACGCAAACGCAAACCCAACGCCCCGCCCTGCTTTTGATTTTGGTATTCTGCCCCCCCCCCCGGCAGGAGTCTTGACTGGTTCAAGGGCTTCTTCCTGCAACAATGGATCTCAATGCCTCGTCGAGTGCGATCCCCCGCGGCCAACCCTCAATACGCTCTTTCTTCCGGCCCAAGAACCCTAACTACGTGCCGCCGCCAGTGCCCCTGAGCTCCCAATCCTCCGCATCACATCTTCTCCCCTCGGATTCAAGGAGTGTTCCAAATACTACGCCCCAAGGTCAAAATCTCTTGCCTCAACCGACCTCAAATCTCACAGGAGACCCCGCTCTACCTCCACAAGCGAACATCTCCCCCGTTCAGCAAGACCACATCCAACCCCTGCGCCGAATAAACTCCCTTCTTCTGCCGATAGCCTACCCCGACTCGTTCTACCATAAAATCCTCGAGCCCTCACCCGTGAACTTCTCCCGCGTAATCCTCTGGACCGATCCCCACTCCAAGGACACAAAGGTGGTTGGTGGAATTGTATGCCGCTTGGATCCTTCACTTGCCCCCGGCTCCACTCCTCAATCCCCTCAAATATTGGAAGGGAGCTATGACATTTATATCCAATCCCTTGTCTTACTGTCGCCTTATAGAGAAAAGGGATTGGCCGCTGCGGCGCTCAAGAGCGTGATCGATGCCGCGATACGACAGGATAGGATAAGGATAAGGGAACTGTACGCACATGTATGGACTGAAAACATGGAGGCGTTGGAATGGTATCCCGCCCGAGGATTCAAGAGGGATGAACTGGTTTTGAATGGGTATTACAAGAGGTTGAAGCCAGATACTGCGTGGATCTTCCGCCGAAAGCTGGTTCCCTCGGACCACTTATCCCACCCCTCAGTGACGCAGCCTATTTCTCCACCAGCCCCTCCAACGTTGGCAAAAGCAGCATCCGCACCACCTCGACCAACCGTCCCACCATCAGCCACAAACCCTAGACCAGACAATATCCCCCACACGAAGTCATTTCAGGACAGGAGACCGGATAGGGAATGGAATGATCTGCCAGAAGATGTGTTAGGTAACCCTTTACTTAAGCCTCCGAGTTTAAAGAGTGGCGACGGAAGTGCAGCAAGCTCAAGAAGCAGTTCAAAAAATGGAGTAGAGGGCAAAGGGAAGAAGAAAGGGAGGGCGTACCCGGCTGCTGCATTTGGGTCGTGACCCGTGCCTCCCTGATACGATAATCTTCGGCCTTCCTGATCAGAAGTCTAAAGCTTGAGGGGCTGGTAGTAGCGTTGGTAGTGTCACTTCAGTATGAGCAGAACGAATGAGAGGAGATGAGATGAGGTATGAGATGTGCAAGATATTTGTCTGCATTGACGAGGCGTTACTTGGAGAAAAGATGGGTGGGATTAAAGGAGGCATAAGTGTTGTATATATATCTATCTAGACCTACATCGGAAGTTATGGTCAGGCCGCATTATAGACAAGTCAGGATGAACAGGCATCAAATTGACTTGACGATTTTACATTTCCACCTACTCTCGCAGTTTATTGCTTTGACTTCTCGCCCAAGTTCCGATCCACCCTTTACAAACCAAAATATCGAGTGGACACGTATATATATACACAATATATACACCTTATACATACCTTACCTAGCCAGGGAAAAGAGACAGCCCAGGATCCAGACGCCCTAAACCCCCCGAATATTTATTTCCAGGAAAGCCGGTCAAAATTCAAGTACGAAACCCGAGAGCCCCCTTTCCCGGTAGCGAGAACAGCAAATACCAATTACCACATGGGGATATAAAGCGCGCTCTAAAGATACCTTAGGTAGGTAGAGCAGGAGTAGCTATTCGTTAAAAAGCACGTCCTACCTATCTAGCGATGAGCAACAGAGAGCCCTGCCATAGGACTCTCTTGGGTCATATTTCGAGCATATTGTCTTCGTTTCTAGGGATCCCGCAAAGCTATCCAGGGTTCGAACCTCTTGGTGGGAGAGGATAAGAAACCTGCTTGGGTACGGTCCTTGTTCTGAGAATGGGATGAACTGTTGGAAAAGGTTGGATAGGTAGATAGCGGAGGTGAGTATAATGGCGCGGTCCGTGCCGCCGGGATGCGATGTGCAACAAATAGTAAGTCAACCGCTTCTGGCTTTGCTGTTTGACTCGATCGCTTGTGGAATTCGGAATAATAGGTACAGCATACTTACAGGTCCCTAGGTCCCTTTGAAGTTTGACCTTGCCTAAGGTACCTGGGTATTGGGGCTTACGAATCAGAATACATATCCTACCCCTGGCCATAAGGCGGTGAGCAAGGCGACTCGAAGGAATCGCTACATATTTGCACCGTAACGCGAGCGGTTAGGAACCAAGACTCGCCCAAGCCGCGAACTGATCCCAAGCGTGGACAACCCGGAGAAAGAGGAGTGCGGCGGTAGCAGCCTAGGCTGGAGCATAGGCTGGTTACGCTAGGCTACATGTTGGATTATATATTATAGATAGTTTGGGCTTGTGACCATCCCTTGATGGATGCAATTTGCATCTTGCTAAACATGCCCCAGGTAGATTGCACAAGGCAATAGAACGGCAGCGTTTCTGTACACAGCATACAATGTGATACCAACATGAAGCTCTTTTTTCCCTTCCGTCCCCAAACCAGCCACACGAACCTTGAACGCCATATCGTACAACCATCACTCAAGTGTTGTTACAAACTCCCACCGGGGACCAGCTTCGTTCCGCTCTTCTTCATCTCCTCCTTCCGGGCCCTGATCTCCTCCATCAACTTCATCTCTTCCTCGATCTTCCCCTCCTTCGCCTTCCGCTCCGCAATGGCCGCCTCTTCCCAAACTGCTCAGCCGTCAGTAAATGCCCCCATGCCCACAGATTGATCCCGCACACATACTCGGTCTGTTACTCTTCGAGTACTCCTTCAGCTTGGTCACGAAGTCATCGAATTCCTTCTGCCTCTCGTACCGGTTCTGCAGGCTCCTCCGCTGCAGGTCCGGGTTGTACTTCTGGAACAGCTCCTCCTCGGTCGGAGACACGTAGTAGACGAACGCGGGCCCGCCAACGCCGCACACGATCAACCTGCAAGCCAAGGACGGAGTCAGTCTCGCGATCTGGGGACGCGGCTCTCGCAGGCAAGAAGGCGAAGCAGGGGGTTTGGCACTCACGCGGCAGCCATCTTCCCGTACATCCTCCAATTCGTGGGTTTTCGAGGCATCGTGACGTACGATGTATGATGTATGCAGTATGCAGAATATTTGGTGGTTTGGGTCTGGTGGGGGATCAAGTGGAGTGGTTGTGTTGCGGAGTACAGTACGAGCAATCATGTACGCGCGAAAGTAATGATGTTCGCTCGGTGGTGTGGCTGTGTGTGGCTGTGCGCGGTGAATTATGACCGAATGTGGCTTCGGATGGCTGTGCAACGGTGCGAAGTGTGGCTGGAGGGAGGGATCGGCAGGTTCCAGAAGGAAAGAAGCCGCCGGAGAGAGCCGGGGTGCAGCCGGAGTGCAGCCGGAGTGCAGCCGGAGTGCAGCCGCAATTCCGCCAGTCACGGGGCCCGGAGTTATTAGGTAAGCAGGGACCATTCTCCTGGCAACAGTCCCGTGACCCGAAAATGTCAATACAATGAAACATTACAGACGGGAGTCTTCAGGATTGATATCTGACGTGACAGCTTTGAATATGAATATGAATATGAATATCTGCATGTCCAAATACGGAGAGTCATATCGTTTCCAATATCTCGTGTTCCTCCCTACGTTAGTATAGAAGCTGGGTTCTAGGGAGTGCCCTGGGCGCTTTGAGACGCGGTGCCCTCGCTCCCACCACCAACAATTCATCTGCTATCCTCCGCATTGAAATGAACGGGCAATGCTCTCGGGTCCAAGCGACCATTCAGACCCGTCTGCCCGCTTTTCTCTCCGAGACGCGTTTCTGACTTCTGGGCTCCTCTCTTGATGAATCTTTCTCTCGCGGTGCTTATTGACTTATTTCTCTATTTACCTAGGTACTCTCGCTCGACTACCGCTCTCGACGCCGCAAAAGTTTCCCCATTAGTGGCCCGCCTCTCTCTCTCCCCCTCCCAGCGTCCTCCCGCTCCTGACTTGTCTCGCCCACTCCAACCCATTCTGCGAAACCTCCAAAATCCTCCCGCGACAAGAATAACACCGCAGGTGATTGATCCTCACCACCGACCTGCGGTGTAAGACGAACACCCAACGCGGCGAACTGTCTCGTGCGTTGTCCTGGTTCTCTCGTGCCGTCTCCTGAAACCCCCCGTCTTGGGGTCCTGGACAACCCTTCTTCCAACGAGCCTTTGGAGATCCCACATACGCATACACAAAATTCCAGTCTGATGATACCAGCCCCGTGCTTATTGTTCATGGCTTACACGCGAACCCCCGAGACTCGATAACCGCTTCTCTGTGTGCGAACGGCACAGGTCTCGATCCTGTTCTCTGCGCTTCAAACCATGGCTTACGAACAATCCTACTACCCTCCTCCGCAGCAGAGACCCTACAATGGTCCCGCCGCTCCAAGACCGCGCCCTCCACAAGGCTACCAGCAACCGCCGCCCCAACAGCAACAGTATCCCCCCCAGGGCTATGGGCAACCCGCCCAGGATTACGGCTATGGTGGGCATGACAATGGCTACGCGCATGATTACAACGGGGATGCGGGATACGATATGAACGGCGGAGGAAGAGGAAATGGATATCCGCCGCAGAATCAGAACTACCCGCCTCAACAAGAGTATTATGGCGATCCGAGAGGTGGAGGGGGGATGCCGCCGCCGTCAAATCGTGGTAGAGGTCCGGCTCCAATGCAACGGCCGCTCCCGGCGGATGGGGGTAGATCTGGCTATGACCCACGAGTTGCTGGGCCAGACAGAGGATATGCAAATGATGGACAACCGATCGGACCTGGAAGAGGGGGTAGACCTGGTCCAATGGACCGCGCTGATCTAGGACGTGAGTATGCCCACTTGCATTGGCTATACATGCTAATCTTTTACAGCGCACCCGCCACGAAGAGTTATGAACCCTCCAGGTTCCCCGGAGAAAACCTCATGGGATAACCCATTCCCTACGTTTCCCGGCGTGAAGAAGAAGCCAACGCCGGCGGAACAACAGATGACCCAGAAGATGGAGAGCATGGAACTCGGAGGCCCACCTCAAAATAGGCCAAGGACTGCCGGAAGTAAGGGGGATCAAGACAGATATATTCCGGGAAGATCTGGACAGGCTGATGAATATGGTCGTCCAATGGGGCCTCCTGGTCGAGGTGGACCTGTTGACGACTATGGAGGACCTTCGGTAGACGGCCAGAGAATGCCGCGAAAACCCCCGCCTCAGGGACCAATTCCGCCCCAACCCCAAGGATATCCCGATCAACGCCGTGGTCCTCCCCCCGGACCAACGCCAGGGCCAGCACCAGGGCCTGGCTATGGACCGCCTCGACAGAATGGCTACCCAGATCCCGGATATGATGATAGAGGAGGGTATGGACCTATATCGCCATTGCGTGAAGGCTTTGCTCCTCCTCCAAGAAGCATGACAATGCCCACCGAACAACAGATGCCAGCTCCACGTCAACCGCCCATGATGAATGGCGGAGCCCCTGATGAGCGTCCGTACAATGGCCCGATCGGAAGAGGAATACCTCCAAGACCATCAACTGCTAGTGGAGTTCGGCCACCACCACAAAAGCCATACCAGCCTGCAGCGCCTCAACAACTCGCTCCCGCAGACTCGTACGGTAATCAAGGTCCAAGGCATCGCCCCCAGGAAAGCATTAGTGACTTTTACGACTCGTATTATGATGAGCCAAGTAATGGATCCCCACAACATGTCAGGTCGCAATCGACAAGTTCCGAAATGCCGGATTTTGATATACTGCAACAAAATTCCAGTCATCGACGGGGGCAATCGATTGATGAGCACATAAAATCTGGAGAACCACGCCAGATCCATCCTGTCAAATCACAACCGGATTTTAGAGCTCAACCGCAGGCAGCTGTGTTTGAAATGGCATCAGAAGTTCCTCCACTGCCGAATCAATACCAACAAGGTTATGACCAAGGCTACTCTGGTGATGGATATGCACCGCAGAATGGGTATGATGGTGGGCAGTCCGGATACGGAGGCTACAGCGAGCCGCCTGCACAAAATGGATACCAGCCACCAGCACGAACCACATCTGCAGCACCGAGAGGCGGTCTCCCCAATGGCCCAAGGAATGGCTTTGGTGGCCCTTTGAATGGCCCTCCACCACAACAGAACGGTGGCATGGGACCTCAAAATGGGGCTCCTAACGGGGCTCGTAACGGAGCTCCTAATGGGCCTCCTAAACCATTGTCACCCGATGCTCTACCTTCCCATCCAACACCTGTTCGTGCAGGCCTCATACCGAACTCTCTCCCCAACCAGATTGGCGGCAAACCTCCACCGGTCCGCAACTATAATAATACCAGCCCTGGCAACCCGCAACAACCCCCCCAAACCCCCGGTTCTACGTCCGGTGCGGCGACGCCCGTCACCACCGCCGAACTCGACCAACTCAGAGAAACCACAAAAAGAAACCCTTCAGATCAGAAGACCCAACTTACTTTAGCTCGCAAATTAGTGGAAGCCTCGGAAGTACTCGTTCCCAAAATTCCCGACCAGAAAGCCCGCAATAAAGCTCGGGAGAAATACATCTTGGAAGCCCATAAACTGCTCAAAAAGCTGGTTGCAGCTAATAACGCGGAAGCTATGTTCTATCTTGCCGACTGTTACGGCCGTGGGGCCCTCGGTCTGGAGACGGATCAAAAAGAAGCCTTCTCCTTGTACCAATCGGCGGCCAAACTTGGGCATGCTGCAGCCGCGTATCGAACAGCCGTGTGCTGCGAGCTCGGGAGCGATGATGGAGGCGGAACGAGGAAAGATCCTTTAAAAGCGATGCAGTGGTACAAACGCGCGGCAACGCTGGGAGATACGCCCGCTATGTATAAGATGGGAATGATTCTTCTCAAAGGCTTGCTCGGACAACATCAAAACCCACGCGAGGCAGTAGGATGGCTGAAACGAGCCGCTGAGCGGGCGGATGCGGAGAATCCTCATGCTCTTCATGAATTGGGGCTGTTGTACGAACAGCCCCAGAGCCCGGACAGCAGCATTGTGCGGGATGAAGCGTATTCGTTGTCTCTGTTCCAGCAAGCGGCAGACCTAGGATACAAATTCTCCCAGTACCGGCTCGGCTGCGCGTACGAATACGGACTCTTCAACCTCCCTATCGATCCTCGCCAATCCATCATGTGGTACTCCCGCGCTGCGGTGCAGGAGGAACATCATAGTGAGTTGGCGCTGAGCGGATGGTATCTGACGGGTAGTGAAGGTGTGCTGCAGCAGAGTGATACGGAGGCCTACCTGTGGGCGCGAAAAGCGGCCATGGCAGGCTTGGCTAAAGCCGAGTACGCCATGGGCTATTTCACCGAGGTGGGCATTGGCATCCCTGCCAATCTGGAGGATGCGAAGAGATGGTATTGGAGAGCTGCAGGTTCGTATCCCTTCCTCTTAAGGTGTCAAAGGAGAGAGACTAATGACCCCCCAGCACAAAACTTCCCCAAGGCGCGTGAAAGACTCGAGGACCTTAAGAAAGGAGGCTCGAGATCGGCAGTCCGATCTAGAGAACGCATCTCCCGCTCCAAAGTCGGCAAGCACAACGAAGGCGAGTGCGTCGTTATGTGATAATTGATCAAATGACTCTCCTTTGCCCCCGGATGGTAGACAAATCAAATAAAACGACCTTTACGAACAACGGAAAAGGGAAAATAAACACGGCCGCAAAACATGACGCGAACGAACGATTCATGTATATATGATATACGTGCCCAGGTGAAGAGAATCGAGGGCTGGTCCCTGACAAGGAAGCATAGCTTGGAGCCGCAAGATCTAGTCTTCTTTATTTTGATATCCCGCGCGTTTTTTCCCCGGGCTCTCTCGCATAACACCCCAAGGGATGGATGGGCGGAAGGGGCATGCTCGGCGTTAGGTTTTCTTGTCTTTTATTGCATGTGCGTCGAGTGATATGGAAGGAGGGGAGGGAGATAATTGCATATTGGATCCAGGGGCTGAGATGGGGAAGGGAAAGGGAAAGGGAAAGGGAAAGCGAGAGGTGGAAAAGCTCAAGTTTTTTTTTTTTGGTTTGCTTGCTTGTTTGTTTGTTTGTATACCTAGTAGATGGATATACATACGTACGTACCTTACCGTACCTTAGGTACGTGCCTAGGTACGTACAGAAGTGAGAGATGAAATGAAGAAGACATACATACAAACATCGCACGATACAAGGACGGGCAAAACGTGATGAATAAATACCTAGCATGACCGGTACAAAAGAAGCATCTCCTCATTATCAAGCTCATCTATCAATAAATCAATCAGTCCAACCAAAATCCATATCCACATTCATTCTACCTACGAAAAAAAACACGAAGCTAGCTAGCTATCCTGTTTAGCAAAATCACGACTTCTTCTGTAGTAGTAATAACAATAATAATAAATAGTACTAGTTGTTGTTGTTGTTGTTGTTGTACTGTAGTAGTAGGAGTTCAAGAACCGTGCTAGGTAGGTAAGGTAGTCATCGATTTTCATAAAACCCCCCACTTATGTATCCGTCGCATACCAATTCCCTCCACATAATCTACTTTCGTCTCCATCTCAAATCTCAATCTCAATCTCAATCCTACAAACTAGTACAGGTTTTGTACGAGGGCGTTAAAGGAGTGAGTGTGAGGAGGGAGTTGCAAATCAATCAATCTACGACTTCACGACCTCGATGGCCTTCTCCTTCAGATCACCGGCCTTCTCGACGACGTCCTCCTTTGCGGCTTCGACTTGCTTCCCTGCCGTCTGGCCCTTGACGCTGTAGTTGTAGTTCAGGATACGGCCGACTTGGACGACGCCCACGATCCCGAGGAAGAAGTTCACAGTGGCGAGGCTAGGGAGTTTGGTGTGTTAGCTTGTATCTTCTTCATCTTATATAGAGAGAGAGAATGGGGGATGTTTTCTTAAGTGGAGTGAGTGGGAGGAGGGGGGAGGAAATGGTAAAACGTACAGGATGTTACGGGGCTTGATGATCAAGCACCATCGAGTCCAGATCAGACCGGTAGCGGTCAAAGCCGCGTTTTGGGTAAGAGAGAGGTTCTCGGCGGGCCGGTAGAAGTCGGAGACGCCGGCAAGGACGAGCGCCCACTGTTAAGATAAAGTTGTTAGCTTGAGGTATGTCTGTTGGGGGTCTGGGGTCAGGAGAAGAAGGGGAGCGGATGTTGATTCATATATGGATGTGAGGATCGGAAGCGTAGATAAGAGTGCGGATATACCTTCATAACAGGAGCCCTATATACATTACAACAGTCAGAATTCTGCATACCAAAATGCGCAAAGCAGGACAGTGAAGAAAGAAAGCAGGACGAACCAGAAATGCACAGTCTTCAACCCAATCGGACTGTCCCACATCCTCTTAAACCAGCTCTGCTGCGCGTTCTCTGTCGGCGCCGCCGTGCTCTGCCATCTTCTGCCGCCGAACTTGCTCTTGAACCCGGACCTTGAGACTTGCGACTGCGCGGTAAAGAACTGGCTGCGGAAGGCGGGGCGCGCGGCGCGGAGGATTTGCGATGGTGCGGGCATGATGGGAGGTTTGGATGTGAACTGTGGTCTGTGGAACCGATCGATCTCACGGTTAGGATGGGACGACGGTTGAATTGAAACTAAGGATCCTCTCTCGTAGATCAAAGAGGAGCAAACCACAAGTGTTATCAGACGGCAGGATGCAGGGCGCAGGGAGGTGAAGTGAAGTTGAAAGTTGAAGATATAAAACTCCCAACGTTGAACAGTAATTGAACCGATCGATCGACCGGAGTTATGCTCGGAGCCGCGCTGCACAATTAGCTAAGCGCCTTATGCACCTTTTATGCGAGAAGCTCTAACCTCAAGTCGTCAGTCCGCCAGCTTCGATTTGCTCGCACCCCATCGAGCAATTGAACCCGCAACGAGCCGCGCAAAGTCTCAATTAGAAGATCGGAGAAGAAGACTCTGAGAAGGGAAGACAACATGTCCGGCAAATACGCTTTTTCGCAGGCGCTGAAGGAGGTGCGGTTCCTGTTCTGCCAGACGGGCGAGCACAGCGGTCCTACGAGGTCGGTGGTTCTCCTTCTTTTCTCCTCCAGCTCTGAATCCTCGGGGCAATGGCACGCTCGTCGGGATTATTTTCTATCTACAGCGCAGGAGGGCAATGAGCGAGCCGTCTGAGCATGGCGGAGCCGCGCGGAAGAAGAGGGGAAGAATAGAAGCTGATGGCCCAAACAGATCTTTCCTGGCGCGCGCATACCCGATCATGAAGAAGAACAACCCAAACATTCCAATCATGTTACGAGAGGCTGCTGGCACACAACCGAAAGTATACGCTAGATACGGTCAGTCGTCTCCCCTATCCCTCCCCCGCTCCACAGCTCCCGGAAACGGGCAGGAAGGAGGACTGCTTTGAGCTGGACGCTGATACCTGGCACAGAATTCGGAGTGGAGAAGAGCGAGTCGTTAGTAGGGCTGTCGGATAAGGAGATCGAGGATAAGGTTGCAGGGTTGGTTAAGCCCGGTGTATGAGTAGAAGGAAAGGAGGCAGAGCAAGCAAAGAGGCAGTGTACATATTTGAGGCGCGGGGGAGAATAAATATCAGGCACTGCATGAGACAGTGCTTGAATTGAAGAAAGGCACCAGTTGACCCGTTTCTATTCTGTCTGGAGACGTGTGAAGTACTGCTGGATTCCGAATACCTCCGGAAAGACCTATGTTAGTGTAGGCAGCCGAGGACGGAGAACAGCAATTATTACGCCCAAGACTGTGGTTCTTCCGGTATAGACCATCGTGGAAAGGGTAGGTGGCTGTAGCAGGGCCTGAAAGAGCTGGGAAGTCATGGAAGTGCGGACGCCCTAAAGCTCTGTCGGAACTTGTTAAGACACATACAGGCAAAGTTGCTACCAACCTTCTGCGAGACACTGCAAATTATGACACGAAGGTCTTCAGATTCTTGAGATAATCACTCTTGCTGAGTAGCAGTCCTTACATTCCCTTCTGTCTAACGAACCTGTTACGATCCTAGGTAAGCCATCTGCCATGCTCCAGGTCGGTATCTATTCTTTCAACTCCATTATCCCATATGATGTACCCTCTCTGCTGACTGGCCAGCTCAAAGCTTGGACAGAACAGCCTCAGCACTAGAGACGGACACCTCCCGTCCAGGCTCCTTCTCAGCATAAGTGATCTTCCCGTGGTCAATGATCACTGCATATCTGGCGGTCCGCTCGCCTACGGTCCAACCCAGCTTCTTGGAGAATGCGGCATCGGTGTCTGACAGGAAAAGCTGTTTGGAGAAGAATTAGCTCTTGCCCATGTCTTTTTAAAGTTATAAAATCCAAGCCGGTGTCTTTGTAAGAAGGTCAGGGGGTCGCGGTGTCATGGGAATGACATGAAAAGGGTCTAACGTACAATACTATCATCCTTGATACCGTTGGCCTTTCCCCATGCACTCATAACCCAGGCATCGTTATATGCAATGCAAGCAATGATATCGACACCCTTGCTCTTGAGCGCGGGTAGCTTCTCGATGAAACCGGGGAGGTGCTTGGCAGAGCAGCTGGGGGTGAAGGCGCCAGGAACGGCGAAGACGACTACCTTCTTGTCGGCCCATTCTGCAGAGGCACACATCAGATGTTAGCCAGGTCTTGGTGGGAAAGGGAGGGATAATCTATGATGTGGCGGGGTTGGAGGGGTAACAAGGACAGGTTGGAGGGGAGAAGAGATGGGAGAAGAGGACAAGGAAAGAGGAGAAAGGTACCCTTGCTGGCATTGTAGTTGACGGGAATACCACAAGAAGTGATATCGCTAATCTCTGGGGTGTATGGGATGTAGCTAAAAGTCACATCGCTGGGCAAGCTGTCTCCGACCTTCAAGGTGCCTGCCATGGTTGCTGGATGGGGTCTTGGTGGCTTTGAGGAGTTGTGTCGGTTGTGGTGTTTAGAGAGAGGAGTGAAGATGAGGAGAGATTAAGAGCTGAGATGCTGAGATGCTGAGATGTTATGATGCTGAGATCTGGATGGAGGATCTCGGTGTATCTTGGTGTTGATGTTGATGCTGGGGAAGACTCCCACTTTATGCACGCGCTACTAGTGGGGTCACGGCCGGATCCAGGAACCCCTCGCAGCACGAGAGCGCCGTTTGCTCTTCTGTCCTTGATAAATACATTAATACATTAATAACCACCGCCCGCAAAAGACGTCTGGGCCAAGTTCTGGATCGCGTCCCTGAGAGTCTCTCTCTCTGCTTGAACATCCTCTCCAGCCAGATGCCCGCGCTGATTTGTGAGGTGGACGGCCAAATTGCGTCATTGCGTTGTCAGCGAGAGCGTCTGGACCGTCGCGCCTCAACCTCCAGGGCTCAACGCCCCGACGCTGCATCGTACGAGCATCTCTGAAGACTCTGATCGTCCTCCGCCGCGCCCATCGAGTGGAGAAGAGGAAATTCCCGTTGCTTCGTTGCTTCGTATCGCAGGGATTGTTCTGTCGTATACGGTATAGCAGAATGACTCAGAAGGACCGGGGTTGATTTGCGATTGAGAACCAAGGATCCATATTCCATCTCGACATCGATGATCGCTTCATCTGCTGAACAGAGACCAGCAACTCCCTCTGAGCATCTGAGCATCTGAGCATCTGAGCATCTGAGCATCTGAGCATCTGGTATAAAGAGAAGAGATAGTTCGTATCCTCTTACCTGATCCGCATCACAACTACAGCAACAGCACGCATACAGGACTCGGCTCGAAATTTCACAAACATGGCATCTGATACCGCCCCCAGACCCCCGCTCCCCCCCTTTACTGCTGAGACGGCGAGGATCAAAGTCAAGGCTGCCCAAGATGCTTGGAATACAAAGTCGGCCACTCCTTTTCTCATCTGCTCTGATCGTCCTAGCTGAAAGATGCCCAGGGATCCTCAAATCGTCAAGGGCGCATACACCCCTGACTCAATCTGGAGAAACCGAGACCAGTTCATCAAAGGTACCGAAGAGATCGTGGCCTTTTTGACCAAAAAGTGGGAGAGAGAGAATGGCTACCGGCTGCGGAAGGAGTTGTTCGCCTTCACAGATAACAAGGTATGTAATCATACAATGCTCGTGTTTCCTCGACTCAAGGCAAGGCTCTGTTTGTCTTGATACTTCAAGCTGTGGAAGGTAATCGGAAGTAACCAACAATTGATCTGTCTCCGGTGCATAGATTGCAGTGCAGTTCTGGTACGAGTGGTATGATGAATCAGGCCAGTGGTGGAGAACCTACGGCCTTGAGGATTGGACGTTCGCAGAAGACGGACGGATGAGGAAGAGGCAGATGAGTGGGAACGATGTGAAGCTCGCTGATCACGAGAGATGGTTCAAAGAGGGTGTTGATGTGAATGAAGTACCCATCGAAGAGAAGCATTGGTAATCCATTGTTATTGGCCTGTAAGGGCTTGAGTGAAACCCCGCTCGATGTCGCCGCCAGTTCGAGGTCAATAACACCATTCTGTATCTGCAGATCCTCGCAGGGGCTCGTAGAGTCCTTGCCTGCTAGCAACAATGAGGTTTCCGAGCAAAGGGAGAGCGGATCCCACCACCAGGCCAACTGATAAATGCATTCCGAATTCAGCACTCAGAAGCAGCGTGTGATCACCGGCGCGGCAGTATTTCCAGCAATCCAGGGCTCTTGCTCAGCACTCGCCGAGTCGGCAAGATCCAGACACGTCTAAACTTCTTGAACAAAATGCATTGCCACTTCATTGAGTGGCCAAGCATTCGTCATGCAATGTTGGAAATGACTATGTTATGCCTGTGCTTCGTCCGGGTCGTGGAAATAGCCATAGGGAACAGGCAAGCGATGGTATATGTACCCTGCCCACGATTGAGCCATGCTCTCCGGTATCTGCGTCTCTGTTTCCTTGAGTTATAACAGGAAGGAGTTAGCAAGTGTCTGATATTGTGATTAGACAAGCTCACCATATCAGAAGTACATGTTCACCGCCGTGGCCTCCGCCGCTATATAGTACTGTTGCAATGCTTGACAGGAAGCTCAAGTAAGCTTAATCGCTGTGTAGAGCTTGGACGTATAACTTGGTCTTGTTCTTGGTAGGATATGGCTTGCTAGCCGCGTAAGATCATGCACTTCGAGTGATTCACTCCTGGGCCATGTTTACGCAGTGGTGGTTTGGGGGTGATAAGGAACCCCTTCCAAGCACTGGTTGTTAGCCTTGGCCCTAGCTCCATAGGCTCAGCCTCTCAGCGAGTAGTGCGCTGAAGTCATTCCAAACTTTCATCGTTCAGAATGGATTGATTTGATTGTGGGCAAGGCCGAGCTCAATCCCAACAGCTCTTGGTGGATTTGCTTCTTCAAACGCCCAGCCAACCCCGCCATCAGCAAGTGTTCCTTGGGCTCTGGTGTTTCTCTTACGATCTCCGTAGCTCGAGCGCTATAGCCCGGAGCACGAGGTTTTCAATGGCATTAACACGTTAAGTGATAGCTGGCGGGAGCCGAGTATTCGAGGATCGAGGGCTGAAAAAACGGGAAATAGTCAAGTTTGACCTTAGTGGCTGCGCGCCATGATATAGTATGTGCTCGTTTGCTATCGCTGCCTTTTGATACCCTCTGTCAGCATTATCCCTCTCTCTGTCATTTGACAAAGAAAATCTGGGGAATCTTGGACAGAAAAAGTCTTGGTGCAACCGTACCAAATAAAGGGTATCCCCCTGCTGTCCTTGTCACCGACATTTTACCCACAGCTGTGGAACCCATGTATCAAGTGATTAGCCTTGGAATTGATGAAATAGCGATAGACTGTGGACATGTTGAGAGCTTTTCCAGTCGTGGAACATTTCTTCGTTGCAACTCCTCGCTTAAAAAAGGGGGGTGTTTGTGTTACTGCATCATCATCTTCGAAGCCCGGAAATCTAAGGCCGTCGAGGAGGTCTGTCCTGAGGCCGTCGAGCTAGATCTAGTTATACAAACTGCCAGATTCTTTTCCCACCACAACACTCTCTCCTCCCACCTTTTCAACTTCAACTATCGTTGTTGCGCCTTCACCTAAACTCCACAGCAACCTCCTGAAGGCTGCTACAGTCTCATCCACAGCATCCAACACTCTTTCTTACCCCTCTAACCACGTTGAAGCCGCCTACCTCACAGGTACAACTCTGGGCCTGGCCATGGACCTAGAGAAGTTCTTCCAATGGTTGTCAGCCATTCTGGCTGCCATCTGGAGCTTCCCAGTCTCAACAAAGAAGTTCATCGAGATCAATATCTTGGAAGGCATTGTTGATCTCATTCGAGACTCCTTTTCTATGATTCCATCCCGTTGGGCCGAACTCGTTGCCAAGCTTCTGTCTGACATTGTTGGCTTTCTCAAGTCGCTGGCTCTCTATCTCCACCGAGGTTTAATCAAGGGAAAGGCTTTCAGCCACCTGGTTGAGCTTATTTTGCCCTCTACTGTCTCCACAGCTCATATGTCTTACGATGACGTGTTAAACGGTCGAACTCGCCCGGTAAGTTATTATCTTCTCTTTCGGGTCCCCAGCACTCAAGTCCCTCCGAGAGTATATGTATGCCCTTTGCTAGAGTACGACTTTGATCTCTATCATGAAATTGTCATCTAGTCACCTGTACAGATCTGATCTATGTTTATTGGAACTTGCTCATCTCAATTCTAGCCAGCTGCCTTACCCGACCTTATGCTCCATCTCATGAACGTCGTACACGCTGCCGAGGGACTCCAGTTCTCCGTGTGGGCACTGGCATATAAAAAGAGGGTTCACTCGTCCAAACACAATATGCGTTCTTGGTCCCCAGATAATCAGCTGGAGGCTGAGCGTCGAGCTCGAGTCGTACGAACTGCGGCCAGTCCTATTGACCGTAGTCTTGCTGCACCATGGGAAGACCAGGAGGGCCATGCTCGGTTCTCAGCTCTTAGTCCAGACGTCAAGGAAGAAGCTGCACGAACAGTTCAAGAACTGTACGACCAATACAACTTGACCTCGCCGTGTATGTACTATTCAGACCCCGTCTTGTCAATTCTAACGCTTTAGCAGTTACCAACGAACACAGTTCGTCTCACACAACAGAGATGCAGGTTATATTAGCAACCTATATCTCTCCAAGGGGCTCTCGATGCGTCAAATTTTCCTATAAGAGAAAATTCGCCCTTCTGCTCGCACTCCAAACCACTTTCCATCCCGATGTCTTCGCCGCTCTTAAGGCGGAAGCCGACCGAGACTTACGAGGTGCACCCTTTGAAAGCTTCCGTCAGACTGTCGTCCGAAACGCAAACCGAGACCGTATCCGCTTTGCTAAGGCCCTGGGTATTATGCTTCTTTATCTCGGTATCTTGACCAATGTCTTCTTGTTGCTCTCCAATGCCCCGCGTCCATACCGTGCACTTCCTTCGATTCTCTATATTCTTGGAACTTCATGTCTGATCTGCGCCTGCAAGGGCATATGCGTCCTCCTCCACAATCGCAAGCGTCGCCAACTACGTCCTTGGGAAATCTTCTTGACTGAAGAGCAATACAACGATCAGCATGACCCGCGTTGTTATCCATATGGTCTCACTGTCAATCCGAAGGTGCACAATCAGCCTTGGATCGTGGAATACAAGAAGCGCTACTTCTTGCGTCGCATCTTCGACCGCGAAGTCTGCATCGAGGACCCCGCGATCTTGAGATTCCACACCCGGCTCTTCTACTCCTCTCTCGTCATTGGTGTTCTGATCGCGGCCGCTATCTCGGTCATCTGGGTCTTTGCAATTCCCAGCCTGCCCCGAAACCTTCTTCAGCCACGCTCGATGGATATGACAGCATAAGCGCTTGCATCTTCTCTTCTTCATCAGGGTGGATCATTGAACAGGTACTGCTTCCGATTATTTGCTTCTGAATCCTTTTCCTTAGGTATTCATCCGCAAGATGTGTGATGCAAGTACTAGCAGAGAATCAAAGTTTTTGCCTTTTACATGAGTCTTGAATAACTTGAATGTGAACACTTTGACAGTAATTTGTGACTTGAGGTTGTAAACAAATAGGAGGTCTTCTACTGCGTAGATATGTATTCAAGCTGCATACACGATCCAACAAGAGCCAGACTCACGGACAGATCTGTCGAAAATCGGGCAGACTGTGTTGAGTATACTGCTTCCAAAATGGTGGAAGCTCGTAGTAACTAAACGCTACCGGATCTTGAAATCCAACGTACATTAGGACGCCCCTCTCTTATATATATATAATCCAACGATAAAGTCGCAGTTCTTCACCTTCACAACCACGCATCAAATCCCAACCCCCTCAATCCCAAATTCCTCACCCCCAACATTCCTCACCCATCCCTGCAGCGGCCCCGTCCTAACACTCTCCTTAACGCTCCTCCTATACCTCAACAACTCATCCCCCTTCACATCCCCATACATGCCTCCTCTCAAACCCCTCTCGATCCTGGGAACCGCCACCAGCGCCGCTATCTCCAGCGCCAGCTTCCACATGCGCCTCTTGCAGACACAACTCGCGGCCTTGAGATCGTGCTGCCTTCTCCCCTGCAGCACGCCCCCAATCAGCGTCTCGAACTGGAGCGGTGTCCACGAGGCCGAGATGTTCGACGGGACGAGTTTCTCACCGGGGGATAGCGCTTGGCGTCTGCTGAACCGGAACTCGCGGTCCGTAGTAAGCACCGAGAAGGGCGTGAAGGCGTACCCGCCGTCCCAGGTCTTGCCGTTTAGCTCTTTTAGGCGGCCCGAGGGGGAGAAGGCGCGCTGGCATGCGGAGGCTGAATGTTGGGATGAGGGGAGGATGAGGGAGGTGAGGTAGATGTTGGAGGGGGAGATGAGGAGGGAGGTTAGGGAGCTGAGGAGGGAGGTGCTTTGTTTGAGGGCGAGTTTGTCGGAACAGGATTTGGAGAGCGTGGGAGGTGCGTCTGGACGGGATGGCTTGCGGCGGACGATGCCGAGGGCGGAGAAGTATCCTCGGCCTTGGAGCAGCGGATGGGTCGTTGCATCTGAGGGTGGAGAAGTGTCGGTTGATGGGCTGGTGGTGGGGTTTACGCCATTGATGGATGGAGGTAAATCCCATGGAGTAGAATCATCTTGGGCTGCCATTGTGAGCTCCATGCTGGCATCACCACCTGTTAGAATCGTTTAGAATACATCTTGAATTCTGATCAACTTGGATGTACGTACATGGGGCTTCTGAACAGTACATGTGGAGGTTGATACCGTCGTTCAATGCAAAGGGCTGGAAATGAGACTCGGTCCTTTCGTCTGGACTACGCAGACGAATGAACTCAGAAGTCTGCTTCTGGCATGAGGCGAGGGCATAGCATTCATCAAGCAGAAAACGATTGAATGAGCGGATGGCCAGGATCTCAGCATGCCAATCGTGGAGGACGGTGCCTTGAGCTTGGGCGATTCTGTTCTGTGGGAGACATTTCATACCCGTGCTAAGACCTATCAGCCGGAGGGCTCAGAAAAGCATATTGAGACAGACTCTTACGCTGTTGCTAAACACGTAAGGCTGTTTTTCCCTACGTCGAGGGTGTCAGCCTTGCGATTCCCCCCGCAGCCTTCTCCGGGGTCCAACCAACCTTGCGCGACAATGCCACTCAGCGGCACCCATTCTTTCACACCGGCACCCCGATTCAATGGCTTTCCCTTGGTTGGAAAGGCATCAAACTGCCGCAAGACCACATCGGCAATCTCATTGCCCGAGATCTCCATCTCACGACGTGCTGTGCCGGGAGATATGTGATGGGATCAGCGCTGAAGCTGAACACTACCAAAGGCTGTCTGTTTGTTCTATTTCCGTAAGCGAGCTAGTGCTGTTGTCTCTTTACCTTAGTATGACAGCCTCGTCGACGTCGCCAGCCGAACCTTCCAACGTCTCACACGTATTACTGTATTGTTATACCAATTGTGCTGTCCTAGCAAACCTTGCTTCCTTTAAGTATATATTATATTATATATATATGTACATATATATACACCTAGCATGAACAATCCGTTAAGTGAGATCCCCTCAACTCTACCGCGGATACTTTGCGACCTCAACTAACAATGCCCTTGTGGCTAGTCCCCAAGGCGCGAAAGGTGCGCCAACCTCCCCATCACCAAAGGTCAGACCTGAGAGTGCATCACTAACGTGCTACGAAGCCCAAGTTTGACCTCCATCTTAAGGTCGGTCTGCATCGCTCGTCTGCGAACACTTAGGGCTGACAACGGGCACAGATATACGACCTCAACAACGTACCCCTCACCTCCGGAACCTCCTACGTGAAATGGCATCTCCCTGCCTCGACCGCCGCTGAGCACCGCGGCCGCACTGAGAAGGCCGGTATTAAGGAACACAAAGTCGTCTGGGACTACACGCACACGATCCCAGTACGGCTCACCATCGATAAGTCCAACCATCTGCAGGAATGTATCATAAATTTCGAAGTCGTGCAAGATTATAGCAGCGGGAGTAGGGCCGAGAAGATTACGCTCGGATATGTGACGTTGAACCTGGCGGAGTATGTTGACGAGTCGGAGAGCGGGGATGGGGAGGATGGCGTTGTGAGGAGGTATCTAATGCAGGAGAGCAAGATAAACAGTACGCTCAAGGTCGGCATCTTGATGAAGCAGGTGGACGGAGACCGAAATTTCATTGCACCTCCACTAAAGTCTGCGCCCGTATTTGGAGGGATTGCTGGCATCATGGCTGGGGAACAGGCGGAACAGGATGAGCTGGGCAGTGAGAACCCTCTGGTGAGAAGGCAGAGCTGTTGCTAATGAAATAGATCTTCCCTCGATGGGTAAATCCCGCGACCACAGCGACCTCCAAGACATGTATCGCCGCGCGCTGGCTGCCTCCTGGGCTGCGCAGACTGGCGAGCTCCCCGCAGACCAATGCATAGAGGATATCTTTTCCGGCGGCGATGGCTGGCGAGAGAAATACGATCCGGAAGCCTCACTCCTCAATACACGTACAAACGCACGCGAAGACAGCCCGAGTGGGGATGAACATGAAAACCAAACACGAAGGCATCGCAGCACGGGGTCTACATCGAGCTCCAGGAGTCAGAATACGGTTAAAGACGCCAAGAGACCGGGGCATAAGAAGCATAGAAGCAGAGAGATGGATATGGGGAGAGCGACGGGCATTCAAAGCCCCCATTCTGCGAAGGCGAATCAGGAGAGTTCGGAGCAGGAGAGAGAGAGAGGGAGAGGGAGGAATGGTTTTAGGTATGCGCGGGAAGTGGATGAGTTCGATATTAGGGAGGATCTGATTGCGTGGAAGCTACCCGGGAGGGTGTCTTCGTAGGAGGGACTCTTCTTGAAGGCGTATCCTTTTGGCGTCCGGATGTCTATCAAGTGGGGCATATTCCTGGCGTCAGGTTGTTGGGACTCTTTTGGTTGGAGGTTAGGAGTTTGTCAGGTCTCTTGTTCCAAGTCCTTGGTATGAAATTAAGCTGCGAGGCAAGCCCTTTACTTTCCAGTATTGCTCCTTCTGTCTTTTTCTCTGTTTTCTCCCACTCGTGATATATACGTCGAGTACGGCTTTAAGGGGGGCAGGGCTGTCGGCGGCGACGCTATAGATGTCAACGGCGACAACGAGGTGATGGCGACCTGGTAGCTACAGGTGTTCCCCATAACAACTGGGAGGTTGCACGTGAATCTTCACCCACACACCCATTGCCAATTCAACTTGATACAAGTGCATGACCTCATCGTACACAGCTTCATGTCACCATGTCTTCGTCGAGATCCGAATTCAAACAACAACCTCCACCGAAATGTCTGCAGTTCATACTAGCGCCGACGTCAAGGAATACGATGAGGAGTAAGAAACAATCACTATCTCCAGACTCCAGACTCCAGAATAATTATGAATATATTTATAAGACATCCCTCTAGACGCCTCCTCATGTTCAAAGGAATGAAACATAAACATGAGGGGCAGGGAATGATGAATTTGGATAATGGAGGAAGTAAATCTGCTTATCAGCTAATGAAAGTGATGAAGGCAAAGAGACTGAATAAGACTTGAACCGTGGTTTGATGCACCTTGCATTTTTAATGTGGCCGCCATGTTATGATTTTGAAGCCAGACGCACCGGTTCATGAACATTAACATATACACTTAATTCTGAGATCAGATAGTATCTCATGAATTGTGAACTAGAACAATTAAAACCTTTCATCATGAGTTCAGCTAGGAAGAAAAGGTGAGGTTCTCTCGAGGCTGTTGTGTCTCGCGCCTCACGCCTTGCCGGCGCGGGCGGCCGACCCGCTAGCGCTTTTCCTCTGAATTTTCGGGTAGCGATTTTCACCGTCTATCCAAGACCGCCACGGAACCGTGTGCGGCCCAGGTTACCGACCGTGTCCTTAGCCATATCGATCGAGCTTATGATTGCCAGGCCTCGAAGATAAAGTGGAGTTTCGGTGGATTTCGGGACTTCGGGTAAGGGGGGACTCGGAAATCTAAAAAGTCTCAAGTACCGGAAGGGGCTTTTTTAGGCTTTTAGGGGGGGCGTTCTTTTGCGCCTCGGGGTGGTTCTTGATCGGTAAGGTAGGTATATAGCCCATGCCATGGCTCCTTACCACTCAGTTGTTAATCAGTGTGAGTTTCGATTTCAAGATTGGTATATACAGTTCAGTTTTATGGCATAAGGGCGGCAAGTTGTAACGGGGCAGCTTGTCTGGAATAATGTTCCTGAGCCCCTGAAAAAAAATCAGGGGAGTCGTTCAGGAGTCTTTCTTTCGTCTGAAACTTTCTGCTCGTAGGTTGAGCCGATAGTAAAGGAGGATAGCAAGATCATACGAAATAGTCATACTATCGAGATTTCGAGGTAATCCCACTTCATCCCAATTAAGGAACCGCCTATCTTTAATCTCCCAACTAACTCGCGTTTTAGATGGCGGATACAAAGAGTCTGGTCACTTTCCGACTCCTCCCTGTGGAGATGAGAGAGGAGATCTTCAAGTACACATTCGCAACAAGCCAAAACTATCCGGATTTTGCAGCCTCCACGCCTGCCCTGCTGGTCGCCCTCCGAGGAGACCGCGAACTGTACGACCAAGCGCTGAGGGTATTTTACGGCATTAACCACTGGTTTCTCACTGCAAGGAACTTCCAAGGGGTCAGTGCTCTAGGGAAGTTTGCGGTTGCTTGTATTCGGAGTCTGACTATCTTCGTGGAGTACTACCCCCGAGGTCTCTCCTGTTGAATACCAAACTAACGTGACCCAGTGACTGGTTCGAGGACGACGTTGAGTTCAGGGAATTCCTGCAAGACCCTAAGGGAAACCTTGCACGGGCTGAGAGTATCCAGACACTCCGATTCTATATAGAATCCTACCGTGATCTCGTTTCTCTGCAGCTGATCAGGCACTTGGTCGCAAGTTTCCCCAGACTGAAGCGCTTGGAATTCCATGAGCATTGCACGTCCGAAAAGGATTCGGGATTGCATCTTATAGATCAGGTCAATTGTCTGTTTTGGTGTAAGGCGAAGCTTGAGGAGGTCGGCACCTCAGAAGGTTATGATGTTATTAGCAACGACTGGTTCTGGGAGGAGGAGAATGGAGACGTTCTTCAACGTGCTCTGTGAATTCTGACAACTTGGCTACATGAATGCGGGGTAATGCACGGAATTGTATCCCCCTTAGAACAGGGTCGGATGACGAGAGATAAATGACAGAGCAATGCACGAATTATTCCTCGAACCGGAAGTTTTTTGAGAGGACTACTCCATGAGCACAGGCACCTTTTTTTAAAGCTACACTCGTACTGATTTGCTACCTGGATTTCGTCGAGAAGACCATAATCCAAGCAGTAGACAGAAAGGAATCAATAGCACAATGCTATATGAGATCTGCTTTGAGCTGCGGTCCTTGCCACGGCCGCACCCATGTCACAAAGCAAATCTCATCATAGCACGTGTTATCAGGATGCCACACACGTAAGGAATACGAGTAGGAATGCGGATAGCGTTGTGTTTGCTTGCTTTGGTTGCACTCGGGGTTGCCGGCCGTGTCGGCAGCAGAGGGGCAAACGCGTCGCCGGGAAACTTAGAACGCTTGATATGGCAGTTGAAAACCGATATTGAGCTTGGCTTTTTCGAACTATAGGTACTTTGAGCGAGCCCTTCCAATAACAATAGTTCATATTTATCAAGGATTCGTGGGCGACGGCACTGACGGATCACTCGATCCCTGGAGCAACGCCTGATATAGAGTTTTGCGTCGACACTCGGCAAAATATCTGCCCTCACATGAGAGTCCGGGTGAAGGCGCTTCTCGGCTCCATGACATTTGAACCGTCAGCTCTCCATGTGCTTCCCATGTCTTAGATTGCGCGGCAGAACACGCTCAGAACGCAGGGCGGTCACCGGTGTGGTATCAGTGGTTGATTCCCCCAACTTTGGGCAACGGCGTTACTAAGCATCGTGGATCGTTTCCCTTTCACATCCGCCTACCTAGGCGTTCACCGTAAACGGCGTAAAGTGGAGTTGGCTATCCATTTGTTAGTGTATCTAGGGACGTTGCTAAGGAGATATAATTCACGTGATCTTGCGTGCGCTGTGTCCTTCTACTCAACCAACCAGAGAGCTATTGTAGAACTTTCCTGAGTCGATGCCACCAAACCGACTTTCAACTCTCGATCGGGACAATGAATATGTAAAGTTGCTTTAGTCCGGGCGTATGTATATCTAACAAGCCTTTTGCAAGAGCCACTAGTCAAGAGAAGGTGGGTAGGCACTATATCTGTTACATAGGTACAAGAGACAATAGAGTTGTGATTGAAGGAGGCAGTATCAGATTAATGTAGAGGTACTTTACATAGAGCACTGTAGAATTTGAACTTTGAAGTTGCCAATAGATAACGCGAACTGAATCACGGGAGTATTTATCTGAGGGTGTTCTTATATCATTCTCCCCACTTTATATAATTCTTGGTCGTGCCCATCCCCAAAGACGACAAGACTACTACGACTGTACCGACTGCACCACGCTGTGAGACAAGACGCACTCGACCACCACCACGACGACGTTCCAACACCCGCCAATCCTTGCGCAAATCCCTCCACACCCTCAAGCTCCTCCTCTCGAAGAACAATCATTATTATTGCCTTTTGACCGCAGACACAAGAAGACCCGCGATCTTTGGCCCCGCCCCAACCTAACGTTACTAGAGGCGGCTCCCTACGGAGGTACCGCGCCGCCAATAAGATGTCGGAACCTAGTGAAACATCGTAAGTCGAAATCCACCAGCCTTCAGGAACCCGTTTCATGTCCACGCGTGTCATCTTCACACTGGCTATTTCTGTTTCGTTCTCTCTTGTATTGCACCGCTCTGCTGGAGGTGGTGCAAGCTTGACTGCGCCGTCCCGCGCCTCGAATCCGTCGTGATGCTGACAATGCCTCCTCTCCTTAGCCACAAGCGCAGCAAGACCTCCCTCACCAACCTCTCCCGGCTGCGGCGGAAGGAAGGCAGGGATGACGATAATAATAGCAATGAGGATGGCTCCTTGAGCTCACCACCGACCCGAGCAATGTCCTCGACCTCCCTTAAGATGTCCCAGCAGTATTCACGCGGACACGGGCAGAGGGCATCGAACACCCCGGGGTTACCAATGCGCTCGACTTCCAATTTCAACGGCACGAGACCTGCAACGGCAGTGTCCGTTCAGGATAAAGGGGCATCTATTGAACAGTCTGTGCGGAAGTTCCGCATATTCGAGGCGTTGAGAAGCGGGGACACGGCATCCATATCAAAGGCGATACGGGAATCGGACAGTAGCGGGATGGGTACATCGGGGCTGTTGGAGGACACAAGCATACTGCATCTTGCGATCCAATGTGCAGAGATTCCCGTGGTCGAATACGTGCTCTCTGACGGAGCTGGGACCATCGATGTGAACGCACGAGACAAGGACGGGAATACTCCTCTACACCTTGCAGCTCAACAGGGGCGAGCACCGATTGTGCAACTGCTCCTGGAGCAACCTGGGATCAACGACTCTATACCCAACTTCCAGGGACGGTTACCGCTCGATCTTGCGCGCACACCGGATATCTTCCAGCAACTTCAATTGTCGCGATCAATATTTGTGGACAAGAAGATCAAGGAGGTTCAGGACTTGGTGGCACAGGGGGACTACAAGACACTGAGCGAGATCCTTGAAGAGCCGCGGGTTAAGACTGTTTTGGATATCAATGGGGGGGAATTTGCATCAGACATTACGACCATACAATCCGGGGGGACCTTGCTACACGAGGCGGCAAGAACAAGAAACAAAGAGCTTATCCAGGTCCTACTTCTACATGGCGCGGACCCATTTCGTCGCGATCGTCGGGGAAAACTACCACAGGATGTCACCAAGGACGATAGCACACGAGCGATGCTCAAGAAATCCCCAGCAGCCGTTGCGGCACAACGAGGAATTCAGGAGAAGGCCGTTCTCGGAAATGCCTCCCAACAAGGGGCTCAGAACGCTGCCCCAGGTGACGCTCTTGCTGGAAAGGATGGCCGCGAGATGAAGGGCTACTTGAAGAAGTGGACAAACTATCGAAAAGGATACCAATTGCGATGGTTCGTTTTGGAAGATGGCGTCATGAGTTACTACAAGCATCAGGACGACGCTGGCTCTGCTTGTCGTGGCGCTATCAATATGCGCATTGCAAAGCTCAATATGGATCCGACTGAGAAGACGAAGTTCGAAATCATCGGGAAGTCGTCAGTAAAGTACCACCTGAAGGCGAATCACGAAGTGGAGGCGAAGAGGTGGTTCTGGGCGCTCAACAACTCGATTCAGTGGACGAAAGACCAGGCCAAGGAAGAGGAAAAGCAAAGAGAGAGAAGTGCAGAGCTTCTCCAACAGGCAAAAGCAGAACACTCGGGATCCTACAAAAGGCAGATGTCGACCGATGGCCATAGTGAGACCACAAGCGTTGCAGATGCTCGATGGAACGGCTCTCAATCAGCTCCATCGGCCCCACAAGCGACACCTGGGAGGAACACAAGCCACAAGGTCGCCTTTGCAAGTAATGGAAGTGTCGATGAGGAGGATGGCACAGCTTATGGATCATACGACCCTAGCTTCAGCGGTGGCGATGTTGGCAGAATCCCAAGCCATATGACCGCACCTCCCGATGTCGTGGATGAGGATGAGGAGTATGGAGAGGGCTCCAGTGACCGTGACGCGCCCGCAACCAAGGATGCATTTGGCATTACGGCTCAATCTGCCAAGTTACAGTTGGAAATGATGGCCCATGTTAATGCAGCTCTTCAAGCTCAGCAGGCCAGAAACCCCAACCTTCGCATCTCAGATCCTGTGGCCGTGCAGGCTGTTCAAACATACGATTCTTCTATCCGCAATCTAACGGGCCTTGTTTCAGATCTTCTCAAGATTTCGAAGGACAGGGATGCTTATTGGCAATACCGGCTCGATCGAGAAGCTGATATGCGCCGCATGTGGGAAGAGGCCATGGCACAAGTTGCACGGGAGCAAGAGGTTCTCGAGGCACGTATCGGTGAAGCAGAGGAGAAGAGGAAATTGACCAAGCGAGCACTTCGAGAAGTCATCGAAGGTGGTGTTACTATAAGCCGGCCAGAAAGCAGAGCCGAGCAAAACGACGAACCAGAGGAAGAGGAACAGGTTTCCCTTCCGACCGATGATAAGGCATCGAGGCGAAGATCAACAGCTAGGAACTCTATTCGTCGGAGATCAGCGCTGATGGAAGTGACGAACATGTCTGATTCGGAAACAGAAGAGGATGATGAAGAATTCTTTGATGCTGTGGATGCTGGAGAAGTCGAGATTGTCCGAAGGATGCCACCTTCGAGTCCTCCACCTCCCAAGCAGCCAGTGCCCACAATTTCTGAGGTTGATGGAGTATTGGATCTGAGTTCCTCATTCAAAGGCTACGAGAATGGTATCCGGAAGCGTCTCAAGATGGATGCCGATGACCGGCCAAAGATCTCTTTATGGGTAAGTCGCCGAATTGTCCTTATTTTGATCGGTCTACTAATAATGTATTGATGCAGGGTATCTTGAAATCTATGATTGGCAAAGATATGACCAAGATGACTCTACCAGTATCCTTTAACGAACCAACGTCACTTCTTCAACGCTGCGCCGAAGATATGGAGTACGCGGATCTCCTTGACATTGCTGCTGACAGAACGGAATCAACCGAACGCATGGTCTACGTTGCCGCATTCGCAGCTAGTGAGTACGCATCCACCATTGGTCGTGTTGCCAAACCTTTCAATCCGCTTCTTGGCGAGACCTTCGAATATGTTCGCCCAGATAAGAACTACCGCTTCTTCATCGAGCAAGTGAGCCATCACCCCCCGATCGGTGCTGCTTGGGCAGAATCTCCACGTTGGACATATTGGGGTGAATCAGCCGTCAAGTCTAAATTCTACGGGAAATCTTTCGATATCAACCCTCTTGGAACCTGGTTCTTAAAACTCCGCCCTGCTAATGGTGGGAAAGAGGAGCTCTACACTTGGAAGAAAGTCACCTCGTCGGTGATCGGAATCATTACTGGCAATCCTACAGTAGATAACTACGGACCCATGGAGGTTAAAAACTGGACCACCGGCGACGTCTGCTTGATTGACTTCAAGGCTCGCGGTTGGAAGGCATCCTCGGCATATCAAATCACAGGTCGTGTCACTGATGGCAATGGGCAGACCCGCTTTTCTCTCGGCGGACGGTGGAATAATAGGATCTACGCGCGCTTTACACCTGGATTTGAGGCTACTATTGACGAAGCCAAGGCAGGAGCGGATTCGTTGCATAACCGTGGCAATGCAACCGATCCTAACCAGGCTTTCGTTGTCTGGGAAGCAAATCCCCGCCCCTCTGGCATACCATTCAACCTAACACCTTTCGTCGTAACCTTAAACGACATCAACGATCAGCTCGCTCCGTGGTTGCCGCCCACCGACACAAGGTTGAGACCAGACCAGAGAGCCATGGAAGATGGGTTATACGACTTCGCTGCCACCGAGAAACACCGAGTTGAGGAAAAGCAGCGAGCGAGGCGGCGCGAGAGAGAAGCCAACGGTGAAGAGTTCGTCCCCAACTGGTTTGCGAAAGCGAAATGTCCCGTAACTGGCGAAGAGTACTGGCAGTTCAATGGCAAGTACTGGCTTGAGAGAGAGAAGGCACCAACGGGTGAGGCCTGGAAGGGCGTTGAGGAAATTTTCTGATTCCTCACCGCATGAACGTTTTGAGGGTTTGGGGGAGCTTGGGAGGGGGTTAGGGATCGGCACCTTCAGCAATTGGGATTGCTAGGGCCGATGACAGCAATGGAAACAGGGCTTGTATTATGAATCGAGTGTGTATGAAAAAAGAAAGGGAACTATATGTACAAAGCATTTATGAATTTTGTTTTTCAAGTGGTTGCGTTGATTGATCTGATGATTTTCTGGCGACTCGTTTGGTTAAAAGGTCACGCAGTAATAAGATTAATTAGAGAGTCGAGAACAGGTTGAGAATTAATATAACCTAACTTCAGATAACATATATTCCTCTACACAAGGCACATAATAGGTTTTATAATCAATGAGCCATGTTCCATTCGATTTGTCCGCTCTATAATATCACACCAATAATTACCACACTGTATAACAGGGTCTCACAGAAGCAATATTTCTCGCAACTACTATACCAATCATATCAGCTCTATCATCGCATACATACAGCAGACCGTCATTAATCTATCTATCTTGCTCACCGACTTACTGTAACCGTATCTGTAGATACACAACATTCAAAGTGTAGCACAAAAGCCAAGTCGGAAGAAAAAAGCAAAAAAAGGCAAAAAATCCAACTCGCGATGCTATGACCCTATATTGGCTCGATCGTATGCTTGTCCACAGACATACATACCTTACATTAGGTAGTAGGTGGATGAAGCATTCATTTATTAATCGGAACATGGATGCTCAGACGCCCCCCTCCCCCCCCTACCCCCTGCTTGCCACTTCACGTAACTCGCTCGCCTCCACGATTATTCTCTAGTCGCTAAGTGACACTTGACACATGCAGCCACTACTAGCGCTTCCATGCATTAATGATAGATATTTCAAGGACCATGCAGATGCACTTTGTGGGGTAGCTAATTAATAATTCCACGATGCAGAGAATGAAAATAGCCATAGGAAGTTGGAACGGCTAGCAAGGATTCTACAGTAGGATCATCCTACAGGATGGGGCGGGGATAGTGATCTGTGAGGAATGATTGAGGTGTTTGAGGCTGTGAACGAGGATTTGGTTGACAGGCCTAGTACGTGACCGGTTTTTGTAAGGAGATACATGTACTGTGTTTATGCCTTTCCTGCACGACGATTTGCAAGCGGATTTGAGTTGATATAGAGATTAGCAAAGCGAATATTTTCATTGAAATAATCCTCCTCTATCCAATGGTCCTGAACGCCGCGCTTCGCCAATTTGTAACATCCTAAGGTAGTAATACATCTCTCATCTCATGCATCGTTGTCGCAAAACAAGAAGCCATTCTTTATATGTGCCGTGACCCATTATGTACTTCAATAAGGAGGTCTTCCTACATTACCTTTCAACCCCGCACCCTCACCTGTCTCGATTCTCTTTAATAAGCCTTCCAAATCCATCACTGGCGGTTCCTCGCCCCACGGGCTTTGCCTTCGACTCCTGCTCTTCGTGCTTCGTTTCACACTTCGTCCTTTCCGCAATGCATCTGTTGCAGCATAATCTTGCACCGCCGTCTTTTCACCCGTGAGCGAACTTGGAAGAGGCGGGACAGGAGGCACGGCATCGAGATCCTCTTCTCCATTTGAGATAATCGGGCTTGAATTGCCCGCTACAGGGTGAGAAGTCAAAGGACGGGGTCTTTCATCGGTCAATGTTACGCGATCCCGAGATTTGGATCTCGATCTATCACCGGGTTCACGCAAGGAGGCGGAGCGTTCCATTCGGGGGAGCGTTTGTTGAACGTAGCTGGGAGTATTGAAGGACACTTCAGAGGCCGAAAGATCGTAACTGACCATGCTCTCGCTGCTGCCATCGCTGTGTGCTGCAATCACTCTGGTGCCTGGTCGACTTCCTCCTGAGAGAACACGCTTCAAGTGGTCAATACGAGTTACAGAGTTACGGCTCGACTCGCTGGGAGGGGAAGGTGGCTGCCCCTGATCCTTTCTGGGCTTCCGTACAGAACCAAGTCCGCTTACAGGTCCATAGGCTGAATTTGGCCTGCTCCTATGCAGAGGAGATTGGTTTCCTTGAGGCAATTGTGACTCATTGCCCCCATTGTTGAGGTTCCCATTCACAGCTAAGAAGTTCCGGTGACCTGTGGCATTGGTACCCGAGCGCGAACCGTTCAGTGAGACAGCCTTGCTATTCTCTTGAACAGCCACCACTGCTTCTCTGCTCCACTCCGACATCATCTGCTCCTTGATTGTTTCTGGCATGGTATGATCATCGATAGCAGCAGCCTCAGAAGCGAGAATAGGGTGGGTGAAGCTTCTGCTAGGGGACGTGGGAGCACTTGGGAGTGGGGAGCCCAGAGAATCAGCGTAGGAGAGCGAGATGAGCTTGACCATCTCGAACCGATCATCGAATGGTCTGAGAGACTCCTGCTCGAGCTCCTCTTGAGGAAGAGCTTGTTCAGGTGTAGCGCGGCCTGGAGTACCGACCTGACTGAGGGGTACCGGAGGCACCCGAATTTGATTGACCCAGAACATCTTACTCTGCCGGCGATGAATCTCGTTATGGATAGCGTTGCCCACTGGTGACGACTCAAAGTCGAATTTCTCACTCAAAGTCCAGAAATACCCATGACACAGACTGCCCAGTCGAATCTTGGCCATCGGGGTCTCAGCCTCCAGGATATCCTCCTGCAACCTGAAGATCATAGGTAATCCATCCTTGACGGCATTCACTCCCAATCTTGTAACCAGAGCGGTAAGTAGAAGGTGCAAGAGAACAATATCAGATTCGTAATCCACATACTGCAGGGCATTCTCGTAGATGGCCAGATGTAACAACGGGAGGAAGGTTGACTTTGATAACTTTGATGGCTTGTCCCTGTGAGATGTATTCGAAACTGCGCGTTTTGTGAGACTCGTCGTTGAGTCGTTGCGTGCAGGCTTTGTTGGACCTTTCGTCCTCTCCTCAAGGACCCGAAGGTCAGATTTCGACATTTCCTTATCTAACCATGTCAAGAGCGCATCCACGTAGGACTTCCTGACACTCCCGTCTTGGTCCCGTAAGAGCCATTGCGTACCCTCCCAGATTTTCTCGGGCACGCGATTCCTCCCCAGGCTTCCTCCAGCCATACTTTTTTGATGGCTTGCCACAAGAAGAATGGCTTTGATAGCGTCGAGAGCCATGACCTTTGCCGTATTAAAGGAGAAGAAATCATCCGTATTCGAGTCTTCCTTCATGTCTCCAAGCGAAGCAATAGCAGCTGTTGCAGTAGTAGGATCTTCGCTCGCGGAAGCCGCATTCGCACCGCTGGTAGGTGGAGAGGGCTTAAGCCGCAGGAGGATTGTAGACACCATGTCTGATATTTGATCGGCATAGTAGACATGTGTGGCGAGATCTCCTATGCACTGCCGAAGTCTAGACAGTAATTTTTTCCTAACATCCGTTGACACCAGAGCTACTTCAACAGGGCCTCCAGTAGCTCTAGCGGAAGGGTCGAGCTCTGAAGGTGACTTGGCCTCGTCCATGCTAGGGTCCTGCTGCAGATGAGGAACCGCACCACTTAGCTGGAGAACCCGCAAGACATGCTGTATGAACCCTAGCAGCACATCCATGACACTCAGCCCAATCAAATTGATATCCGACTTCAGAAGAGAATCCACCATTGTCGCCAGGACCAATTGCTGTTGTAGAATATCCTCGGCCAATGGACTGCGAACAAGAGTATCCACGGCAGTTACCAGAATGACATATCGATCCTGGACAGGGGTCCACCGAGCGATCATTTCAAATATCTTCGTCGCCCATCCATGAGCATTCTCATCGCCGGAAGTATTGCTAATGACATTTTGCTGCTGCGCAACTCGATCCGAGATGAATTTTAGTGCTGCCACTGTTGCTCCATGGATTTGAGACCTGTTGTTGACCACGAATATATGCTTCAGACATTGAATGGCGAGCACCCCGATATCCTCCTCAGCCAGTTTATCTGCGTCTGCTGTTGTCTCAGAGAGGGCAAGAGCATTGTTATCCCCAGAGTTTTCCACCGTCCGTACTGTTGCAACGCTTGGCCTCCGTCTCTGCGATCTCTCTACACTTGACTTTTCCTCCGACTGAGCCCTGCGCTCGAGAAGGTCCAGATAGCTCTCATTGTCCGTCCATATATTCTCCAGAAGTAGAGGCACTATCATGCTCAGCTGTCTTGCAGCCAGGGACGCCAATGCCTCTGACGATGCTACGCTTTTGATGGCCTGGAGCCCTGCACTTCTCCATCGCATAGCCACTGGGGCACTTAGGGGCGCTTTCGTTTGCGACTCTGTTGATGCAAAAGATGCGTATATCCGAACAATTTCTTCGTATTGAAGTAAATATTCCTGATCAGCTGAAAGTGTCGCTCCATCATGATTTTCGCAAAATGCCTGGAACGTAGGGATAGAGGATTCGACCATGGTAATATCGCGGGACCGGAGGATAATATTGAGGATCTTGAGGACATATGGGGCATAGAGAGGAAGGTCGCGGGGAGCTTTCTCTATCAAAGCCGCAAAGATCTGCAGCGTAACCTGGACGTTTCTGGCTTCAATGTCAGCAGGCACGCAGGCGAACAGATAGTTCATGCGGTCTCTTAGCATACCCTATCCGTGCTCGCCATACATCGCTGGCCGTCTTCTTCTCCAGAAAGGCGCCAACCTTCTGCACCTTGCTGCGGCGCGTTGTCGCATAGTACAAGAGGTAGCTGAGCTCGCTGGAGTTGGGCTTCACATCAACAGCACCCTTAGTGGTTTTCGGATAACACTTCAGGATCAGGACTTGATGTTTCGGACGACATTTTTGCCGTATGGCGTGCATTTGTGCCTTGTGCCCCGTGCCGGGACGACTGAGTTTCCAGCTTGCGCGTCGTCGAAGCTGGATGACTTCTCTTTGTCGGCACGAATTGAGGGTCAACGGCGGGGTGCAGCACGAGTCAGAGCAGATATGGCTGATGGGCTGGGCGACTGGATAGATATCATGGAAACGGGGGGCTCGTGAGGGGATTCGTGAATCGTAATGTAGGATCCTGACTTCGCCGTTGTTGACAACTGAACACTGGCCAAATTACTCCGGATTGATTAATAAGGCTCAGATTTTAGCAGCCTTCCTCAGGCCTAGTCAGGCAACGACACTAGTTCCCCGACGCGACGTCGATCACAGAAACACGCATCGCGTCGCGCGGCCAAAGGCAAAAGGTAAAAGGCAAAGACCAGGGAGAAAAGGGGGACAGGATAGGGATCAAAGGAGGCGAGAAGGGTTTGCCCACGGATCATTTCATTGACACCTTTTGGAACTGACAGCAGATCGATCATATCCTGAACCTGGGGGCACGACTGCAAGGCTCATAATAGACACTTCGTTCTAAACGACTAATAGAGGCATCTAAGGTATGGTATGGATGTAAGTCAGAGGAGTGTTCTCTTCTCCGTGCCGCCTATCCTAAACCACTTATATCTTAGCATCCTCCATCTTTCGCTGCAGACGGTCCTCCTTGATGATATCGGCAGCTCGCTCAGCAACTGCGTATACACTCGACTGGATATTCCCTCGTGGGATCATGGGGAAGACACTTGCGTCCACGATCCGCAGGTTGGGAACTCCATATACCAACAGCCTCTCATTCACCACGCCTCCAAGCTTTTCGGGCAACATGGCACAGGTACCCGTGATATGGTAATGAGAGACGAAGGTCTCCTCCACAATCTCCTTCGCAGTCTCTAGGTCATGCACAGGCTTATCGGAATGAATCCTGCGACCATCCTTCTTCAATAATGAAGCCATCGGTTCGGCTGCGGCCAATGTCTCTAGCCACTGGGTATGTCGGCTATGGAGCTCGAGATCGAGTGGATGAGAGAAATATTGTGGGTCCACTGTTGGCTGGGCAGTTGGGTCCGAGGAGTTGATATGCACGAATCCTCGAGAGAAAGGATGGTTCAAAACGGCAACGATGCTGATATAATTGCCCTCCTTACCCATGCCGTAGATGCCTTTACACCCAGGCCCATCTCTGGCGACAATCTGGAATGGTGCCAGAGTGTACTGACCAGAAGCACATGTGGGGTCGTATAGCATTTCACGGAGAATCTCAAACTGCTCCTTCTGGGCTGGAAAGCTCTTATACTCATGAGAGTCGAGATACTTGGCAAGAAGTTGATCCAACTCGTCTTTCTTGAGGTCTGGAATGGGCATAAACGCTGATACGATTGGCACGCCGGACAGCGGTCCCGCCTTTGCTTTCTGGTATGCTTCCATCGCACTTGCGGCCACTTCGGGCTGACGCAAAATATCTCCTGAAATCTGATCGTCCGCAACTTCCCAGCTGAACGGAACGTAGCCGTGATCTTGAAGATTCTCACCAACGTTTGGATTGTCAATCAAGACATGAATGCCATGTGATTCTAGGAGCTTCTTGTCGCCAATACCAGAAAGCTCCAGAAGCTGTGGCGTTTTGACGGTTCCTGCGGCAAGAATCACTTCTTCACTTGCCAAGATGTTTCTCTTGACGCCGTCTTTGGTTACGACTTCAACCCCTTCGGCGGAGAGGGATCCATCGTCCTTCTTTTTCAAAATAATCTTGTGCACAAGCGCTTCTGTGAGTACATGAAGGTTCGGCCGGGAGGTAAGGTCCTGCAGGTAATGACTGCCAGCATGACTTCGGGTCTTCGTCACGGGGTCAACAATGCCAGGATTGGTGAAGGCACCGACAGCCACGCCAGATAGAGGATCTCCCGTGAGCTTGTAACCCAAGGTCTCGAAAGTTCTGGGCCATGCCTTGTTGTAGGGCGTGTATGCATCGCTTTCTCCAAAGGAGAACTGGATGGGCCCGTCTGTTCCTTGGATCTCCTTGTCGATATAACTCAAGACAAGATCATCTTGGGATTCTTTTGACGGCAGTGTCAATTTGTGGAATTTTCGGAAATAGGGGGTCAAGGCCTTCCAGTTCCATCCAGCAGCCCCAAGCTTTTCCCATGCATCAAAGCCCGCCGCGGAGGGGTAGATCACCATCCCCAGGTTGATAGCAGTGGATCCGCCCAGGACTTTTCCCTTGGGCTGAGCCACCTGACGCCCTTTCAAGTGTTTCTGCAGCTTGTCAGCTTTTTGCTCGGTCACGTGTCTCCGGGCATACCTGAGGTGGGCTCATGAAGCACCAATCGAAGTCGGGATCATCATACAGCGACGCGGCCAGACCAGGAGTAGTGATTCTAGGGTCATCTAAACGATTGGCCCCGGCTTCGAGGACTAGAACTTTGACCTTCGGGTCTTCTGTGAGACGGGATGCGGCGATGAGTCCAGAAGTCCCCCCGCCAACAATCACGTAGTTGAACTTTTCCGTCTCGAGGGAGGGCACTGACTCAGGATCAGTAGTAGGTCCCGGCATTTTTGCGCAATCTTTCCGATGAAAGCTGAGAAGGGTTCAGTAGTAGGTATGTTTTCCCACTTGGACCGCAGTGTGCAGTTTCTTGCTGTAAGTATGAGGGAGAGAGAATGTTCTCTTCGCTATTTCTAACCCGTATCGCGCATATCCGCGGCGCCCTTTTATTAAAGGAGAGATCAGCAGCGTCAACTGCCGCTCCGTCAGTCCTGCCGCAGAACGCAGGGTGCGTGATGGCCATTATCCCGCGGAGCTCCTGCTCATAGACGAGAGGAGGGTATCTGCAACGCGCTGTTCTCCAACAACAACAAGCTAGGATTTCTATATCCTTTCCGCTATGCGGTCTAATCGACACTACTCGTAGATGCTTGCTCTGCTCCAATGACTGTAGGAGATATTGCTGCGTCTAACGTGTATGCGCCGGACAAGAGCCTAAATCAAGGAATGGGCTCTGACGATCAGCAGGGCCCAGAACAGGGCTTGCGAGGGTGCTCATGCAGGAGACGAGGAGGACAGTCCCTTGTGCCAGGGATTATTTGCAATTGGCATCTTGACAAGTCGAAACTTGACAGCCGGTGATGCTGGGGTCGCTTCGATCGCTTCCAACCTTTCCCTCGGAACTTTGGAAGAAGTCGGTTCGTTGGAGTCGTCTTCCCCTTGGACGCTTCCCCACCGTACGTAGAAGGTTGGTTGTGACATTTGAGTCTCGGACTTGGTCTATCGCGCCATGGCAGCGGAAGGGGGGCGGCGGCCAATGATTGTTCAGCCTTTCGAAAGCCAGTGCAAGGGTGATGGCCCGCGACGGATGCGGCCCGCTTTCAAGAGCCCGAGTTCACCAAGTCAGGTCCACAAGTGCTTGGCTCGCCCAGTTACTAGTGCCGCCACTTTTTCTCCCGGGACAGTACGCGCTGGAATTATAATTGGCCTTGACGTGGGATCAGCTAATGCGAAAAGTCGACACACTTAAGCGAGGTCGACGATTAATTAAGATTAAGACGGCTTTTCTCTCCAAGACCCCTTTATTCGATGCGGAGTACAGTAGTATTTGGTGGCTTTGTGGCTTTGCGCCTTGACGATTTCTGGAGCCTCGCTTTTGGCTACTGTGGAAGAAGAAACAAAATCCCCCCTGTGCTGCGCAAGAAATCTACAAAAGGGAAAGGATCCCCGTTGACGATTTCCGGAATCACTTGTGCTTCTTCACCAGCAGTCTCTGCCGATCGCTCGGAATTGCGAGCGACTTGGTGCTCGCCAAGGGGGGGGGGGTCGTATTTCTGCAATGTGTTCCCAAGCTCCTGCAATCTACAGCCTTCACAGCTATGCTATCTTCAGGTGACGGTCCATGGTTCTGGGGTCGATGAGGGGCAACAGAGGGTCTACCGAGGGAGAACCAGGGGCTGAATGCTACTGTAGTCGCATCGCAAGTATGAGCCGACGGCAATGGGTGTGTCTCAAAGAGCCTTCCTCCCCCCTCTATCAACAGGGGGCTGCAGCGAGTAATGTCGGGACTCGGGGGCCATTTCTGTGCTCGCCTATCCATGGGCTTAACTTTCAAGACCAAAGGGGCCCGGGCAACGGATCAGGCGTATTGTGCAAACTGCTGCGACTATCAAGTGACCATCGAGGAGTTACTGTACGTACGGAGCTTTTTTGTCTGTGGTTCGAGTCAGTGCTCTCTTGGTGAAGGCGCAAGAGAGAAAATACAGTCACACAGAAAGCTTTGTTGCTGATTGATCACATCGCGGTCCAGGATCCTTTGTGCAGTTTTCTACGATCTTGCGATCTCCTACATACCTTACCTTGCAAAGTTGGAATCCCTACCGTTCGTTCCATCGATCCTTATCTACAACGGTTCCATCCTGCCGAACGCGAGACGCCTTACCTGCTACGGCTAGTGGTTTCCCCTCTCACGGACTAGTGTCCCCGCGACCTCGCGTAGGCTCCTTGTCTTAGGTAATCCATGGAACCTCAAGGCTTAGAGCCTCAGGTTGGTAGAGAAGCTATACTCCGTTTTGTTATAGCAAAACTCCCCCCTCGTCCTTCACAAAGTTCGACCAGCCCCTTCAATGGCTAACCCTGGACCTTGCGTGATCCCTGCTATGGCTTTGCATCTACCCCCTCCCCCCGGATGTCAAACTCAACTGTCAAGCAAATGCCGCGATCTCATCTGGTTAGGAAGTTGTTAAGTCTGCGCTTTGTATATTACTTTCGTAGATATTCTCCACATCAGAGAAAGCACGGTCTTCTGGGAAAATCGCTGCCATCTGCAAAGTTCCAAGCTTTGAAGATCTCAGTAATGACTCGAGCTCCCCTTTGAGACTTCCCCTATCCTCCTTTTCTCTCTTCATTTATAAATACTTATTCGAACTCTCCCGCCCCCTGGCTAGGAGATGTGAGAGGGGTTGCCATTTTTGTTGCTTCTTGCCTTGACATCACATCCGCGTTCCCTTCGTCATGGCGTACGATCTCACCAACTCGAGGGCGCGCGACCCGCTGATTGTGATGGTGGTCTTTACTTTCATTGCTATCCTGACTACCTTCATGCGCCTGAAGGCCCGACACCTGAGGAGTCTCCCCTTAGGCCTGGACGATTACTTGATGCTTGTCGCCTTGGTACGTACAGTCCATCTGAGACGCAGGCCGCTTTCAACTGTAGCTGACTGTGTATAGTTTTTTTTGCTTGTCTCAGTCAGCATTCAGTTTGCCTGTATGTTACATTGTTACCCAAATCCCTTCAAAGTTACACAGTCTTAACAAGCGCAGGCGTTCTTGCTGGAGGTGTGGGTAGACATACCAAAGACGTCGCCCCCGCAGACGTGGTAAAAACACTGAAGGTACCTGCCAAAGCCTTCCCCTTCGGTGTCTGTTCCCCCTAACGTCTCTAGCTTATCCTTCCTTTCGAGGCCCTCTACGGCGTTACACTTTGTTTTCTGAAGACCTCGGTCATCTGCTTCTACCTACGAATCTTTGGCAACACAAAATCGTTTCGCATATCAGCTTATGTTGCCATCGTAATCCTCATCATGTGGGCTATGAGCATTGTGCTTGAGACCTTCCTACTTTGCCGCCCCTTAGCATTCAATTGGGATCCTACTATCCCAGGCGGTGTATGCGGCCAACGCAACAAGGTCTATGTCTCCGCTGGCGCGTTGAACGTAGTCACCGATTTCATGGTCATGCTTCTCCCTGTTCCTCACATTTTGGGACTACAACTCGCAATTCGCCGCAAACTCGGTCTACTGCTTATGTTCTCCTTGGGTATTTTGTAGGTCGCTCCCTATCCCTGGACTGTTTGTGAGGAAATGCATTAACCCGCCATAGTATTACCGTCATTTCAATCATTAGAATCAAATCCCTTCAAGTCATTAGCTTTACCGACCCTACCTATACCCTCCCTATGGGTCTCCTCTGGACAGTCCTCGAGCCCTGCCTTGGTATAATCAACGGCAACCTTCCCATGGTGCGCACCATTCTCATTGCCTTCGCACCTGGCATCTTCGGATCCACCAACGACAACACTACATCGAGATCAAGAACAATGGGCCTTTCCACGAAAGAGGGAAGGAGGACGCCATTCCATTTGATCACGACCGGCGAAGAAATCGAAATGGGACGAAATGGCATTATGGTTGGGCAAACAAAGAGTTCAGTTTGGGGAGGAAGCAAGCCTAAGGCCCGCGAGACGGAGAACGACACTGATAGTGAGCGGGCCTTCGCGAAGGGTACTGGAATCATGGTAGGCACGACTGTCGACATCGAGAGCGCATAGTCTGCTGTTTGTATACATGATGTAAAAATCTGCTTTTGGGACATGGTCGGCGAAATAAGGACGATGGATATGAGGATCTGGTGGCATATACCTTCATTTAGCGAAATATTTGGGCAGGAAAGAATATACCATACTTGGCTTGATGTCAAGTCTATAGACAATGAAGCAACCCCGATGAGGCTAGCATCTACGTATTCATCTAATCGTGGGCCCGTGATCCTCTCTCCCAGAGGATAGGAGCGATTGACGTGAAATAGATTATAGGGCTGAGGAGCCGGCCTGCTGGATAGCACTAATTTCGAACTCGATAGGGCTCACGGACATGGTGGATCTGGATCAGCCATCGGCCTCGCTCGCAGGGCTGAACCGTTGAGGCGGGGCAGAGAGGAGGCGTTTGTTGGATTTGTTGGATTTGTTGAATTTCCCCAAAAGGGGGACCGCCGCCGGGGGGAGGAGAGGGGGGGGGGTCCGCTGGGGTTAATGAAATGACATCGGATTCGCCTTCTTTCCTACACAGTTCGCATCGAAGTCATGTATTTGTATTAGAATAATTTAAAATATATAGAAAGAGAAGGTTGTCTTGTTCAAGATACTCCTGGAGGGCAGCACACTATTGTAGATTGTAAGTGATGTAAAGATTATACCGGACCCGATACATGATGCGAATTGTAATGGGTGTCTCTGTGCAGTTTGGACATGAATGACATGGATTGGGTATTTATGCATTTTCTAGAGCTCTACAGTAATAAATTATACAGACATTTGTCTACAGCATTGGAAACCTTTCTATCTTAAGGCCGACGACGGATTGCAATTCACAGCTTTGGCTGGACGGGCTGTTCCTGCTTCAACCTCACGACTCCCTAGGAACATGAACATGTCAGTGTACCATTCATAGGCCAAGTTGGAAGAGATACATACCTCTTGGAAACAGGTCGCAATCAACGTGCCATCCTTGGCGAACATATGTTGCGTGACAACTCCTCTCCCATCTCCGCTCCATGGACTCGACATCTCGATGAATGTCCATTCATCAGCCCGAAACCTCCTGGGTTCATGAAAATAGATAGTATGATCTAAACTAACCATCATGCCAATCTCCGCTTTCACCTTCCCGTCATCCAAATCTGGTCCAAACGCTTCTCTCTCCTTCAATACATTTATATCTACTGTGCCATCCTCCCCTTTGTTCTTCACCTTACTCGACAAACCGACCCGCGCCAAGTTGTGGATCCGAGATACTGTCCCAATGAAATAGCTATCCGACATATATGCTAGGGCACTTAGATGTGCCTGGTGGCCTCCTGCGGGACTTATCTTCCCGCGAACTTTCACCCACTGTCGAGTCTTCTTCTCGTGGGGATTTTTGCTTTCCGCATTCAAGATCCCGAGATGATAGCTCACGAACGGGCTCCCCCCGTTCATGGCTTTCTCAACCTCATCGGCCTCGCTGTTATTCTCCGGGGGCTTCACGCCATCCGGCAACGGAACGGCATGTGAGACCGTCTTCGCCCCTCCCGAATTCTCGCGCACGAATGACATCGTCGTTGTGAATATGCATTTCCCTCGCTGTCTCGCCTGCACCGTTCGAGTTGCAAATGACTTGCCTTCTCGGACGTGTTCCACATAGTACATGACTGGTATCTCGCTATCGCCCGCCAGCACGAAGTAGCAGTGCATGCTGTGGACTGTGAAGTTCGAGGGGACGGTTCGCTGGGCTGCCGCGAGGCATTGGGCAATCACGGCACCACCATAGATCCCACGAGCCCCCGGAGGGTGCCAGAGGGGCCGGGTATTCGTGAACATGTCCTGAGAGGAACGAGGTCAGGAAGGGGGACTTCCAAGGAGAGCGGGGATGGCAGTACGTACGGGGCTGATGGCACTTAATTCGGTCAACTCCAACACATTTTCGATAGCGGATTTTGAGGGATCAAGAGGAGGAGGCTTGACGAGTGTTGGACGGTCTGCCATGATTTGGGAAGAAGTCGAGTAGTGACGCTGTGGGGAATGGTGTTTCTGCGCGGGGAAGTATCGTGGGAATACGGCAGCGAGTGGTGACGACGGCACTTCGAAGCGTCTTGATGTGAGGATGGCAACGAGTTGAGGAAGACTGGAGGGAGACGCGCGCAGGTCTAATGTCTTATATTTGGACAGTCGGGTGAGATTCATGCGTAAATAATTTCTCGAGATGGTTTGATCGAGGCCCTGGACAGCTCTCGCGCTGGGACTCTGGGAGCCGAGGCTCGGGGATTCTGGTCAACATGACGCCGTTGCGGGGCTCCACCGCTTCACGTGCATTCTGCCCCTTTTCTTCCATCTCCTTGTAGGGACTAACAAGCTTGCCAGGAAACAAAGGATCTATTGATGGCTGGTCTTAAATACTGTTCTACTCTCTCTATCTATGTTTATGTGTATTCTATATGCCAAGACAATGGGATCACGATCCCAAGACACCGCGTCCCAAAGCGCCCAAGCTTGCTTCGTACCGCCCGGGACTGTGATCTAACAGCATACTGCCTCCAAATCTTAGTTCACTAAAGCGTCTCTCCACATCGCGCACGTAGCGCAGTATGCTTCTTGTTGCTGGCCTGCCCAAACCACCTCCGCCTGCTGCAGCGATTTTATTTTCCTCTGAGTCTTTCGCGAAAGCGTCTCTCCTCAACACGGGCATGGATTCAACGACGAACACTTCCCCCGGTGGCAGTAACTTGGCAGACAGCATGGAGGCACGGAGTGCTTTAAGAGTAGAGTATGCCCACTGGTCGTCATCTCCCTTCTGCGTAGTACCGCCAACTCCGTTTTGATACCATTTATCTTGGAATTTCCCACGAAGACCTTCCCACACCCTCCGCCTAACCTCCCCTTTCGCGCCTGAATCATCAGTCTTGAACGCTAGTGCTGCAGCTTGGAGATCATGAAGCGTGCCAAGCGAGAGGTGTGGCACGAGATCTTGGCCGTTCACGATGGTCGTTACTAGACCACGCGTTGCGAGACGAAGAGACGGGGAGATGGTAGCAGGTGGACCGTAGGCATAAACGTGGATTGGCCTTCCGGATGGCAATCTCAACAGCTGCTCCGATGCTGTGCTAGATTGTGGTTCACAAGCAGCAAGGGGCAATCGAGATTCTTCATAGGAGGTGGTGAGGAAGGATGTGCCGGTTGGCGATGGTTCGGAGATCATGATGGCCAATAAAGCAGTAACACCCCCACCAAGAGAATGTCCACACAGCACTAGGCCATAGTCTGGAAACTCCTCCAGGGCAGCCTTGATGGTGGCCAAAACCCGAGACGATAGAAGTCTGCGGGCGGAGGCGTAGATTCCCATGTGGACTTTATACGCCTTCCCACGATATATGAGCTCGTCATAATCGCAAGTCATGTCTGTGAGAACATCCTCAAACCCTAAAGTCCCACGGCAGGTAAGCACTACTGCTCTGGAATCATGATCGAGTGACACGAAGTGTACCATAGGCACGCCGGTCCCTGTACGCCCAGTGGAATCTGTACCGCCTTCCGGATCAACGAAAGAAGAGAGAAGGATAGTGTCTGCGGGTAGCTGGGTATGATTAGAGAATGAGTGGTGTTCGTGGTGATGTGTAGTATCAATTTCTTTCGTCGTGCTACTTGAAGAGGTTGCAATTCCCATCACCCGCAGGAAGCTGGCACCGTAGGATGCGGATGCAAAGCGCACAAACCTCGTTATGTTCCGTACGATATGGTGTTGTGGGAAGATACCAGCGACGTGTCCTGTTCGCATTAAGCTTTCTAGTATCTCAGAGTCAGCAAATAAGCTCCTCCCGGGTTGGGATGCGAGCACAAGAGAAGTTGCAGAGTTGTTAGCTTTCAATGTGTAGATGCTGGAAGCATGAGATTTGTTCCTTCGGTGAGTCCTTTCCGATGACGACGGTTGTTTTATATTATTCTTCTCAGATCTAGCAATTAGCAGACTGCTCTGTGCTTTGAGATTTGTCTTGAATAGTGTTGGTGACCCAGGGCGGGTTTCAGCTGAGTGAATTGAATACGTATCAGTCTGCGAAACCACTGAGTCCCTTCGCCGCTCGTGTATTGAATAGTAACTCGTCCGGGAAGGACTTCGCAGGATATCAGACCCTTGCATGAGACCAAGATCTCGAGAAGAGAAATAATTGGGGTTGCCTCGCGGCGGAGCCTGTGGTACATCACGTGCTGGAATAATGCTGGAATTCCGTTGCGGGACTGGGTGCTGGGATTTGGCGGCAGATGCAGCAGTGGGAGCCCCCCATGGGGGACGCTGTTGCGTTGACTTGCTTTGGGTTGTGGCTTCATGAGCGACATCCTTGGTCCAAAGATTGGAAAGTGTGGTTCCGGTTCCCTTTTTGAGCGGATTGCGAAACGAACCTTTCTTCTCAGTGGTAGACTTCGTCGGGGGCCTATCCAATTTCAGCTTCTTTCCTGCATGGGGCCTGACTCCTGATTGTTTTCGAGATGGAGGATTATCAGATCCGCTCATAGACGAAGCCGCACTCCTAGCTTTCCGTGGTTTTTGGCTGGTTGTATTTTCTTTAGCAATGGGAAATGCGGAGAATTCGTTAGGTCTTTCGTCTTCTGATCCAACTGATCGAGGTGTAGGGAGATTTGAGCTTCTGCTCGCTGTGTTAGTTAGTCGGGTAGGCCTGGCTGGCAGCACTGGAGGCTCTTCCGTATCAGATAGACCGGGAGACGTGATAAATCCTGGACTGGCTTGTATTTTTGGAGGATCAGGAGCATCCTTAATTTCTTCGTGGCGAGCAAAAGCCTCGTCTGTATTGCTAACAGTACCGTTACTTTCGATGTTGGTTCCTCGCAACTTATTTCGGATGATTCGATATACGACTCTGTATCTTGGGACTACACCCATTGCCTGGTCGTTGGTAACTACTTCGCCATGGAGATCAACCACGCTGGAGGGATACGCATTTTCCTCAATGATCTCAACTCCTGCAGGCGGTGACAGATCTGGAGGTTGAGCGCCCGTCACCTCAACCGTGATCGTCTTCGTAGTCGTGGTCGATGTCGTAATAGAAACTGAGGCATGCGATGGCAAGGACCGCATAATCCTCTGCTTGAGACTGATTTCGGATATATCCTCATCAGAGTCCTCTTCCGCACGGCCCTCCCTCTCAATGGTCTCTATCACATCGTTCCCACCAGTAGTCATGAATGACAACGATCTCCGCTTTGGCAATCCACTCTGGGAATTTGGCCTTTCATCAACCACGTCTGCCCTTTTCCCATTATCCAAAACAACCACATCCCACATTATCTCCTCACATTTTCTGTCCATAATTTCAGAGTCGGTGATCTTTCTACACCACCTCTGGAGCAAAGCTAGGCTGCAAATCCCCAATAAAAGATCTGCTACGCTAACCTGCTCTCCTTCTTGACCCGTTGCCGGATTCTGGAATTCTCGCCGGATAAGGGTGATGATGCTAGCAATCGCCCGCGAAGAATCAGTTGAGCCTAGAATTGAGTCTAGAGTCGCTAAAAGCTGCTTAGAAAGATCCGTCGCACTCTCTAACGCAGCAGCAGATATATAGAAGCCCGTCGATGCCGCGAATGATATGCTAGTGATTGTTTTATGGAGGGCGGAAATACTCTTCTCCAGTAATCCTTCAGCCTCCTCTCTACCCAGATCCCCTGTGCTCCTTGTAGATATATCTTTGCCTGCTCGATATAGAATTGATTCGAGAACTGCGCGGGACACTTCGAGGCCGGTGAGGGTCGTATATCGAGCTCCATCTATTGCTAAGCCGCCGATGAATGTGCCGAGCTGAAGATAGAGGGAGGAGGATCTCGTAACTAAGCTTACGACGTTTGCAATGGGGCCGGGGAGGAGAGTAGATCCGGAAGGGTGCGATCGCGAGCTTGAAACCTGATTTTCTTCGTCATCCTGGTCCATATCGAATTCGGAGCGATGCGTAGATTGCCGTGTGTGACAGGTAGGTGTATATTCGGGTTTCCATTCGATTTGGTGATACACAGATTTTGGGGAGCTCTGGAGACGACAGAAGCATGGTACGCGGTGGCGGGAGACGCAGAGGAGGCCTTTGTTGAGGCATGAAGACGTTGATACTGTGTAGGGCTCTAAGTGGTCAGTTGTTGGACGTGTTGTCGCGTCGCCATTTGTTGCTAGGGTTCCGAGGCATGTGATAGCGGCCGGATAAACTTGACTTCGATGGGGGAATCCGGATAATTATAAATCCGGGAAACCTGAACTGCCATCCGCCTTTTCTACGGTCTCTGCCCTTCTCTCCTTTATGTATGTATATCTGTATGTTCAAGTGTCCACGATTGTTGCAACTCTGTACCCTATTACAAGTGTCTGGGGACCCCGTACGCAACGTCGAAAGCGGGGAAGCATCCCACTGCAGAAGAATACGAGCATGTCCTCCAACCGAGGTTCACCCGGGCACACAGCTTCTTCTGCCTCTGGTTTTTCCCGGAGCTGAGGTACAATAGGCTATATCTATCATGTAGATCAATGCCCTGGATTTTGTTAGGGCCTCGTTCATCCTGCCATATCCCGATGCTCTTCAACGAGACCTTTTCCTTCTTGGAACAAAACGTTCGGCCCTTCTCCCCAATAGCCGTTCCCCCTCTTCTTCGGCGCTCCCCACACTCCCAAATATTGGCTGAATATGTCACCAATGCAAAGGATGATAGCTTCCATAGATTAAGCCGTGGCCGTACAAGGCCGTCTGATTGCTCGTTTCCAGCTAGCCTCTAGGTACCCATGGGAGCGGAAAGATTCCATCTCGTGCACTTTCAATTTGTTTTAAATAATATATATACCTCTTGGATGACGCTGTCAACTTCAGGGACTTTCTCCCCTGCTCTCTCGTATCTATATTCTCATCATGGCTCCTAATATTTGGCGAGCGATTTGCACCGCATTCGTTCTGCTTGTACATCCAATCACTACTGTGGCACAAGCAGATATCACTCAAGACTCTTTCTTCTATGGCCAATCTCCACCAGTTTATCCATCCCGTACGTATAAACTCTCGGTGAACAGTACGTCGGTGCTAAATCTATACCAGCTCCTATGCCTGGTGCAGGGCAATGGACAGAAGCATATAGCAAAGCCGTTGCTCTAGTTTCTCAGATGACGCTGGAAGAGAAAGCAAATATTACTGTTGGGTATAATCCCACAACCGGTTGTTCAGGCGAGACAGGCTCAGTGCCTAGACTCAATTGGCCAGGTCTCTGTCTCTCAGATGCCGGGAATGGGTTGAGGAACACGGACTTTGTCAACGGCTGGCCTAGTGGCCTGCACGTCGGCGCGTCATGGAATCGAAATTTGGCATTGCAAAGAGGACTACATATGGGTGCTGAATTCAAGACGAAAGGAGTACACGTCGCTTTAGGACCGGTGATTGCCCCATTAGGACGGGTATATGAGGGAGGTAGAAACTGGGAGGGTATGGGGATAGATCGTAAGTTTTGAAACCCTCATCTAAGTCCAATCCTAACCACCCATACAGCTTATCTCGTTGGGCAACTGGCTGCCGAAACCGTGCAAGGTATCCAAGGAGCGGGGGTTACAGCATCCGTGAAACACTATATCGGTTATGAGCAAGAGACAAATCGAAATCCTGAGGGCAATGTTTCGTCTGTTTCCTCAAATATTGACGACAAGACAATCCACGAAGTGTATCTGTGGCCATTTGCCGACACGATCCATGCAGGGGCAGGTTGTATCATGTGCTCTTATAATCGACTGAATAATTCGTATGCTTGTCAGAATAGCAAGACCCTTAACGGATTGCTGAAGACTGAATTGGGCTTCGAGGGGTTTGTTGTCAGTGATTGGGCTGCGCAACGTAAGTTCTTGGCAGTCCTATGTTAACTAGCAAATACTAATATTTTTAAGATGCGGGTTTGGCTTCAGCGGAGGCGGGATTGGACGTCGCAATGCCAAACTCAGTATACTGGGGCGTTTCTGGAGGTAACTTGACAGCGGCAGTTAACAACGGCAGCCTGGCTGAGTCTCGTGTGACCGATATGGCGACGAGAATAGTTGCTTCCTGGTACCAAATGGGTCAAGAGGTGAAATGTTCCTCCTAAATATTGGTTTGGAAACTAACAACGCCTAGGAAGGATTCCCGGAGCTTGGAATAGGGATGCCGCTCGATTATACCGCTCCCCATACCCCCATCTATGCTAGAGACCCTTCCTCGAGATCCGTACTTCTCAACGGAGCTTTAGAAGGCCACGTACTCGTCAAGAATGTGAACAAGGCCCTACCTTTGAAGAAACCAAAGCTTCTTTCGATCTTTGGCTACGATGCCGTTGCGCCACCTGAAATGGATATATCGCCACCCTCAGATCCGTTGAGTCCTTTTACTTTCGGGTATGAGCCAGAGTTGGACGCAATAGCTTTTGTATCCTCCTCCTTTCCCCAGATTGCCCAAAATGGAACAATGGTTAGCGGAGGAGGAAGTGGAGCGAACTCGCCAGCATATATTTCAGCCCCATTCGACGCATTACAAGAGCAGGCATACCAAGACGACACCTCTCTATTTTGGGACTTCACCTCGTTTGCCCCGGTAGTCGACGCCTCCTCTGATGCGTGCCTCGTGTTTATCAATGCATTTGCCACCGAAGGAGCGGATCGTGCTGGCCTCCACGACGACTTTTCTGATGGCCTCGTGCTAAATGTGGCAGATAACTGTGCCAACACGATCGTGGTAATACATAACGCCGGGCCGCGGTTGGTAGATCAATGGATCGATCATCCAAATATCACTGCAGTCATCTTTGCTCATCTTCCAGGTCAAGACAGCGGACGTGCACTCGTTCAACTCTTGTACGGGGTCCAATCACCAAGCGGAAAGTTACCATATACAGTCGCAAAGAATGAGAGCGATTATAATACCTTTGCCCCCACGTTACCTTCGGAGGAATATGCATTGTTCCCGCAGAGTAACTTCAGCGAGGGTGCGTATATCGACTACAGGAATTTTGATGCGAAGAACATTACGCCAAGATACGAGTTCGGCTTTGGCTTAACATACACAACATTCTTATACTCTGATCTTGAAATTGAGATCTTGCCTACCGTTTCGACATCCTATTTTCCGCCTGATAGCCCTGTGGTTGAGGGTGGGATTGCAAGTCTGTGGGATGTCATTGCTCAAGTGCATGCCACGGTTAGCAATATCGGGGAAGTAGATGCAGCGGAGGTAGCGCAGTTATATGTTGGCATTCCAGGAGGACCGGTAAGGCAGCTGAGGGGTTTCAGCAAAGTTGATGTCCCGGCGGGAAGTAATGTGACGGTCGAGTTTGACTTGCTAAGGAGGGATTTGAGCGAATGGAGCGTTGTAGAACAGAGTTGGGTGTTGCAGCAAGAAAGCTACGGGATCTGGGTAGGCAGCAGCAGTAGAGATCTGCCGCTCCAGGGGACATTGAATATTGGGTGACGCAAATATCTCGAGTATGGAGGTTCTCTATACGTATATTGTATGTTCCTTCACAGATGAGCACAAAGCCACTGACTTGGAATCTGGAAAACAGAGAGAAAGATAGCTTGCAATAGGGGAATAAAGGAAGCAAGTACGGGGGGATTAGATAGAAACGGATCAATAGGAAATAAAGTCTGCCATTTGGCCTCGATATCAACCATATCCGGGTGTGGCTACGTACAGTACTACTGCGCAGTAATACTTGTCAAGCTGCCCTGAATGGGATCTCTGATTAGTGGTAGGCCATTCTACTGTTGTATCCTCGACACGCGTTTCGCCAACCACTGATGGCTTGGCTGATGGTAGATGGAGCACACCGATCTCCAATCTGACCATCATATCGTTGTACCTCCAGTGAAGCTGCTTACGAGTATTGAGGCTGTGTTGAGTCCGATGGAGTCTGGACTCTAGACTCTGCCATCCAGCCATCCATCCACGACGACGAGGAGCAAGAAAGGATGACGACGACCAGGACGAGATGTGAGAGTTCCTTGCCCCATATAATCAGTTGCAACGCCCTGCACATTTCATCACTTTGTTTCCCTCGCGAAGATACAGCTAGAGGAGGGTAACTTTTACCAGCAATACTTACTCCATCCGAGGGGGGACAACGCCACACGCCACAAGCCACACGGGACCGAGTCGCCGAGCCGAAACCTTACGAAACTCTCCGAGACCCTGAAAGTACAATCGCAACGACCTTCACATCAACTCTCTCTTTGCAGGCAGGACAGCAACACAATCGCTCTATTCACTTGACCGAATCGGCCTTGTCTCTCTCTTTGCTTCCAACCTCTCCTTTACGCAGACCTCCCCCCGCGGATCCTGCGACAATGAAGGCGATGCGGAATATAAACATGAACCGCATGCTGGGCTCGTTGAAGCGCAAACGTACCTATGCATCCGCCACCCCTAGCGATGGATGGCGATAGCTCACATTTCCTGTTTGCAGCAGCTCGAGGCACGGCAAATGTAACAGCAGAGTCGAGTGACGATACCCCGGAAGCAAACGCTGCGCGCAGTGTGGTACGTGGTTAATAGGAAAAGCGCTCTAATGTTCGACGAAGCTGATATGCCATCTCAGCGTTCATTCTGCGAGTCTGGAGGACCAAGTGGATCGGTGAGCTCCTGTCCTAGTTGAATCTGAGGCTTATAAGTCTAACCAGTCCTGCAGGGCGAAGAAGTTCTTTACCTTCCCACAATTGTCGAATCCGCAGAATCATCCCCCTCGGCGGCCAAAGAATGCGCCCACGTTATCTGCACGTATCTAGGCAAGGACAACTTTACTAGACCATACGTGCAATATAATGGCATTATGTTGATCCGGATTCTTGCCGACAATCCTGGTAGGACGTTCACGAGAAATATAGATTCGAAATTTGTTCAGACCGTGAAGGAGATGTTGAAGCTTGGGAGAGACCCCAGCGTCAAGCAACTACTAGTGGAGACATTGGATACATTCCAACGGGAGAAGGCCGACGACGAGGGATTAGCGATGCTGATCGAGATGTGGAAGAAGGAGCGTGAGAGAATGGTAAAACCTCATATGCATTTCCACTGCTTCTTAGAAAACTAACCCTGCGATGATAGGGGCCGGCAGGACCGTCAACAATGAGCGCCTTTCCTTTTGATCCCAACACCCAAAACTATTTCTCCCGCAATCATCACTCCAGACGCCTTCCAAACCCTCATGAACTTTCCTCACGAATCGAAGAAGCGCGAAACTCTGCGAAGCTCCTGTCGCAGGTTGTACAATCCACACCTCCCTCCGAACTTCTACAGAACGACCTGGTCCGCGAATTTGTGGATCGCTGTCAAAGCGCATCTCGCTCCATACAAGCATACATAATAGCAGAGGATCCAGCACCGGATAATAATACAATGGAAACATTGATCGAGACAAACGAGCAGCTGAGCAAGGCAATGAATCAACACCAGCGTGCTATTTTAAATGCCAGAAAAGTAATGGGATTAGGTAGCGGGGAGGCTGGCGTATCGCCACCGGCAGAAACGGAATCTGGATTCGCAGCGCCACCTGGGCCACCTTCAAGCTCGTCAAACCCTTCTTCGCTGCCACGAAAACCGATCCCGATCCCGCCTCCTGGCGAATTCATGCAGAGCGTATCTGACGACGAACGAGATTCGAATCCTTTTACTGATTCTGGTAGCGCACACAATCCATCCTTCTCTGAGGACAGGCGCCCTGTTCCGACGGGGCAGTTTGATGATGGCTACGGCGTTGAGCCATATCATCCTGGCTTCCAAGAGACTCATGACCAGAGGCAGGGACTCAGTGCTGGGGAAGTAACGAACCCTGCTGGTGCTTCAGCGGATAGAGAGGATGGCCATGTGGTTGCTAGCCCACAGCGAAGTGGCAGCAATAGGGGTGGGAGACAGGCGCCGATTTATAGATATTAGGGACTCATGCAGGTTCATGTAGCGGCTGAATCAGGAATAATTTGTGGTGTCGGATACCTGGGCGTATTACGTAGCGTTAAGAGCGGAATTTGATACCAGACCAATTACATGGTCGATTTTTCTAATCTTTCTAGCCTTAAGAATTTCCTGCTCTGAAGCGTACCTCTTGTCCTGTACTGTCGCCCTATTTATAGCTCTACTTCCCGCGTACTCTATGGGGACATGCGCAGAAGATATTTGAAATTAACTAGCATGTAGTTTTTAGTCCAGGGAAGGCAGTGCCATGCCCTGAGGAATCTCCTTCCACTGTTTTGTCTCATCAAGCAAAGTCTGAGCCTCCTTCCACTCATTCCTAATGATCTCCGCCCTCCTCTCATCTCTCGGCTTAATATCCACAGGAAACTCAACTGGCATACAAACAAACCCCTGGGTATACTGATCTGTATCTGGAATGATATCCTCTCCAGCCTCATTCTTCACCGGCCTGATGTTAAATCCCCACAGCATTCTCGACACTCCGAGGAAGAGACTCCGGTCAGCGACGTGCATACCCTGGCAAATTCTCCTTCCGGCACCGAAGGTAAAGTGGTCGCGTTTTGTGCCGTCAGGGTTGGCGGCTGAGTCGGCGGCACTGAGAAAATCGTCTTTGTAGCGCAGGGGGTCGAATTGTCGGGGGTTAGGGTGTCGGGCAGGGTCCATGTGGATGGTGTAGACGTTGTTGAGGACCCCTGCGCCCTTAGGGATCAGGTAGCCCATATACTCGTCGTCTCGAGTGACGGCGTGTGGAACGGCGCCAAGGATCGTCGTGGGAGCCCATCGGAGCGTCTCCTTGACAATTCCGCGGATATATTGGAGATCCATCTCGTCTTCCATTGTGGGGAGGCGATTCGGACCGACTACCCGATCGATTTCCTCCTGGGCTCTCTTTTGGACTTCAGGGAAAACAAGCATGGCCTGTACAAATGCGTAGAGAGTACTTGACGTTGTGTCTGATCCGGCCTCGAGAAGTGTACCTGAGATGTAGCCAGCTTGATCATCACTGAATCCTTCCTTCTCTTGAACCCTAGCCATGTCGACGCAGAAACAAGGTTTTGCCGTCTTGTTGCGGATTGCTTCTTTGGTATTCAGCCAGTGGTTGACGTACAATTCTCGTTCTACCTTGAAGAGCTCTTTGGCACGCTTCTGCGTAGGGATGACAAAATCTGGCAGATAGCGGAGGATTGGGTAGAAGTCAATCAAGGCAGCGGTACCGGTTTGATTGATCTCAGCGAACTCATTGAAGCCGTTGAATAGTTGCTTCACTTTTTCGTCTTCGTAGGTTGGTGCACGCCATCTGATGAAGGTTAGCTAGATTCTGCAATTCGGGACAGAGTGTCCTACCCAAAGACCATACTGGTAGTCAATGCATTTGAATACCGGCGAATGTTCTGGAGCACTCTGTGCGGCTGCTCGAGCATCTCATAGAGCATTTGCTTATTCTCCAGCATTTGGTATGGAACATAAGACTTGGCAGCTTGAACGTTCAAGAGATTGTGTGCCATCTTGCGAACCTATTTATTGTTAAGAGGTTTAATTCGGTATTTCTTGGGAACTCATTCTCTCTTACCATGCGCCAAGTCGGCCCATATCTCATCATCAGGAATCTGAAGCCTCCACTGCACAAGGTCATGCCAATATACATGTCCTGCCGATCAGAATAGATGGCACTGCGCTTGTCCAGCAAATCCTTCACAGCGACGTCGCTGGAAAGCACCACGAGGACTTTCGTCCCTAGGATCAGACTGTACACCGGCCCATATTCTTGAGCCCATTTCTGGAATTGAAGATGCGCGTCACGTGAGGGCATCTGTGGCATATGTAAGCACGCGTCCCTTGTCCTGGAGTCGGGCGCGTTTTACCTGATGGATATTTCCCAGTAGCGGTAAAGTTGGAGGCCCGGGGGGATAGTTTGCTGGTCGGCGCCCAATCCTGGAAATGCGAATGAGCAAGACCAGGCCAACGAGGCCTGACACTATGTAAAACGGATACTGGTCCCAGAAAGCCATGCTGAACAACCAGAGAGGTGAGATGAGACTGATAATGTGGTGGAAGTATTTTTGAGGACTCCTACGTGTTTATATGGGTTTTGCTCGTTAGTTGCGATTTTAGGGTTATTCCCGCGGCCAGTCGGGTATGGTGGAATGCCCATTCCCGATCGCGGATATCAAATGGGGAGGCGGGAGTTGGGGTAGTGATAGACACCACGCGCCTCTTACTATACACTGCCCCGGTCTCCCTAAAGAGTAGGCGGTCAGCGCCGTCGCCCCGCTAGCGCTCCCCGGAGAAAGGGACGGCTGGGGCTACTCTTTCAGGTACCGTTGAACGTGCGTTATAGGTTCTATTTAAGCTGCGATTAGGTTGTTTCAATACTAGCTGCTAATGGCATTGTCTAGTCCCTCTGCAAATCAAATCAGGTGCCTACAGCTCAGGGACCTGTCATCGGACAGAGGCGGCTACCAAGTCCAAGTACTTGGGAGCATAGGGATGTTCTGCCGGAGTGGACATATAGAATCTGGGGGTGGCGTGTATCATTACCCCGAAATTGATGCGAATGATGCGGGGAAACCTTATTACCCAGTGCTGACTGTACTGAGACTTGGAGCGCTACACCATACACTCCAGCAATTATCGGCAGATGGGTTCGGTATCCTCCAGCGTCTTACTCGAAGAGTGAGGACGCGGCTGACTTGAAGCGGTCAAATGACTATCGGCAGATGGTTTTCACCTCCTTGACCTTCTCGCTCGAGAATAGGTGCTGTACGCGCCACCTCGTACAACAAACATCGGCAGATGCTTTCGGTCTGCCTCCTCTTCTTGTTTGACGACGAGTATACGGCAGGATTGCACGGGTCCAGCAATTATCGGCAGATGAGTTCGGTGTCCTTTGCCTTCTCACTCTTCAGTTAAATGGGCACGCGGCCCAAACCACTTGGTCCTTGGACAAGGAAGAAGAAGAGGATGCGGGCCTGAAGTCAGAAGGTGACCACTATACACGGAGGAGATTCGATAAATACTCCACAGGAGAAGACTTGGATCATATCTTAGACCTTCGCCCAGCGGAGGTCCACGTCTTGATGAAGACAATGAATGCTTGCTCATGTGTACGTCGTCTACTTTGGTGCGCTTTCTCGAGATAGTAGAGGAGCCAGAAGAGCATCGGATGGCCCTCTCAAGCATCAAAGGGTAGATCGAGAGATCCCCATCCGAGGCCATTTGATTATCTTGACAACCGCGTGGCTTTCAGTGGCCAGGGTCCATGGAACGGCCAACTGCGAACAGCGCGCATCTGTTGTCCAAGTAATCTGCCTTGTCTGCCTGCCTTGCCTCTCTGTCTGCTGCATTATCAACTGCCGCGCTCGACTTGAGGTAGACAGATACGAAAGCGTGGATATGTAGACGCCATCATATCCCCGTCTTCTTATTCGGTCGTCAGGATGCGGGGAAGAGCTCCTTTCATCCGTGTCTCCCCACACTAAGCAAGCACTAAATAAGCTTACTTACATTAGCGTGGTAATTTTGCAAGGGGTGTGGGAAACGCTGCGTTATCCAATAAGAACACAGGAAGCTTGGATCTTAGTAATCCAATAGGCTGGGCGTCGGGAAATAGTGGTGCCAGCCCCGAGACCTGACTCGGCACTCCGAGAATTCTCTTCTGTGTTTATGTCTAGGTACATTAGTACCTATATACATGCCCCGCCGCGGTTTGTAACTTATATTGGATCCGAGAATATTGTGTCCAAAATCAATCTTTTTCTATTCTATTGTCTGAAGCTAACCGAGTACGAATTGTGTGGTAGACAGGAATCGAGGATCATGGATTCAACCAATCACTACTCATGTTACCCCTTTTGACTTGCAGAATGATCCGTAAGCATCGAGAATGGTCAAACTGCGCTGGAATCGAGTGTACCTGGTCAAACCTCACTCGTTGAAGTATCTATATCGACATCATTAACAGTAAGTTCTTATCTCTTCTAAAACTTCTTTACCTAACATTATCTAGAGTACGTATTCCGCAACCTAATATACACCACCTTATGTTATTACCCTCCTAGCGTGTGGAACCACGGCAACCATTTGGAGACATACATACAACCTGGTCAAGAGTAGGTTATTAAGGCTCCTGTGGAACGCTGGTGAGATTCTCGTGGACCTAGGAAGCCAGAGAAAAAGTTCTCTAATGAGGTAAGATACTTGAGATACTAGCAGAGCATTGAAACTTTGTGCAGTACAAAATGCTCCATCCTTCGAATCTATTTTCTTGAAAACTAGCTAGGTGCTCGATTAGCTAACACTCGTCTTCAGGTCGAGGCTTGTGCTCCTTGAGATCGTCAATCCTTCTCAGATAGTGACTGTCTATAGGCTGCGCAATAGGTCCCTATAGGTTGGGTTTCTATAGGTAGGACCTAACCTATAAGGATCTAACCTATAGGGTAGGTTTAGACTAGTAGGTAGGCCCTAACCTATAACCTAACCTATAGGTTACTAAGACCCTAACACGTGATTTAAGCCTTAATAATATTACGTAGTAGTATAATAATTATAGTTTATACTAATCTTTATACTAATTACTTTATAAGGCGTTATTTAATAGATTACATTTAGGAATTTATAAAAAATATATAATAAAATCGTACCTTATAACTTATAATCTTATTACTACTCTATTTTTAATTTAGCCTTATAGCCTTTTACCTCTTAGTATAGTATACCTAAGAATTCTATTACGTATAGACTATATAAGCTTTATATCTTTTTACTAAATTATAACTTATTTAGTATAAATAGCGACAAGATTTATTACTATATATTATTTAATTAGTATAAAGATTAGTATAATAGATTAAATACTTATAAGAAAACTTAGTAGTTAACATAGCCTCTATAGATTCTTATAAGGCTTTTATTACGCTTCTCTAGACTTAGAATTTAAGGCGTAGCTAAAGTATAATCTTTTTTACTAGCCTTATAAAAGGTGCTTATAGTATTAATAGTTTAGTAGTCTTTTAGTACTTTCTTATTTCTCTTAGTACTATAGCTATTAAATTTGTTAGTAGAGTTTTTATACTAATCTTTATACTAATTAACTTACTACTTAGTTTAAATCTTTATCTTTTAGCCTAAGGGTTTAGACTATTCGGCTAGTTAGGCTAGTTAGGCTAGTTAGGTTAGTTAGGCTGTCTAGAAAGCCTTTTACTAGATTAAGGGTAGTATACTATAGCTCTTTTTAGTAGTATAGTTAGACAACTTAGTTATATAAGTAGTAGCTTTTAGCTTTAGGCTTTACGCTATTTTATAATCGTAATTAACAAATAGTAGATAAGAAGACTAATAAAGTTAGTATAGTAAGAGGTATAAGGGGTAAAGGGGTAGAAAAGGGCCTATATACTAAATTAAGGTTAGCTTAATAAAAGAAAGGTAAGTAAGTAGTAAAGAGTTGTCTATTTATATATTATAAAAATAAAGGCTTAGTAAATTTTTAGTAAAATTAATTTACTTTATAACTAACTACCTTACTTATAGCGCTATAATAATAGTACTATATAATATAATAAGAATAAGGATAGTAAGACGCGTTAAACGCGTCTATCTATTGTTTATTTTAATTATTATACTAATATTTTTACTAATTACATAAAAGAGTATTATAAAATATTATATAAAAAATTTTAAAGTATTATTTAAACTTATTACTAATTTACTTTTAAACCCTCTTCTCTCTCTTTCTTTTTTTATCTTTATTTTATACTTATACTATTTAATAGTCTAAATATAGAACAAAGAGTCTAAAGAACTAAGAGTCTATTAAATTAGCCTAAATATTAAACAAAGAGTCTAAAAGTAAAGTTATAGCCTAAATATTAAACAAAGAGTTTAAAAGTAAATTAATTTTACTAAACATTTTTTACTTTTACTACCTTACCTCTTCTACTACTACCTTACCTCTATAACAATAATAATAACAATAATAACAACAGGTATAGTTTACGTGTTAATCTATACTAATTATTATACTAATTATTAATATAGTTAATTAATAATAATAACGACCTAATCTATAGCTTACCTTTTAAAGAATTCTTTTAATTAATCTATAGCTCTCTCCTTTTAAAGAATTCTTCTAATTAATCTATAGCTCTCTCTTTTTAAAGAATTCTTTTAATTAATCTATAGCTTACCTTTTAAAGAATTCTTTTAATTAATCTATAGCTTTCCTCCTTTCTAAGAATTCCTTTAATTAATCTATAGCTGTTAGGTGTATTTCTATAGAGTAAAAGAGGCAAGAGTCGATAGACAGTCGTAGTATATTTAAAGGTATATCACTACTTTAACTATAGACTAATCTCTAAACCCTTCTTCTTTCCCCTCTCTACCCTTTATTCTTATACTCCTTAATACCTACTATTACCTTAGTCGTAGTACGTAGTTACCCTATACTTAATTTCTAAGCTATTATAATTTTACGTATTAGCGTACCTAACATAGTATCCCCTTTTTTTAGCTTCTGTCCTTAGAAGCTTATAAGTAGCCGTTAGATCGTAAAGAGGCTGCGTTAGGTAGATATAGCCTTTAAATACCCTCTCCCTAAAATAAAGGAATAAATTAGTAAATAAATATGTAACTATATAACTAGTAGTATTAAGGAAAGAAAAGTAGTAGCGACTTTATAGTGTAGTAAAGGCGCGTAGCCTAACCGTAAAATTTCTGTTATATATTATACTTTTAGATCTCTACCTTATACCTCTTATATTTACTTTTAGCTAAGATACCTTATAGTAGAGTACTAGTAAGTCGCTAGGTAGTCGTAGGATCCCTAATATATAGTACTAACTATATTACCTAGGCGCGCTAGTATTCCTTACCCTTTAGCCACTTTTAGAAATCCTTTGTTACCTCTTACTAGAAGGTTGATAGTACACTAATAGTAAGTAGCTGTAAGGATTAAACTATATTACTTATAATCGTATTTTTTAAGTAAA